ATGAAAACAATAGTGCAATCGGATTTTAAATTGGTTAAAAAATGACAAAGTTATGGCAAAAAGAAACCGGCAGCGTAATTTCGACAGGAGCTGAAAATTTGTTTATGTTCTTGAAAATCCGAATTTTTCTCTTCTAATTTTTGTTGGGAGGGTTTTAGGCTTTTCAACAAATAGAACAATTTTACGCCGTATCGCTCCCATCTTGTCCAGGGACTTCGGGACTCTGGTTATGATAGGCGTCTAGCGTTCTGTTAAAACGTACGTACGTTTAAAAAAATCATTTGGTCTGCTATTTATTAATCTCATTTCATGTTCGAACAAGGATATTGGATTCTTCAGTCCATAGGATATACGGAAGAACGTTTGCTTCTGCCTCCCAAATCGACATTTGTGCAAGGAATGTTAGACACCCGCTATAATCAGAGTCCCGAAGTCCCTGGACAAGATGAGAGGGTTACTGCATAAAATTGCTCAGTTGATGACTCTATTATGGTGAAGAATGGTTAAAAAAAAGCAAAGTTCGAACATGAAGTAAATAAAAAAACAAATGATTTTTTAGACACCTGTCATAACTAGAGTCCCGAAGTCCTTGTACAAGATGAAAACGATTCGGCTTAAATTGTAAGACCGGAGTACATCTCTAATTTTATTTTTTGAAAAACCTAAAACTCTTCCAACAAAAATTCGGAGAGAGAAATCCGAATTTTCGCGAACATACATTAAAATATTCAGCTCCTCGCTACATTAAATTATGCCGCCGGTTTCTTTTTGCCATAACTTTGTCATTTTTTGACCAATTTAAAATCCGATTGCGCCATTGTTTTCAGTTTTGATGTGTCAGAATGTAAAGGTCGTATTTGAAATTTTAAAGTTGAACTGGGCCTGAGGTACCCTGAATACCTTTTTTCCAAAGAATGGTAAACATTTTAAACTAGACTAAAAAATATTAAAACGAATTTTTTATTTTTTTGATAGCGTCATTGGTTCGAGAGAAATTCAGCCGGACCATCTAAAAAGGACTCCCGTTATACACAGACCATGTTAAACATCAATGTAGAAATATGTTCATCAAAAAACATTTTCACAATAGGGCTTGGCCCCTTTACAGTGAATAGAAAAACATAAAATAATTAAATAACAAAAAGGTTACAAAATATAATGCAAGAAATAATTATTAATAAACAAACTTTGTATGATATTAACATGAATCAAGGAGAAAAGTAGGTATAAAGGAAAAGTATAAAAGAAAGAAGAAAAAGATAATAGCAACAAGATCATGTTAAGTTAGTTTAAATAAATCAGGATTGTTAGCAAATAAGTTGAAAGCTTCATGCTTCATGCCTCATCAACGGTAAATGAATCATTCATAGATTTGGGTTTATGATGCAAGCTTTTTATAGTGTTTAAACTGTGGGAAGAATTGAAATCGAATATAATGAATAAATATGATGGTCAGAGCTTATTTTGTAGGAGTTTAGACTAATCAAATAAATTAATACCCAGAATGAACATGTATTGTCTCTCTTCAACATAAATTAATTAAAATCTTGTGCAAATATTAGTTTTTTCTTTTTTTTTAGAAGAGTAGGTAGTACTGCAATAAGTAAACAATTGTAAAGAGAGAGTTTTGACTAGTCTGTTTTAGTGTCAGAGCAATAAATTTATGTATGATATTTCCAAAGTGAGTTTAAAGTCTCAGTCATCCTTCTAGTAACTAGGCCTAAATAATCATACCAAGATAATCTGGTATTACAAGTCATATCAAGGTTTTTTCCTGGTTAGAGAAGGATAGTGAAGAGCCTCAAGAGTAATGCAAGGAAAATCTTCAGTTGGCAGATGTGAGCTGTAAATAATAATCGATTGGATTTGTGTGGTTTAAGTTTGAGACCTTTGTTTTGCAGCGTAATTAAGCTAGCCAAACTAGAAAGGTCTGTTAATGAGTTGAACTGAATCAGGGATTAAATGAGGAGGACATTATGTATAGATTTGGATATCATCAGCATATACATGAAATTTGAAGTAATTTAAACAAGGGAGGTTAATAAAAAATACAAAACAAATAAGGGTCTTTCTAAAAATAAAAATGAAAAATTCCATTTATTGTAAATGGTAGGCTCACTGGAACGAAAGTAATGAAAAACTAAAAATACATAAAAGTACGGCGAGGCCATGGCCCGTGGAGAATTTCGAAAAACGTAACAAAATAATATTAAAAGGTTGCGAATAGGTCACACCTGCCTCACGCACGGTCACCTCTTAGCGGTTGTATTTATTAGCGTGAATGTTTTGTGTAAATAGATGTGGATGTCGAGAGAGTACTCCACAAGCCTGTCAAAAGGAAATTAGTCTAATGGATGAATGAAATTCTGTACATACTGTATGAATGTATTTATTAGCATGAATGAAAGGAAGTCGGTTATGTCTATCCTACCGACTTTTTATTTTGTTGTAGGGGCAGGACCTTAGTCGTGCACCTATACTCTGAGCCCTGCCAACTGTAGATTAGGTAATCATTTTCTTAGCATGAGTGGGTATTGTTAGTGAGTCTGTAAATATTGAAGTATTTTTAACAAACCACATGCAGGATGGTAGAAACAAGCAACAAGACACTCCTCTGTTTGGTCGGTAGGAAACAAAATTAAAAGAAGAGATATAGTGAATGAGATAGAGATAGAGTTGAAATAAACAAAGAAAAATGTGAGAAACTTATATACGTGAGGTGCCGGCAATGACCCTAGTAGTTAGCCGGCCAGGAAAAAAAAGGGTCTTGAAATTGCACCTTGAGGAACACCTGACTTAACAGGAAGGTTAGAGAGTTTGTTATTAGGTGGTTTGACAATTCATTTACAACTTGACAAATAGGAAAATTTATAAGAAGATAAGAATAAGAAGATTTTAGAACTATAGGACAAAAAACCAAACAAATTTTCAAGTTTGCAAATAAGTTGATCATCCCGAAAGCACTGGAAAAGTCAAGCAGCACTAACATAGTGCATTTGAGAACATCTATATCGATATATTTCAGATCAAATTAATAATTGTCTCATTATGTCAAAATTACTTGCACTCCTGCATGATGACTTATTTATTATTCAATCTGATAAATCAACTGGAAAAAACCCTGTATCTGACTTACAAAATTAGTCAAACACGAGAAGACAAATTCTTTTCACCTTGGAAATTAAATTGCGCACTTTGTCAGGGTTTTTTCATGATAATGAAATTTTTCTACTTCAAATATATAACTACACTACAACCCACCTCCATTTTATCTCTCCTTATTCCATTGTGTACCGTTTGTGATATTTAAAGTTATTTATTATAAGTTGCAAACACCTATGCTGCCTGGTGACCAGATTCACTTTGTTTTTTTCGTGCGCTCCCAGAATAATTATTAAAGACTGTCAGAAAGAAGACTAAAGACAGGTGATGGCATGTTTGGCAGCCGTGTTTATTTACCCACCGGCTCTATTAACATGGCCATTGCCTGATTCACCCCTTTAACAGCTTTTTTACGTCAAAGATTAAGGCTCACAGACATTCACACCTCAGGTAGTGGTAAGATCAGCTCAATTTGCCCGCATTTCTTTACAAATTGCCAAATATAGCCTATTCCATAGGATATTAAAGAATGAGAGATGTAAAGTAGATTCTGTGCAATAGTTATGATGGGTAGTGCCAAAATAGTATTCATTACAACCCAATACATACAATTGGTGATGTTAAGTGAACAAGACAGTGGTACACATAAGGAGGAAAACCCAATGAACCACCAACGTCCTATCTCCGATCGTCTCGGGCTTTGTGGTCTATTCATCTCCTGATTTACCCCAAATGGTGAGAAAATCATCCTCATGGCAGCCACAAATCCCCTTTCAGGACCCTTCCTGATCACTTGATTCAGGATGGACTCAACTGCACACAAGGAGGAAAATCTGGCAAAATGCCGTCTATTCCTGGTCTGTCTCCTGCTGGACTTAACTTGTCTTCTGCGTTGCCCTCTTAGGTTTCTCCTTCTCCTCTCCACTGTTTTTCATTTTTTTTTTTCATTAAAGTTTTCTTGTACAAAACCAACCTCAATATGACCAACTTCAGTACTGACTTGGCTTTATTTTCTCAGCTTTCCTCTCCTCTCTCCAGGGTTATATGATACTTTCCAATTCTGGGAGAGAACTGAGCATTTATTTTACCCCATTTTTTTGTAATAAAAAAGGAATAACGTACACCACATCTTCAAGTAGAAATCCCACATTTTAAAATATTAATAACTCATTTTTTAACTTCAGACTCTGAACTTCCAAGAGATGAGCCTTAAGCCTTAAAAAGACAGTTGGTCTTTGCTGACCTTTAATTGCTCAAATTACTAAATGTTCTTATAATAATAAACAAATAGTTTGATGGTTATAATAAAAACTTATAAAATATGGTTACAACATAAAAATACTTAAAAGGTAAAGAAGTGTGAATCGATTGCCCGCTTTCTTGACGTGGGCAACTTTCTTAATCTGCGAACTGATAAACCTGTAGTTTGGCCATTTCTGATCATCCTGATCTGCTTATCCCTACATGTGAAAATGGCAAAATTTTGCAACGTATCTGATGAAAAATAAAAATAAAAAAATGAACAGCAAAACTAGGCAGACGAGTTTCTGAAACAAAGAAACTACAAATTAATAATATACATTTTCAACAGCATGCAGACGACATGACAGATTCAAACATTTTTGTTAAATCCTTACTTCCAATTATTTTAAAGGTTTTACAAAAATTGTAACTCATATTTTTATTTTATTATGTAAATCTATTTAAAAAAATTACAAGTGTTTTTCTTTATAAAGGCACAATCCAAATATTTATACTAATAAAATAAACATGGACGGACTTGTTGACTAGAAACTTGACATAATCACAAAATAAGACTAGAAAGATCTTGTAGTACCTGACTTCATTTTGCATAGTGTTCGAACAACAATCCACTATACAAAAATAATGCAAAATAATAAGAATTAATTGTGCATTTTATTTTAACATAATAAATTTTCTTCAAAAGTAGAAAATTTCATTTCTTCTTCCCAACATTCTGTGCTATCCATTCCATTCCTTCCTGAAAGCAAATAAAATCATGGTGTAAATGATGGCAATAATATAGAAGTGTACAACAAATCGATGTACCTTTACACCTTCGCCAAGAGCGGCTGAACATGCTTGTATCTGCCAAGGTCGGTCTTTGATCGTCTGTAGATTCAAAGCCTGCGCAACGTCTGCGGCAGTGAGTGAGTGCATCAGATCCTGCTTGTTTGCAAAAACGAGGACTGGGACATCCATCAATTTCTCCTCCATCAAAAGTTCGCCCAGTTCAAACGATGTCTCATCTAGCCTTTTCCTGTCAGCGGAATCGACAACGTATATCTGCAAAAAAGCAAATTTTTTATCACATATAAAGAATTTGTAAAAAAGAAATCATTTTGATTTTCATGACTCTGACTTGATAAATTACACACACCAAATATCACAAAAACTTTTGAAGGCAATTTTATTTAGGCAATTTAGCTCTATAAAATTAAATTAATTAAAAAGTTTAATGTTTTACTAATTTACTCTATTATTAAACTTTCAAATATACAACATTTATATATTTTTTTTTTTACAATTTTGCGACATTCTTGATAAGGGAACAAATAATTTTGGGAATGAATAACATAATTTTCAAATTTCTAGAATAATAAAATCAGGTAACTGATGTACATGCCAGGACACAAAGGAATGAAAGGCAAAATGTACAGGCTGACAAATGAGAAAAACAGATGCAGCCCTTACTCTTTGGATCAGAACCGTAAATTAACACACCTTAGCGGTGAAAGCGGAACTGAACCACTATGGAAGAAGAAATGACAACACACTGGATGAATTCATTAGGTGCAAAACAAAGAGATAGAAATGATAAATGGTGTGGTTCCATTTTTTTTAAAACAATAGTTCTTACTCACAGTTAGTTGTTTACACGATCGGGATTTCAAGCTTATAGCTCATCATCAGGTTGTATAACTCCTTCAACTTGATAATGAGCTATTAGCTTGAAATCCAGATTGTTGAAACCAACTAACTGTAAGTGGGAACTATCTTTTGAAAAAGAATGAACAAAGAGATTTCTTGAAATCTCAACCAGGAAAACAAAATATCTACTTCTCCTCAGCAGGCAGGATTGAAAAGAAAAAAAAAATATTAGGCCTTTATTCTGGCAATTACTCATTCAACTACTAGCTTAAAAAATGGGAAAAACTGAGATAGAAACTGGCAAACTCTGTCTTAAAATAGAAGAGACATTTGAACATGTCCTATGACTGTAAAAGCGTTATCCAAAAACAGTATAGCCACTTCAAAGAAGGTACACTGACGCTTGAGGAAATAAACCCAAAAGGAACTCTGGAAAGTGCTCAAGAAATAGAGAACGGTCAATTTCACAATAGGTCATTTAGGTCACAGTGGAAGAACTACTGTAAAAAACTTGATGAAGGGCCTGAATTTTTATTAATCTTGTTATCAATGATTTTACTAAAACTATCAAACATTGATGTTTTATTTACTTAATTTTAAAGGCATTGAACAATTTCCATGTTGTCCAAATAATCTGATGAAATAAAGGGAAACTGGAAGAAATTGGTCAATCCCACAAAACAAGAGTTTGAATTTTAACAAAATGCAAGGAAGGTATGACAATGTATCTTACTCTATTTCAATACATTCTAACTTTGATTAATTTTACAAGACTAATTAGACTCTTCACTTAAATACCTAAAATTAATTTAGAATAAAAAATAGCTTTTTTTTCTTTTTTCTACTTTATGCATATCTATTTATATAAAACAGTTCCATGACTGACTGACAGACAACGCACAGACCAACCCATGGATATAAAGGGCTGAAATTTCAACAGTGCATTCCTATAATGACATGGCTAGCCACTAAGAAATGATTTTTTGAAATTCCATCCATAAGAGGATCATATAGACAATTGTTTACCATGTATAGACCAAATTGAACTGAAGAAGAGAAGAATTTGAGATGCGAGACATTATATTAGAAAGCCATACTAGCTATAGGTACATTAAAGGTATATTAAAGCTGAGTCCCGCATGGACAAAGTCATATATAAACGATAGTTTGTACATATTATTACAATTTTTTTTCCACATGGTCACAGCACTAACACTATGCCAGCACTGCACCTCCAGAACATATACCATGAAAAGCAAGCCAATGTTGGCACTCAGTGTGAGGGATTAATGAGCAAGGAGGTCTTGAGACCATTGTGGAGACCACTGGATGTAAATGTAGAGGGCAGGATGAATCGAGAGGTTGGTGTGAAACTTTTGAAATCTGGGAAGGATCGGTTTGTTGACAATAGGAAGGTTAGTTGGTATGGATAGTGAGCTTAGTAATGTAGCATGGATAATTTGTCTGGGGACTTTTGATTGGAAATATTGGATGCGCTGGATGTTGATGGTTTGGCAGAATCCCACAGTTCCACACCGTATGTTCAAAGTGATCATAGTAAAGTACTGTATAAGGTTAGTTTAGTGTTGACGGTCAAGACTGAGTTTGGTCCTAGAAGTATTCGTACTTGTCCATGTTTTTTGTTAAGTTGTAGTCTTTTATGTCTTGTGTAGAGATTCCACATCAGTCTGCAGCCTAGGTATAGTCCTAGGTATTTGACTTGGGCGGAAGTCAGTATCTCTTTGTTGTTGATGTGCAGTGGAGGGCAAGACAGTTTTTTCAATATGATCATACATTGAGTACATTTTTTCATTCTGTCACTTCACTCGCTTTATGCACAAGTCTTCAATAAGCTCAAGGTATTCTTGGATATTGGAGGTAGCTCGGATGGGACCGAGTTAGAGGACAAAATTGTGTATCCTTTTTTAAAAAAGATTGAACACCGCACTCACTCCACCATTCACCATTTCTAAAATTGTTTATCGTATTGTGGTGACAGTATTGGGGTGTGCAGGAAGGTCATCAGTGTAGATGATACAAAGGTGGAATGCTTGCTTGTGGGACAATAGCTTGTATCAGTCTGATTTCCAAGAATTCTGAAGAAGCTGTCTTTTAAGTAGGATTTCAGGATAAAATAATAAGGAGTGGGTAGGAAGTGTTGCATGCGCGGATGCCAGACCCTATATGTGCTACATCTAGGAACGCACCCAAGCAATACTCCGTTCTCAAGAGCAGAGGAGATGGTGTCAATATCTCTGAAACCTTGCTAGATCATAGAATGATGACGGAACCCCATTTGGTGAGAGGGAAATATTTTATGTGTATCTAGAATGAGGATTAATCGCTTTAAAAGTAGTCTTTCAAGGACTTTAAAATATAGTTCTAAAGATTTTTTTTCTAATTCACCAGTTGACCTGCTACTGATTATTTTTCTAAAATTTCTTCTTCTTTTTTTTTTTTTTTTTTTTTTCAATACTAAAATTTGATTTTTTAACACATCTTCTACAAATTCTACTATCAAAATTGTTAATTAATACTTATGAGTTATGAGTGATAACATAAAATATATTTAATCAGTCAATTTTATTAGACAATATTTTAAGTAATCACAAATGCAAGGAAGTTTGTTTAATGTTTCTTTAAAATGGAAATCGATATCTTCTCTATAATTTTGCGTCAGTGTATATTATTATCCTAAGTAAACTCCTGACCCAACATATTTCAGATCTATAAAATTAATTTAACAACAAATTTTTGGATGTTCATACATCATAGATTATTATTTAAAAACTATCTAATGTTAATGGTTCTTTTTATGGCATTGGACAATTTCTATGACGTTTGAATTGTCAAGATCAATATGATGAAAGATAGCAGAACTACAAGAGAAATGTTTTGTCCCGGCTATCCTTACTTCGTGTATCAGCATCAAACTTCATAATGAAAAGACAAAATATGTCTGACAATACAAAGATAATCAGAAAGGAGCAAACTACAGATTCAACTGCACCCAACAAAAAATTCTCTCAACCCTAAGAGACAATAATTTTATATATTTATTTTATTTTTATTTATTTATTGATTTGATTTGATTTTTTTAATGCAAGTAAGGTCTGACGATGAGTGTTAATCTATTTTGGTACATTTTAAAGGACTAATAATAAACTCCTATCATGAGATTTCCTCCTGTGGTCTCTGGGGTAATGAACGTGTAATTTGATCCTTCCCAATCATTTTAATCTGCCTATCCTCACTGAGTTGATCTGTCAGAAGTGTTTCAGCATTTTGCCATCTTCAGTTTTGGGTCTTAAAAATGTTAAAATGCTTCTGGCCGACAACCTAGCAAGGATAGACCAAGATGATTAATAAGAACCAAATTATTAACAAAATCCTTACTTGCAGGTATATCAAATTAATTTTAGTATTTAATAACTTTTTACATTTTTTATCAGATTTTAGCAATTTGTCTTTGAAATTAGAGCCTAAATGTCATGAGAGATACCAAAGCTCCAGGAAACCAGCCAATGATATTTGCTTTCATGAAAAGCAAAAGTCCTAGAAAGGCATTCGTCCATGATGATGAGTAACAACTACTAAAATAATGTCTCAACACTAAATAAGGTTCAATGAAAAGTTCTACTCTGCTCTAGGTTTACTCATGGGAATCTCACTTTATTCAATTTTTTTATCTATTGAGGGAGAGAGGTTTTCGGACAATATCATAGAATGGAAAAAGTTCTTAGATATTTTTGGAATGGAACAGTCAATTTTTCAATACCCTACACAAGAAAATATAATTTATATTGAAAGTCTAATCCTGAAAGCATTGAATTTAAAAAAAAAATCTGGACAAATAAATAAAAGGAAGAATGATTCTAAATTTGTATTAAACCAAAATATTGAGGATCTGAAACATTTATAAAAATTAAATATCTACTTAAGGGTTGCCTGATTAACACAAACTGTAAGAAAAGCAAATGTTTAAATTGAAAAAAGTATCTGTAAAAAGATTTTGCATAAAATTACACATATGTAAATAGAGACGAATAGATTAAAAAAAAAAATCAATTCTGTCAAAAGTTAAACAAAAGAAACATTTAAATTTGCTTTGAAACTCCTGCTTTTTAAAACTCAATGGGGTGAAATTTCTCTGTGCATAGCCAAAGCAAAATGGCCAATTTTATAATCTCACACTACTGAAGCAGAATTACATGACAAGGACTATCAAGCGACATACCAAGACGTCAGTATTTTCGAAATAGTTTTTCCAGTACGGCCGAATTTTCTTCTGCCCCCCGATGTCCCAGACGTTGAGTTTGAAGCCGTCCGATTGCACAGTCTTAATATTGAAACCCTGCGTCGGCGTCACATGGTTGATGTCCTCTGAGGCCAGTTTCTTCAGCAGCGTCGTCTTGCCAGCGTTGTCGAGGCCGAGGAGCAGCAGCCGAAGCTCGCGCTCCGGCGACGACTTGAGCCTTCTGAGGATCGAAAGGAGACCCTGCATTTCCAAAGGGGATTTCCAATTAAACATATTCATTATCTTTCTCTTGAGTTTTGTATTATTGAATTATCATATTAAAAGGTGTTCTGCTAATAAAAAAGTGTGTTATTTTTTTCAATAAGAAAACCATATGCTTTTTTTTCTATTTTCCTTTTTAAAAACAATTACATACTATGAAAGAAAAGTATTTTTTGTTTTATAATAAGATGAAATTATTATTTTTTAAATATATTTGTATTCTAAGATTAAAAGGATAGTGTTTTTTAATTACCATGCTTAAGGACAAACCGAATCCAGTCTTTCCTGTCTAAACTATCCTTCCCCTCATTTTAAATCAATAAATTGATTTTCCTTTTTCGTAAAGCCCTCTCAGCGGACACAGGGCTCCTAAATACTAGAACGACGATTTACACTGCAACGCCCTTTGTCAATTGTACTGGAACGAAGTACGAATTAAATCAAACACTTTTAACAATCAATCACAGTAAATTGAATAAAAAGTGACGATTTAATGAGAAATCTAGAAAAAACAATCTTGTAGCCTTCGAATTATTGGACACGGAGGTTTTATTTTTAAAAAAGAGAACCGTAAAAAAAAGCTCCTTTTAATATTTATACTTTTGCTTTGTTCAATCGTCAGAATATTTTTGACCTTGACAACTGTTTTGAAATAAGGAAAAGTAAGGCCTAATTTTACGACCAGGCACGTGTTTTTTATTGTTTTTATTGACAATTAACCGAAGCGTACGTCCGTGAGTCGATTGGCGATAGTTGAGCGACGTCTTTGATCGATAATCCTTTGTGAGGCGTACGAGTTTGTGAGTCGGATTGAACGGCCAACCGGTCCAAAAGTCCGACAGCAACAAACTTCGCCCGCCCTTTTCAACCAATGAAATAATTCGACAACTACAACAAATGAACAAATAGACTTTCTCCGTTTCATTTATACTTAATTTAATTTTTTTTTAAATCATAACCGTGAATTTTTTAATTGGACAAAAGTTAAAAAATTTTCCACGATTGGGTAACAGATAATAAGCGTAAGAATATTTCTAAAAATTATACAATACTTGTACAAGTACATGTTCACTGGTTGGAAAGGATAGTTCTAATCACAAACTTTTGAATATGCGAAAAACGCAGATACTCTCGAATAATTGAAGTAGATATACACTCAAAGTTATCCAATACACTCAAATTAAACAAGATTCATGAGCTTCAATAAAAATATTTGATTAGTTAGTAGTTGTAATTCGTTACTGAGTATGCTTCTCCATTTTTTTTTTTTTTTTTGATCCAACAAATTTAATAGACAGGCCAAAATGAATTCTGTCAATTTAGTACACAATTTACAGACTATCATAATTCCTTTTTTTATTTGGTTTCATCCAAGGGAATACGCACCACATCAGATCCAAAAATATACTGAAAGGTAAAAACCGGACACCAATATTGTTGATATTTCCAACTATATATTGTTATATTAATTACAACATACTTATTTTATTGAAAACCAAATTAAACAAGATTCACGAGTTCAATAAAAAATATTTAATTAGTTAGTAGTTGTAATTAGTTACTGAGTATGCTTCTCCAATTTTGTTTTTCTGATCCAACATAAATTTAATAGACAGAGGCCAAAATGAATTCTGTCAATTTAGTACACAATTTACAGACTCTACATAATTCCTTTTTTTATTCGGTTTCATCCAAGGGAATACGCACCCCATCAGATCCAAAAATATACTGAAAGGTAAAAACCAGATGCCAATATTTTGTTGTTTATTTCCAACTATTGTTATTGTTATATTAATTACAACATACTTATTTTATTGAAAACCAAATTAAACAAGATTCATGAGCTTCAATAAAAAATATTTAATTAGTTAGTAGTTGTAATTAGTTACTGAATATGCTTCTCCAATTTTTTTTTTATCCAACATAAATTTAATAGAAAGAGGCCGAAATGAATTCTGTCACTTAATTTATTACACATTTTACAGACTTTATCAGAATTCCTTTCCCTAACCCCTAACCATCCCCAAAATTATACTAAAAAAAAAAAGGATACTCATATATTGGTATTTATTTCCAACTATATGTATTTTTATCAGTATTTTAATTACAATATACTTATTTTAATGTAGACCAAATTAAACGAGATCAGAAATTTATGAGTTTTAATAAAAATTATTTAATTATGATGGTTTGAAAGAACATACACCAAAACACTGGAAAATCATTTAGTGATATAATGAATAAAACTAAATTTATTATCTGGGTTTGTTGTAATAACCTATTAAGAGCAAAACTAAGTACAAAAATATTTAGTTAAATTTTACTTTATCTGCTACCCGCGTAACATAAGTATGTTGCAATTAATATAACGATGTATAAAATACATATAGTTTGAAATAAACAACAAAATACATTCGGTATTTGTTTTTGTTTTGTCTGAAAAACAAAAATAATTTTTGAGCATAATTTTAATATAACGCTTAATAATTTTTCAACAGTTAATTATATTTTTAAAATTTATTTTAAAGGTATAAATAGGGCTTTAAGCCCCCTTACATGCACTTACATTATAAATAAATTAAGTTTATAAACATAATAACATAATTAATCATTCTTTTTATGTAAGGTCTCGGTTAGATAAAAAGTTAGTGTCACAAGCGGAATTTGAACCCATGACCTTCAGCTAGGTTTAAATCCCACTCGTGACGCTAACTTTTTCATCTCAACCAAGACCTTACATAAAAAGAATAATTAATTGAATGAAGTAATTTGGTCAATTAGACTACTAAAACATAATGAATTTAATAATAAAATAATAATTACAGCAATAATAATAATAAAATATGCAAAACAATAATGATAATAATATATTACTTAAATTATTAATTATTTCTATTCAAATTATGAAACCATATTATGAAAGAAAAGCAGACAAAAAAGAAAAATGTAGAGAAAAAGTGAATGTAAAGCTGGGTATCATCAGCACGTAGATGAAATTGGGAGAAATTAAGAACAAATGGAAGATCATTTAACAACATGGAAATAAATAAAGGACCTTGGGGTTCATCAGCTGAAATAGAGAGTGAAGAGATAGAATTTGGAGCTTTAACTCTCTGTAAGACAAATTGGAGGGAATGAGATTAGTAGCAGTAGAAGAAAAAACAAAAAGATGCATCAGTTTCCAATAATCAAATTATGATTTACAAAACCAAGTGCATTGGAAAAAATTAAGTAGAACAATAATAGTGCACTTATTACCATCAATGCCTAGGCGAATATCATCTGAGATTTTGAGAAGGGCTGTCTCACAACTATGAAATTTTTGGAAGCCAGATTGAAAAGGGGATATAAGGGCATGGGAGTCAATATATAAGGATATTTGTTTAAATAAAATCTTCTCAAATGCTTTGGATAGTTGGAAGAATACTAATAGCGCAATAGTCACTAGCAATGATGGGTTTAGGTTTCTTAGGTAAAGCAACTATTAGGGCTTCATTCCAGGCTGAAAACAGGATGAGGTTAGAAAGATGTTCAAAATGTGGGTTATGTATTTTATAAAAGTAGTACCTTGTAGTTTTAAAGAAAGTATAGTCTTTCCACTGTATAAAAAAGGAAATAGAAATGATGTCTCAAACTACAGAGGGATCTCCTTCATTAACACAGTTGGCAAGCTGTATTCGGGCTGCTTTTAAACAGGATTAATGAATGGATGAAAAATGACAACATAATTACAGAATCGCAAGCTGGGTTCCGTCAAAACTACTCAGCCATGGACAATTTAAAATAATCTAGTGAGTTTAGTGAAATTGAAGCTTAGAATAAAGAGGCAGAAAGTATTCGCATTTTTTGTCGATTTCACGTCGGCATTCGACAGTGTTGACCGACATTCTCTTATCTGTAAATTATACGATCTTGGTCTTACTTCTAAATTAATAAAGCCAATTAAAAATTTGTTATGCCAATGTGTGGATGGGATCTCTCGGAAATTTTATACCGAAATGGGAGTGAGGCAGGGCTGTTTGTTCAGCCCAACACTTTTTTCATTATATATTAATGATTTGGAAGCATGCTTAGATGGCGGTGGTGTGTGTGGAGGGTAGTGGCAAAATCAAGTTGTTAGCTTATGCAGATGGCATAGTTTTACTCGCCTCACACCCTGCCTCTTTACAGGGAATGATCAGGTCTTTACAACAGTACTGCCTCAGATGGAATTTAAGAATAAATTTAAGATTATGGTGTTCAGAAATGGGGGTAGACCTGTGAAAAGTGAGAGGTGATATTTGAGAAACTGAGGAGATAGAGGTGGTGAATGAGTATAGGTATTTGGGAATCCGACTCACGCGCGGCACTGTCAATGAACAAACATGTTACGGATGCGGTGGATAGAGCAAGGATGGGACTAAATTCTATCTGGAGACCTCTTATAGACAACGGAGATATTGCATACCCGACTAAGCTAAAAATATTTAACACATGGTCTATTTTATTTTATGCTACGGCGCTCAGGTTTGGGGAGGAGAGATGTTTGGACAGGTAGAGGGGTTTCTACGGTTCTTCATCAGGAGGCTGTTCAGGCTGCCTCAGTATGCCACCACAGCCTTCCTCTATGCTGAGACGGGTCTCCTGCCAATTTTTCTCTACACTGTGAAACTTCACTTCGACTACGTAATAAGAATTTTATCCCTACCAGATAATAGACTCCCGAAGTTCCTAGCTAAGAGGATTGTAGATAAAGATATGTATTGGTTTAAGGAAATAAAAAGGCATATCATGCAATTTAATTTGGACGTGTCTTTAGACTGGAACAATATCGACAGAGTTGAACTATGGAGGGATGGTTTGAGACTAGTTAGACGGTCCATTTGTGACAATATAAAGAGACAATATTACACAGCTTTGGCCAATTCAGACAGTTTCCCCACTCCATAGAGAGCTTCTTTTCAAATCCCCAAATTATCTAATGGATCTCTCGCTACCCTTAGATAGCATGCGGTGGATAATTAAGTGTCGGGGGGATCTATTTAACTTAAACTACAAACACTTCAAGCAGCAGGATATTAACTGTGAACTTTGTAGTGGTACAGAGCGGGAGGATTTGTTCCATTTCTTGGCAACTTGCCCCGCACTGACCGCTGTCAGGAAACCCTATTTTGGTAGGGAAACTCTGTCTAGTGAGATTCTGCTAGAATATATTAATGGCAAGGATTGGACTGTGTTGGTAAATTTCTGCAAAGAGGCTTATTCTCTTAAGGTGCCCCTACACTATCAAGCGGCTTGATCAAATGCTTGAGTAAATCGATTGTATCAAGCGTGATTGATAGTGTAGAAACCTGATTGACGCTTGAAGCAAGCATTGATGGTGATTGATAGGAAGTTTGAATGATTCAAGCAGATGATCAAGCGGCTTGATAGTGTAGGGCAATTTTCATCAAGCATTGCGTCAGTCACTCGGTGGAAGTCATGGCGTCTCCACTCCAGTAGATAATCAAAACTTTCTTGGTCCATTCTCAAAAAGTTCCTGTAGTCCTCTGGTTCCGATTCACACAGAAAGTTTAGTAGATGTTCATGAGTGAAGCGGTTTCTCAGTTTGTACCACTCCTTAGCCCACCGTCGTTTTTTCTTTTGCTGTTTTTTCTGCTTCAGGGCAACCAATGTTAAGACTAGGAAGCCCAAATCTGTATTTGAAACCATTCAGCACCGAAACAAAACAAAAAATCAAACAGCGAAACGCACTGCTCCACTTCACGGCTTCCACTGATGAGGGTCGAGGGAGTTTTGACCGAAAGATTGAAGGGTTGATTGAAGCACGCTTGAAGCTCCCATCAATCGGAGGTTCAAGCATTTGATCAAGCCGCTTGATAGTGTAGGGGCACCTTTAGAGCCAGAATCAGAGACACCTGGTGAGGGTGGAGGCGGCTTGTCGGATTCCCCTGAATAGGTGAAAAGCTCATCTTTGACCTGAATATTATATCTTTAACTCTTATTATTTGTTTTGTTTTTTACTACTATCTCTTGTGGTAGATAATGTAGTTCATTATTATTTATTTTTACTTTTTTTATTTCCATTTACTTTAGTTTATTTTATTATTGAGTTATGTTCATTATAGGTAATCATAAATAAGAGATATATATGTTTGCAATCGTGTTTCAGCTATTATTATATAATTATGTTCTTTTATTACATTACTGAAATTTTTGAAGAAAGTCCTTTTGTAAATACTAATTATAATTACTTGTAAATACTAAGAAGAGAGATTTTAGTTATATAAGTTTATGTGCTAGACTCCCTCAGACGATTTTAAACCATGAGGAACGTCTTTGTTGCTCTGTAATATATACTGCCGTCTGTAAACTTTGTATATATATTAAACAATAAAGACATATAGTAGTAGTAGTAATCTAAATGACTTTCTATGAGGTACTTATTGGCTCTATAATCTGCATGCTAATGATTTTGTGACTTTGAGATGATTTTCATAATAAAGAACTATTTGAGTTTCAAGGTTTTCTTAAAAAATGGGGTTTTTGGGGTTTGATTTTATATTAACATAGCAGAAAACTACAAGTTGTTGCTGTCGTTTTGGAAGATTTGGCTCCCCACTTTCTGCGAGTATACTGCTTATTGGGCTCATTTTAATAATTCTGCATAGACTTTGCATTGAAGTAAGCAAAAGTAAAATTTGTATCTGGAGATATAAAGGACTTAATTAGTTCATCTACAGGGACAAATTCAAGTGAGGATATTGACAGCTGATAAATTAAAGACAAGTGAGAAGGAGCAGAGGACAAGCAAGGAGAATTATCTACCATTAGGAAAAGTACATGGAACTTACTGTTGAATCGACTAGTTTATGGTCCAAAGAGGGTTTTCATTGCAAAATAAAAAAAAAATTGTTAAATAACCAATTATAGGAATTTTTGAACTACTGAAAAAAAAATTTTAAATATATTTTTAGTTGGCTGTTTTTAAATGTTCGTCTCTTCTATAGAACTATTTTTTCAAAGATGTCATTTGTTATTATTGCTTGGAAAGAAACAATTTATAGGAGAAAATGTGTATATTATATAAAAAGAATTGTACGTTCCTAATTGTAGAAGTAGATAGGATGATAAACAATTGGCGGGAAGAGAAAAAAACCGTTGTCAGCCCGGCATCGTTGAGTGTGGTGATTTCAAAGGAGCGCTGTCAATTTATCGTCCGGCGCCACATGTTGGACCGGTGCCACCGGTGAAAACCACCCGGCACCGGCCGACTTCAACAATTAATTAAAAACCGGCTGCTCGTCCTAGAGCAAAGAGCATTTTTTAGTTCGAAAGGGCGGATTTTTCTGTAATTTTTGAAGTGGCCGTTTTTAATTCCTGGGTCCGGTAAAAGGGCGTAAATAATCGGCAAAAATCCGGCCCAACATGGCTAACCGGTGCGAACCGGGGTCTGAACCGTGCGCCTTCTTCCCTCCAACTTTCCATTCAATCCGCGTCCAGCAACTGTCGTAGTCTCTCTTGGTCTGTACTCCTCTGCGTATCGTTCTGCTCGTTAAGTCGTCCCAAAGGTAATACCACCATTTAATCTCACCAATTTTACTAACTATTTCCATTTAAGAAATAATCTAAATTATCTGTGAATTTTCTGTAGATTATTAATATAGTTTTTCCCTTGGAAATTAATTATACGCCGGTGTTAGTTTTATCTCTTGCTTGCTTTTTACCCACAGAGTCGTACATGGGTTTTGTAAAATCAATATTATCCTCCGACCTCTTGTCCTCTCTTTAAACATATTTTTTTATTATTTATTCAATTTTTTTTTCGTTTTTGTTTTATTTTTTTAAATATTTTTTTTAATGTACAGCCTAAACTTTTTTACTCATTAATTTTCTCATAATTCTCACCACGCTTATAAACCCATTCCGACTCGGGCCATTTTATTTTTGTTCTCTTTCCCTAAACTTTATATTGATTTGTTAACAATAAAAAAATTATTTTTGAAGAAACAGATCAACAACAATTTTTTCTTAATTTACCTAATTTTTCCAATATATATTTAGCGTTAAAAAAAATAAAGTAATTTTTTTTCTACAAAAATTTGCCCGTTTTTACTCGTTCTTTCTTGATTGTAAAGTCGGAATGCGTGGCCGGCCGGTGGGACGCCGTTGGCGGCAAACCCGGCGGTCGGGCGAAGATCCGTTATCGAATGTCGCGCGCGAACGCAGCTTACAAAGGCGACGAAGATGAAATTCCAACTTTCACAAATTTTTTCTGCAGTGTTCCATTGATTTTTGTAGAAATTATTTTTGTTCTTTTTTTTTAAATTTTATTTCCCCCCTAATAGCGCCCGATACACGATCGAAACTTTATCGGCGGATTGGTGAGTTTCGGTCGAAACTTAAAAAGTTTCAGTTAAGGTCTCCCAACGACCTCCGATCCCTTTTGAAAAAGCATACGTTTATAGAATACCAAGCCTTTTTTCTGTTTTCCTGCGTTTTTTACGGAAGTTTATTTATTTGAATTTTTTTAAAAATATTTATTTTATTTTTTTAAATCGTGGGTGAATCCCTTCTCCGTTTATTTTCGTGTTGCCGCACGCTAATCTTAAATTTCATAAATGTTATTGTGTATTATTTATTAATTACTTCTGTATAAGATTTTAAGGATATTATAAATTTATGTATATAATTTCAAAAAGGCGTTCTTTTGTATATGAACGTTTTTTCCTGCGCGTATATAACATAATATATAAGGTAAAGATTATTAATTTATTTTCTAACGGAATCGTTCAAATTTATAAATAATTGAAAATCTCAAATCAAATGTTTATTTATTTAAAATTTTACAATTCTGTTCGCTAGGGCTGCATGTTTTTTTTATAATAAGCATATCTTAAATATAAGTATAGTACTGTATTATTTTAATACAGTATATTACATATTCATCAATAAATCAATATAATGTAAAATAAAAAAATACAGATAAATAGTTTATATTTATGTATGTTAATACGAATTTTATTGCCATGCAATTTTGTAAAGATAAACGGTATGCATAAACAAACCTTTCAGATTATCTCAATTCAATACGGTACGGTACAATCGTAACTTTGTCGGCGATTCGTGAGTTTCAGTTAACTTTCAGTTAAGGTCACGCCCCCTCTCAGATCCATTTTGTAAGAAAAACCCCTTAGTTTTTAGAATCTCCAGCCTCTAATATTCCGTACTTTTTAAACCTAAAACAAAAAGATTAACGACCTTTTTATCACTTACAATGCTATTGGCAGAAAATTCCCGTTACGGGATATATCTTTCGAAGCATGTTTTTTTGGTAAAGTACATAATAATAATTATTTAAGCATATAAACATCATATTTATCATTAAAAATTCATAAACCTTGCAAAGTTGGTTGGAGGTAAATTTACTTCTCCGTAACGCATGAAATTCCAAGTTATGCAATCCGCACAACATGCGTCGCGAAAGGGACGTTTTCTTTAACATTTAATAATAGTTGATATCAATAAAAAAAATGGTTTCGGAGTTTTGCCGGCTTCAAGGGATTGACCACAGTCAGTGGCACAGGCATACCACGGAACCAAATTTATCATAAAGTTCGGAAGCCATGTATAAACAATTGTTATATGTTAACGAATTATTAATCCAGGGTGAATATTGAATTAGTCGCGGCAGTGCTGGGTTTTTTCAATAAGCCTTGATAAACGGCGTCCGTGCCGGGAACAAAGGAAAGGATCAAACTTCCCCCTCCAGACCACTACCCTGTAACGGTTTGCCTTCCAACTGTCAAGGGGGTTGGACCGGGCAGGCTATAAGGCACCCCAATACAAATCCCAGATTTTCAATTTTTTATTCTAAAATGTTTATTTAGCCTTTAAAAAATAGAGATTTATAATATTTTATTATTAAGTGTTTACAAAACTTATGTGTCGATTTAATTTATTTTTTGCAGCTGTATTTATATTTAATTAAATCTAATTTAGAGTAAAAAATTGTTTAATGTAAACATTTAATTTTAATGTGTAGAGATTAGTGACCGTTAATTACTATTTAATTTTAAGTTAACCACGTGAATTGGTAGGTTAAGAGAGTTTGTAATAATCAAAGATGATTGTATAATTTTTTAAATGTAATTAAGCAAAAAAAAAATCATTTGGCCAAATATGGAATTCTGCAAGGAATAAAAGGAAAGTTTAATTATATTTGCTATATTTGTGTCGTCTTTAGTGACAGTTAGCCAATGATTATTTGGAGATCATGAGGTGCTCAAAATGTTTGTTTTCCGTGTAGATGTGTCATTCTTGTCTGTCGTGTTGAGAGTGAACACTCGTAAAACAAACACTTTGAGCCCTGAAGATGATCTCAATAAAGATCAAAACGTTGGCACGATAAAGAAAATATTTTTCTAAAACCTACGACACCAGACTGCACCTCACGAACTCCAAATAATCATTTAATTATATTATAAATTTATTATTATGTTCCTTTCCTGGGATGTCATCCCTATAAATTATAATTAGGAGTTGATTAGTGTTTTTGTGCAACATTTGTTTTTATAATTCATATAAATTTCAATATTTTGTTTCTTGATATGTTTCAGAAATAAATACACAATGTCTGATGACGGTACAGTTGTTGAAAAGAAAAGGGGAGGCCGTAAGTCAGAGGCTGAAGTTGAAGTGAGTAATATATTATGTTTAGTATATAATTAAAATAATGACTTTTTTATTTTAGGAAGTAAAGGAGGTAAGAAAGAGGGGGAGGTCAGCTGCCGAAAAGAAGGAAGCACCTAAGAAGGTGACTGAGGACGGAGAGGCACCCGCCAAGAGGGGCAGGGGCAGACCCAAAGGCTCGTCAAAGAAAGCGGCGGCAAAACCCAAAGCGAAGACCACAGGTGGAACCGGAAAGAGAGGCAGACCCAAGAAAAAGGAGACCAAAAAGGACGAGTCCGAGAACGAGGAAGAGGAAGATGAAGACGAGACTGAAGAAAATGGAGAGGAGGAGGACGATGAATAAACGTGCTGGTGGCCTTCATTTTTGTTCGCCCACCTCTGCAGTATTCCTTCCATTTCAATATTATTACATTTTGCGTTTTCAAGAACAATTTGATACGGATGATTACTCCTCATGCCAGTATGGCAATTTTAATAATTTTTCCCTTTGTAACTTATATTTTCAATAATATTTTTGTTCCTTAAATTATTTTTTAAATACAATTTTCTCTTTTCCATACTGCCTTACATTTATTTACCATAATCTCTTAGAAAAATAAATAAATGTATTTGTTTTACCAGTTGTGCAATGTAAGATAGTCTGTCGATAGAAATAGAATAGAAGATAATAACAATAAATAAATCTAGCTCTGTTGGTAGGGAAGCTTTTAGGCATTTGACTTAAAGGAGGGGGTAAGCCAGAAACACACTTACCTGATGCTACCCGACGTCTTGCCACGTTTTGGTGGGGTGTGCACATCTATCCGACGCAAGCACACGTCGCATACAGTCCACAGCGTTTATCACAATAACACTATCACAATCGCAACGCATCTTTTGTTCTTAATGCACTATTTTGAGCAAAACCTTGTAATAAAATGTTAGTTAAATTTTATGAGCACAACCATCTAATAAATTGTTTGTTAAACGTAATTGTTTTAAATAAAGTTACTCTTAACCATCATAATTAAACAGTGTTTATAAAAACATGCATTTTTTATCTCGTTTAATTTGGTTTACATTAAAATAACTTGTAATTAATATAACGACAAAATTACGTGTACTTAGTTTGAAATAAACTACAAAAAATATGAGTGTCCTGTTCTGATGCTACCTGACATTACAAAATGGTGTAATTTTACGAGCAAAACTATGAAATAAATTGTTAATTAAATTTTATGAGCAACAACCGTGTAATAAATTGTTCCAATTTTAGTATATATACCGCCGAAGTGAGTTCAATAAATTGTTAGTTAAATTCATTATATCAAAAAATCGTATTCCGGTTTTTGATTAATTTTCTACCAAACCATTAAAATTAATTTTTTTAAATAAAAACTAATTAATTTTTAATCACAGTTAATTTGGTTTACATTAAAATAAGTATGTTGTAATTAATATAACGACAATAATACATATTTGAATAAAAATATGAGTGTCCGGTTCTTTTGTCTTAGACTGTACTCGAGGAAAACCGACGAAAATCTGGACAGTGGGGATCGCAGAGCGTCGGGTAGGTTAGCGTGGCATAGCATCGGGTAGATGTGCACAGGGGTAATGCAACCTTATGGAAAATCGGAGTTTTGATTTGCATCGGGTAGCGTTGCATGGTGTAGCATCAGGTGTGTTCCTGGCTGTATACTAGCGACCCAGCCAGCCACATAATGGGGTGGGGTGGGTGAACTCCATGATGTGGTCAGTACATAGGGAGTGACAACCCTTCAGTGTGAAAATCCAAATAAAAATACATTAAATATAATAAGAATAATCTAATAATAAAATATATAATACATAAAATATAAGATAATAATTAATATAATAGAATAATATATAGAAAAAAGTATCTTGGCACTTTGAGGTTGCTAAAAAATAACCTCTACAATCTAGTTGAGTTGAGGTCCTTTTTAATAGAAATATTTTTTGTTTAACAACAAAAGCAATAAGAACAAGTTGAATAAAAGGAAAAAGTTGTTTTTCTGTTAAAATAGACGTCAACCACAATATACAGAATAATCTAATAGCCCATCGAGTTCTTTTTAACAAAAAAAATTAAAACTTTTTGTTTGAGTGGTTCTTGTTCTGTTCCTTTTTGTTGAAAAGGGAAAGGTTTTGTGATTAAAAGTACCTCAACCATGAAATCCAGATATCCAACAATTCACCAAAAGTCCTTTTTAACAGAAAAACTGCTTTTTCATTTTGTCTGTGTTCTTGTTCTGCTTGTTCCTTTTGTAGTTGAACAAAAAATATTTTTCTATTAAAAAGGACCTCAACTCAACTGGATTTTATTCCTTAACAACCACAAAGTGTCAAGATACTTTCTTCTATATATTATTCTATTGTATTAATTATCTTATATTTTATGTATTATTGTATATTTTATTATTAGATTATTTGTATTTAATATATTTGAACTGAAAAGGTTTTTTTTTAAAAAGGATTTTTGATGAGTTGTTGAATGAATCTGGATATCAAGGTTGAGGTCTTTTTTAATAGAAATACTTTTTCTTGTTGTTGGAAGGAAAAGGAACAAGAACAACTTCAACAAAAGGAAAAAGAGTATTTTGTTTTGTTAAAAAAGACTTGATGAGTCTTGAAATATCAGCCAACCACTATACCTAGATGCATCCAACAAATTGAAAATCCCTTGTTAATAGAATTTTTTTCTTTCAACAACAAAAGGAACAAGAACAACTTGTACAAAAAATATATAGTTTTTTTTTGTTAATAAGGACTTATGATGAGTGAGTTAAAAAGTATCTCACCCACAATACTGACTCATCAAAAGTATTTTTTTAACAAAAAATCTAAAAAAATTTCTTTTGTTAAAGTTGTCCTTGCTCATTTTGTTGAACAAAAGAAAAAATTGTGATGTTTGTATCGGTGGTGATGGATGGTGGATTATCGGTCGATGGCTGTTAGAATAAAGAAAACGACTTTGAATCTTGGCCAACGTTTCGATTTAATTGAAAATCTTTTTCAAGGCTGTCGCTTGATATCTAAGTGTCCTCTTTTTTTATTATGGCTTATTTATTGTTATCAATTAGCAAATGTTCCACGTTATTTTTCTACTCCATTGGTTGCTACCACGAGGGGAACTGCCTTCCAATTGATAACAATAAATAAAGCATAATAAAAAAAAGAAAAAAAGAGGACACTTAAGATATCAAGCGACAGCCATGAAAAAGATTAAAAATTAAATCGAAATGTCAGCTAAGATTCGAAGTCGTTTTCTTCATGCCAGCAACCATCGACTGATAATCCCATCACCACCGATACAAACATCACAATTATAATTCAACGGACATCAAAAGTTACAAAAAAAAAAAAAAAAAATGTGTCTTAAAAAGGACCTCAACCCTGATGTCCCACAAAAATAAAGTCTATATTAGTACATGGGCACTTTAATTGTTTATAGTAACGGTGTTATTTGAATAATTTTGCAAAAATATATTAAGAAAGACTACTTGCTGATTAATGATATATAAACTAATATATAAACTAACTGATATATAAACTAACAATGGCTATTTAGGTAATATGTTTTTTGCAATTAAAATTCATTAGGTAAAGTAGACTAATAAAAAGTTGATTATATGAGTTTCAATGTTCAACGTGAGTTATCAACCCATGAAATTGATTTATGAATGGCGACAGGAGGGGGAAGATGTTAATCAAGTAAGGCATATCCTCAGCCTGATCATCTTTTTTTGTTAAAATTACTAAAAAAATCAAAAGTAAATAGCTATTGATACAATTCTCGGTTAATCGATAGCTCGGGCCGAAATGGAAAGTTGCAGGGGGCGAGTGAAAGGAGTTTGTCAATCCTGAATCCATACCCCGTGACACGCTCCCCGGGCAAATTAGACACAGGGTCCGGCTCTTTCTTCCGATAGACCTTCTACCGTCCACTACACGAAAATGGAAGCAGAAATGGCAAAATATCCGAAAAGGACCGACCAGGTCTTCCAATACGGGACATCGGGCTTCAGAGATAAGTCAGTACTAATGCAATACCTTCCAACTAATAATACATTTTAGGTCTTTTTTATGTTTATTATCTTCATTGGGCCTTTATTTAGTGATTAAACATTTTCTTAACAGGCAAAATAATATTTGTAAAATGTTAGGTGAATCTCGTTGTTTTAGTGTTAATCTCATTGCTTTCAGTCCAAACGCCCGTGCTTACGTGTCATAAGGCATAACTCAAAGCCCGTAACCTTCCAAGATCCTTGACAACAGACATTCGACAGCCTCCACCAATCCAACTCTCCCCGAACGTATTTAAAAAAAAACTAACTTTTTTGGTTTTAAGACAATTCCGTGTATTTTTTTAACAAAAAAAAAGTAAAATAAAATAAAAAATAAAAAGAAATCCGTCTTAAAAATTTCCCTTATTAAAAAAACACCTATAAAAAAGGATAAATCTAATTTTATTGTTAAAAAAAAAATTACAATTGCTTATCTTTTTTAATGGAAAGTTAAAAATATAAAAAATTGCCTAAGTAAAACATACACTACTTTTCCCTATTGTGAATAGTAAAATAAAATTTAAAAAAAAAATTGAATATGGGTAGTGTATATGTATATTTAGAAAAACAAATTGTCCGAGTGTTGTAAATTGTTAAAAAAATAATTACAAATTAATTAAGTAACCACTAAAAGAAAGTTAGAAATATGCAAAATCGCTTACTTAAAACAATTGCACTACAATCGTTTCTTCTTCTAAAGATTGCTTCTTTTTAAAGATGTTGAGATTACTTTGTTAGTAAGAACAGTTACAACCTTTTTTAATTAATTTAATTTTTATTTATTTATTTATTTTTTTAAATATATTTTGAAGCAGCCATGCTTGTCTTCAGCATACAAAATTTTTACATTATTTGAGATGTGCCTTTTATTGGCAGGCTACTTTTTTTTGCACTTGAAATATTGTGAAGATTGTGTTTTGTATGCTGAAGAGGAAGCATGGCTCCTTCGAAATATATAAATATAAATAAAAATTAAATAAAAAAAGTTTATAACTGTTCTTACCAAAAAAAGTAATCTCAACATCTTTAAAAAGAAGCAATCTTTAGAAGAAAAACAATAAAAATAAAATTAAAGTAATTGCTCAACAGTTTTCCACATTGTGAAAAGTATAAATAAAAAACAAACAACCATAACATTTGGACAGAAATACATGACAAAAATAAAACAAATAAATAATTAACAAGCCAATAATTTTAACAATGTATAATATAAAGTTCCTGTAATAATAATGTTCCTCAGCTTAAAAAAGTTAACTAGTTCCTTTTTATCACTCTAATTCTATTTCTTTTATAAATTAATAATAATCAAAAAATTGTTCTTCTGTACACTGTTCAAATTAATTCACAATGCTAAGTTGTGATGAGTAAATTTTTTTACCTCAAACAGAAATTTTACAATTTACAAACAAAAGGAAATAAAATACATATTTTATGATAATTTTGAGAAATTAGCATGAAAAATATATTATATAACTATTCTGTGTTTAGTTCCAATTGTTCTTTGATGATTGTCATGGATTTGAAATATTTTAAATATTTTTCCAATTAAAAAAAAAATATATATTTTTTTTTTATTGTAAATGTATTTCAAGGCTCTGCAAGCCTCCTTCTCAGCACAATATACTAAAATTGATAAAATTCTTCTTCTTATGAGGCTGCCTCTGTTGGCTATCATCATTGCAATTTTAACTTTTGAAATAGCCCTGCTGAAGTGATTCAAATCATTCATGTTGATTCCCCAACCATGAGGTCCTTCTTTTTCCACAAACCATCAATTATTCACTGTGGGATTAGTTGTAAAATTTCATATCTTTCTCTTCGCATTATGTGGCCAAAATAACTTAATTTCCTCTTTTTGATGTTCAAACCAATTCTTTCTCCTTTTGAAGTGCACTTCTGAATTTTATATATGGTCCACCCTTAAATTTTAAGCATTCTGCGATAGAGCCATATCTTAAGTGCTTCATGTTTTTATAAGTGAGCCTGTTTCAAGGTAAACGATTCAACACTATGGAGAAAATAATAACATTGAATCATGCGCATTCTTAAGGCTAGATTTAAATTTCAGTCTATGAAGAAGGCTTTCAGTTTTATAAACTACTATCTTGCCATGCCAATGCTTCTTTAATTTCTGCAGTCTGGTCATTGTTATCAGTGAATAATGTCCCCAGGTGTTGATATTTCCTCAACTATGTAATTATTTATGATGAAGTTCGCAGTCCTGTCATTAAATGTCTTGCTATTATAAATTTGGTCCCCATAGCATTAAGACAAGTTCCATTCACAGCTTTCATAATTACTTGTATTTCTTCCAGTGCAGTCATTGGCATATCTTATGCTATTAATTTCTTGGCTGTTGTTTTTTTACACACCCTGAGATTTCAGATATGGTATCCAATAAGATTCATTCCGTACATAAAATAAGATTGGTGACAAAATATATACCTGGCAAGTTCTTATCTCGATTTTTTAAAGCCTGGCCATTGGTATTGATAGTCCTTCTCTGGTTGTAATATAAATTAATTTTAATCTGAATCTATTCCCTTCCGTTTTAGAATCTCTTGAGAATGCTTCCTTATGATCATGATAAAATTATGAAAATTAAAAAAATGATTTTACTTTTTCAAATTTTTAAATATATATATTTTTTAACAAGATGTGACAAACAATTTGTATTCTTACTTTGATGAGATTCAATAGACAACTTGTTTGTTTATAATTGTTGGATTGGATGGCCTTAATTTTAAAATTTTATTGTATTGTACTGAGAAGGAGCTTGGAGTGCCTTGAAATACATTTATAATAAAAAATATATTTCAAAAAATGTTGAAAAAGCTTAAAAAATCATTCAAATCCTTAGATAACTAAATTTTGAATACATTAAAAACAGCAAAACAAATATATGTAATCACTGTGGTAGAGCAACAAATTTATGGTAGAACAGTTTAAAAATGAAATTTCCTATCATAAAGCTTCTATACTTCCAAGCACTGGGGCGATAGTTGAACAGTTAATCACCACTAAGTTACCATTTAGGTGCTGTGTGAGTTCCTAACTTGTTAATGTCCTCCTGTTGACTTTTTGTAAATGGTGGTTCTACTCACAGAATTAAATTCTCTATTAAATTATTAAATTATCTCTTTATAAAGTCCATGATCATTGAATTTTAAAATTTAACAATTAATGTGTGGTGATTAGTGATCGTTAATCGATAATTATTCAGAAATCGTGAGATGCGGTCTGGCGTGATGTAGGTTTCAGAAAACATTTTCTTTATTGTGCCAACGTTTCAATCTTTATTGAGATCATCTTCAGGGCTCAAAGTGTTTCTTTTATATGTAGATGTGTCATAGCCTTAGATTATTGAGATTATTGAGTGTCATTTTTAGTTTATTTAAATTGAGTGGGAACTCTCAACATGGCACGCAAGAATGGCACAATTACACAGAAGACAAACACTTTGAGCCCTGAAGATGATCTCAACAAAGATCGAAACGTTGGCACGATAAAGAAAATGTTTTTCTGAAACCTACATCACACCAGACCGCATCTCACGATTTCTGAATAATTATTTAACAATTAAGTTACCCTTAAAATCCTTCTTAATATCCTCTATTAATCCATCAAAATATATATAGTATATATATTTTTTTTAAAAATAATTACAACTCCAGATATATCAGAAATTGTTTGAAATTCCTTATGCCAGAATAAATTTTTATTTATTATTTCTTCCACTAAAATCTTTGGAAATCTATTGTTAGGAAGAAGTAGGACTTTTTGAATATTAATATGTAATCGATGTGAGTACAAAAGTTGTTGGAATTCATTTTAATTATATCTTAAGTTTAAAAATCATATTAAATTCAACACATCTATACGTTGCGCCTCAAAAATTCCAATATTGTTGATAATTTCAAAGTCATGTTTGTAAATAATAAATTACTTATAGCGGACCTTACTATTATTTTTCTTGTGTATCCGATCAACATAAATCTTAGCAATGTACAGTATAGCAATTCCAACTTATCCATTAATTGTGAAAACTTGTCATCAATACACTTTCTGGTTGAAGATATTATTGGTCAGTTAGACAAAGTGAAATGTAAAAAAGTCCTTATTAAAAAATTGTAGCTATCTGTTAGCTCCAAAATTGTCCAATAACTCACTTGTTCTAGGGAATTTTCCTTCTTAAATTCAGTAAAACCCATTTTCAAATCTGTCGGTAAATCAGATTTTTAAAACTATAGCCCCATATGCATACAAACAGCAATAGCTTAAATACTTGAATCTCTCATTTCAAACAAACGTCAACCATTGCTTAAAAGTTTAATAATCCCACAGCAACATAGTTTCCATTTGGCTAGATCTCCAGACTGCAATGAATTTAATCTTATTATACATATTATAGTGTCATCAAGATGTTCTATATATTTTAGATGTAGATGTATATAGATCAGGGTGTATAATATACTGCACCCTTTAAGAGCTGTTGTATCACCTGTTTTTGTGAATGTAGCACACCAGGGGGTCCTAGTTCATCAAGGAATTTGATTAGTATATATATGGTGAGCTACAGGTACAGAAACAGGTTATACAACAGCTCTTAAAAGGTGCAGTATACATTGTGATTTTTCCAAAGTTTCCAATCTGGTTGAACATGATACACTGATTAACTTCCTTTTTTGGAATTCATGCCTCTCACTCTCTAAATAGTTTTTCCTATTTAATGGTCAGAAGTCAACTGGTCAAATTAATATTTCTATTTTCTATTTCTCCCTAGTTTCCAAAATGTATTCCGCCTCCTTGGGAGTTCCTCAAGGTTCACTTCTTGGTCCTTTCTTGTTTAACTTTTTTTTATAAATGATAATTCATCTTGCTTTCCATATATTATTTTTTTTAAACTTTTTTGGCAATGATCTGAAAATCTATAAGTTCAAGACTTCAACACATTCTTTTCACATTTTTGTCTTATTTTGAAGATTGGTGTCATAACTATAAATTATTCCTCAAATGAAAAAAATAAATAAATGTAAACAAGTTACTTTTTATTATTCTAATTCTGGATTATATTAAAAAAAAGTCTTTAAAATGTTAACATGTTTTCAATGAAATGCATTCTTTTATATTTTTGTTCCATAACTGTTGAATTTATTTCCTTCTTTTCAATGTTTACTGGCCTGTGGTAAACATTCCCTCTACTTTCACTTTCTAAATTTATATCAATATTAAAATTGAGAAATGTACATACATTTTTTTAAAAAGAAGATGGAGTGCTCAATATTCCTCCATCGACCTGCATACAATAACAAACTAATTAATTAATTAAATAATAAATTAATATAATTGGGGTCAATGGGGTACTTTTACAAATATTCCGCCATCGGCCCAAATCATGTCAAGGGGTGATGGGGATGCCCCTCCTCATTTATTCGAATAAATATACTCACTCGTACAATACACAGAAACACAAAATACATGTTTTGAAGGCTATATACAATAAAAAAATCCCAACTCTCCTAAAAAGCTGAACAGGGGACCCTGAAACTAACTACCGTATCTGAGAACCATTCTTAAATCCAGTGGAATGCCTACACGCTCTCTGTATGGAGCCAAGGCCTAACACGCCTCTATTATCTGGGACACATCCATATTATTTTTCCAAATGTTCAACTGCAACAGTGTTTATGAATTCCAGTTATTATAGTAATGGAAAATACAGAAATTATATATACAATATATGTGCATGGTTTATTGACTTATTGAATCTTTATAACAATTTATTACTGCCACTGTTTATGTACCAATATCACCATAAAGAAACTCTTGAACTCTTTCCATTTGCTATTTATACATACATTATTTAATTATTTTTAACTAGGGCAGAAAAGTTAGATTACCTTGTTTTTCGCATGGGTCTTCTTGCTTCTCTTCGTTCAAGAGTAAAAGGCTCAGCAGCGATCGGGTTGATGATTACTGCGTCACACAACCCTGAACCAGATAATGGAGTCAAGCTGATTGATCCTCTTGGTGAAATGCTCGAACAGAGCTGGGAGCCTCTTGCAACGCAACTGGTTAACGTGAGCGATGAGAAGCTCGAGGAAGAACTTAGGCAAATAGCCAAGTCTACTGGAGCCGACATGTCAAAGCCATCTCTTGTCTTTGTTGGCCAAGATACTAGGTAATATGGTAAAATGCATTAGTTATTTATAATCAACAAGCACTCAATAAATGCTATTAAATTTTTTTAAAGGCCAAGTAGCTCAAGATTAGCTGATGCAGCAATAGCAGGGGCCAAAGCCTATAACGGTCAAGTCGTTGATCAAGGCATCGTTTCTACACCTTTGCTACATTATTTAGTAAACACTTACAATACTTCATCAAGCAAAGTACTTCCCAGCAAAGAAAGCTACTATGTTAAATTATCATCAGCATTTAATGGGTTGTTGAAGGAGGTATGTATATTTTACTTGTACTGTTTATAAATACTTTAAATTATGTTATTTTAAGGGAGGCTTAAAAAAGAACTATGACAAAGAATTGCAATTCGATGGATCAAACGGAATAGGGGCTTTGGTAATGAAGAAATTAACGCCACTTTTACAAGATAACTTAAAAGTCAATGTACACAATGACGATGTCAAATCTGCCGGAAAACTCAATTATAAAGTGAGCTTTGAAGTTAAAATCTGATCAAATGATCTGGTTATAATTTTGTAATGTTTACAGTGTGGGTCAGATTATGTTATGTCCAACCAGCTACCACCAGAAGGTTTTTCTATTCAGCCAGATAAAAAGATCGCCTCTGTAGACGGCGATGCAGACCGTATCGTTTATTCTTTTATTGATTCAAAAGGCTCGTTTTATCTTTTGGACGGCGACAGAATCGCAGTGTTGGGTAAGACTGGCAAAGTGATAATTTTCAGTCCATAAACGTTTTGCTAACAACTATATCTAAAATAATTAATTTACTGTAATTTAATAAGTTACGTTTAAAGAAATGCTACTAGGTTTTGGAAAACGATAATTTCTTTGATTCTTTTTTAGAGGAAAAAATATGAACATATTCACTTTTAAGTAATTGTAATGTTATTGTTTAAGGGAACCAATCATTTGTCTTAAATTTCTTGAAAATTTTAAATTTTTGAAAATTGAAAAAGAACATGTTTATAGCATTCATTGTCTGTCATTGATTCATTGTCACAAATCATAGATTGTTGTTTACATACACAATTTTTTTTCATTTAATTTTTTTCATTTAATTGTTTTGCTAACAACTATATTTAAAATAATTAATTTACTGTAATTTAATAAGTTACATTTAAAGAAATGCTACGAGGTTTTGGAAAATGATAACTTTCTTTGATTCTTTTTTAGATGAAAAAATATGAAAATATTCACTTTTAAGTAATTGTAATGTTACTGTTTAAGGGAACCAATCATTTGTCTTAAATTTCTTGAAAATTTTAAATTTTTGAAAATTGAAAAAGAACATGTTTATAGCATTCATTCACAATTTTTTTTCATTTAATTTCTACACATTTAATAAAAATTCAATTTGGTTCAGTTGCTGAGTATTTATTGGAGTTGCTGAAAAATTCTGGGCTAGATCTTGAATTAGGTCTTGTCCAGACAGCTTATTCGAATGGAAACTGCACTAAATACATCAATGAAAAATTAGTAAGTTTAAAAAATATTACAGTGAAATTTCCTTATAATGGATACTTACTATTGAGGAATGAAATATTGTTCACTTTTGGGTAAGAGTGTAAAAAAATTAGTATTACAAGATGGGCCACAATTGGGATTACAAGATATCGACACCTTTGAAACCCTGAGGATTTTTAGCCTTTTCTAAGATAAGAGGGTTTTTCAAATTCACCAAGCATATTTTTGCATAAGACCAAAGTTAACATTTTCTATCTGACAACGATGATTTTTAAGTGTTTAGCTTTATCCAGAAGTGTTCTAAAAAATAAGGTTTTTATCGCAATTAAAAATGTTTTTGTGTTCGAAATAGGCACAATCTTGTTAAGTTTTTCCATCCAGTTTTGTACAACCTCGGACCTTCCCTCCACTAATGGTCTGAAAAGAAATATGCCTAGTTCTAAGTTTGTTGAGCCAACCTGAAGATGCTTTAAAAATCCGTTTGCTCTCAATGTTTTGCAACTTTTAAGGCCTTTTCTCGGATAAGCAGACCTGACAGTGGTTTTTACAAACCCGAGCATGGCAAAACCAGTTAAATAGGTCCTGGTCTATGGCCATACCAGACTTTTAGGGAAAATCCTGTGGGATTGGTCATATCTGTGTTTGTAAAATTTATATAAAAGTTCCTTTTTATTTTTTAGAGTTTCACATGTCTGGGTCTTTCCATTGAAAAACTTAGCAGCCAAGTCTTGCACACTTTGTTTTTCACTTTCTTTTGCTTAATTTTTTCAAACGCACTGAAGAAGTAATTAAAGGGACTTAATATAGGAATGTTGGGAATATATTGGAACAAAACACAAAAGGGAAATGGCGTTAATCAGAAAACGTTCATTTTCTAGAGGCTGCTGTCCACTTTTGGGAGAATATGGTCGAAAAAAGCTATCTACATTTATTATTGGCAGTGTCCACTTTATAGAAAATTTTAATAAGAAGACGCTGGGAATTTGTTCATGGGGGGGGGTTGCTTTTTTGAAGTATCTTTTAAGGGAAATTTCACTATTATTTTTCACTTTTATTTTTATTTTTTTAATTTTGTTTAAATCAACCAGAAAATCCCAGTGAGCTGTGTGAGCACTGGAGTCAAACATCTGCACCACAAGGCGACCGAGTATGACATTGGAGTTTATTTTGAGGCCAATGGACACGGAACTGTAATTTTCAGCAACAATGCACAAAATTTGATCACTCAAGCAATAAATGATGAGAAGTAAGTACTTCTACTAGTGTTCTTTGATACAAATTTTTACAAATATTCTATTTAAGATTGGATGAAACGAAACGCAATTGGGTCCTAAAATTGAAACACACCACAGATGTTATTAACTCTATTGTTGGGGATGCTGTTTCTGACATGCTTCTTGTCGAGACTATTTTATACACAAAGGATTGGAGTATTAAAGACTGGGCATCTGCTTATACTAATTTACCCAGTAAACTTGTTAAAGTTTTTGTTAAGGTATTTTACATTATTGATCAGTTAGGTTTGTAATTTTTTAAAAATAATTTGTTTTGATAATTTAGGACAGAAATGTCATTAAGACGACAGATGCTGAAAGAAAGTGTACTCATCCAGTTGGCCTTCAAGAAGAGATCGATTCGATTGTGTCTGAGTATCAATTTGGAAGATCTTTCGTCAGGTGAGTAACACATTTTTGAATTTGTAGTCGGTTTTTATTACACGACATTGTGCAGGCCCTCAGGGACGGAGGATGTCGTCAGGGTGTATGCAGAAGCCGCAACTCAGGAAATGGTCGATCAACTAGCCTCTCGGGTCGCCCAAGCTGTGAGCAGCCTTGCATGTGGCGTCGAGCCCATGAATTCAAAAATTTAATACAATCATATTATGCGCTTAAAAATGAGTAAAGGTTGTGGAATTTACGGCTTATATTTTGCTTACTATTTGCTCAACATAAATTTAATGAAATTGTTATGTTAATGAAACTTTTATATATTTTAATAAAATCTGTACATCTTTAGTTTTATTTTATTACTTTTTGTACTTAGTCCAAATTTCATTCTCTTACCTTAGATTTTTTTCTTGTTGCTATGTGTTGGACACATCAGCCATGTCAGCAATGCTTATCTCACCCAGTGAACTCATGACACAACTGCTGTCCCACAATAGCTTCCAGCATCATCAGCAATACTACCAAACCTATAGTTACTTCATCCTAACTTGAAACTTTTCTTTTTACGAGGCTATTTCACCTGTGAGATTGTACGAATCCTCACGCTGGGTGTTTTGAAAAAAAAAAAAAAAACATTCGTGAGTATATTGGTGTCAATTGGGCTGTTGAATTCGAGCCCGGGACCTTTCCATTGGTGATTGCCTCATCAACACGTAAACTTTTGTGGCCACTGACACCCCCTCAAAACTTGAAACTTTAAAGAAAAGTTAAATTAAGGAACAATAAGTAAAAAATACTATTGAAAAGATTTTAATAAAATGAGACATTTAAAATAAGAATTACAATTTGATTCTGTTTCACCTCTTCAAATCGATGATTCTGCCTAAAAGTGGTATGTTATTTACCTGGCAAAGAAGGAAGTTTATATTTATGTTGTTCGTAGGTTGTATATCGTATCTGATTATCATGAAACAAAACGAATAACTATTCTTATCTTACACCAATCTTTGGTCACGCAAAGAATTTAATATTGCCTAAAAACAAATTTGTTAGTGAAACTTTTAAAACAAGTAACACCTGCTATTATAAATTAAATATGCATAGAAAAAATTAGCAATCAAAAAATCTTTCTGTGAAATGCATCTAACTTAACCATCTCTGAGCTGGTCTGCCTATCATCTCAGAATTTTTAAATGGCATATTTATAAATATGCCAAGCATATTACAGAATTTCACCATCTTCTGCTTGAAACAGACAAAATAAGTGAAATTTGGATTTATATTAATGATCAAAATTCATAGCATGACTGGATTTTATTTAAGTGGTGTTGTAAAAGTCAGGATGGTCATAGGGGAAGAATTAATAATATAATAATAGTAATAATAATAAATTTAACAATACAACCATCTACTGATTACTTAGTTTGCTGAATTTATTTCTTCTTGCAGCAAGTTATGAGAATCACCTACCATAGGTTTTGGCTGTCCAGGGTCAAATCGCAATATCAGTCTTACACGTCTTACCGCTGAAGTCAGTCATTCTCTTCTGTCCTTCACTTTCTCTCTCTGTCCTCTTACTCTTCACTTCCAAAGGTCCTCTGCCACCTTTCCTCATCCAGTCACATCAGCCCCAGTGTTCCTTTTAGTCTTCAACACCTTAGTCATTTCAGCCCCCAATGAAGGTTTTAAAGCTAAACCACTGATAAATATATTTTTTCCTATTTACATACTTAATTTGGGTAGTGGATACTCGATATTGTTCCAAAACCTTTTATACAGTCTATAGGGTCCTCAATTTTCCACCATTGGCCATTTCACACTTTATATTCACACTAATAAATACATTCACTCTCAATATATATAAAAAGAAACACAAGATGAGATATCTATCAAGTATTATATTCAGGGGACCTAAATATTTTTCGTACTAGATGCTCATATCGGGTTCTTACTCTCTATGACCTGACACCTTTTAATTATAGGAGGGGGGGGACACCGATCAATCTTTCTTTGCAAGCTGGGTCTAAAATATGTGTCTTTATGTCAACCTCTTCTTAGCAGTAGTTCCATGTTCTTCAATTCAGATCCTCAGAGGGCCACTTATTGGCTTGACTTAGGTCTTGATATGTGAGAGCTTCTCTGCCGATCCAGCCCACTGACATTTCAATTTCCTTTCAATCATATTTTTAATTTCAAATACAATTAGGTTAATTTATGAAATATCAAGTTGTAAGATTATATGCTAAACTCTATATACATATATATGGAGACTTAAAATAAATATATACATAGTCAATCGGTATCAACAAATTGAGAAAATAGTCAATTTATAATCAACCATGCTAAAAGAAATATGTTTGAGAAACAGCAGTATTAAAAAACTGAAGAGAATAGGTGGGTGTTTCATCTCATTCACTGTAAATCCTTAAATTCATTAACATAAACCATAAGTTTCAATATTGTACTTAACAATTAATTAAGGTTTTTAGTTGAGATGAAAAAAAGTTAATGGCACGAGCGGGATTTGAACCTAGATTAGGGCTAGACACGCCGCTGCTCTACCACTTGAGCTATCGTGACCTCGATCCGCTCGGACACTAACTTCCCATCTCAACCCCACCTTTTGAATTTTCCCTCCTTTTTGCCATTTTTTGCCTCGTGCCGCGCTTGCCATTAACTTGTTTTGTAATGTATTAATTGGTAAAGCGGACTACGAAATTAGTGAATTTAAAATTGTACTTAACGTTCATATTTGTTAACCTTGTAAATTTACATTTGCAAATTTTATATTAATTAGGGATAATTATTATTAACAATAGTTTGCAAATCCTGATTTACATTCCATGAAAGCTCGATGAGTGAACTGAGTGTTTTCTTTCCTTGGCCTTATCCCTGATTTTTAATATAAAATTTAAAACAAAAAATTCGTGTACTTTTTCAACTTTCCTTTGTTAATATGTAGTAAGTTTCTGTTTTGTCTTTGTTTCCTTTATTAATCCTTAGCTAAGGAATTTATTATAATTTTTCAGGGGATTTGTTACAAGTGAGACACCCAGGTATAAATATTTCACACATGTTTTTTCTTTAATATTTTTGAAGTCTTCCATCTGTTTTTTACTTTTAAATATAAATAGAAAAAAATATTTGCAAAATCACTATTTCAAAGCCGTACGATGTGAAACAGTGGCATCGGAGGAAAAGAGCAATGACTTGTTTGCAAAGTTGTCTGAAAAGGATAAACTTTTTATGTTAGTACAGGTGAGTATTAATATTTATTTCTCGAATGGTCGGGTTCTACAGTGTGTTTTTGGCTTGGACGACCTGTTTCAAATTATGCGGCGACTTTACTTTTCACTGGGAATGTCTGTTGTTTTAGTCTGATTGATATGACCAAGGAAATTGACTTGCATCCGTCTGCAAAGACAGCGCATAAAAATACTTCATCAATTAAGAAATTATTTGGCCTTGCTGTAAGCACACAAGACGTTGCGTAAATATTTTTTGGGTAGTTACAAACCGACAGTCGCTTTATCTCTAATTTACCTCTAACTTTTAGAGTACAATCAGAAAACAGCATTGCTTTGTATACAGCGAGGATATTTCCAGATAAAGACAAAAAAGCCAATATGAGCCAGGATAAAAATATGTAAATTTTGTTTTAACTTAATTTTGATATCTTATTGTTTGTGAATTCAAGCGAGATTATTTTAAATATTTCAGGTCATCTTCAAAAGATCTAATTTCTAATTTAACCGAAGAAAACTTTTGTGAAGATTTAATTCCTGAGTGCTTCAAAGAATTGTACAAAAGGTCATATTCTATCTGTAAATTAAGCAAAAAAAAATCTGTAGAAATAATTTTGATCCAACTTTTATTTCAGACAGGAATTGGCTACGAAATGCAGGCCAAGGCCTTATGAAAAGATCAAAATATCAAAGACTATCAGTAAGAGGCTATATCCTTCATTCCACGAATTAGTTAATAGACACTGTTCGATACCTCGTTTTAAAAAATACTGCTCCTCCATGGATAGCTACAAGAAATGTCCACTCACTACAATGTGAGTTTTATAAACATATCTATTTATATATGTACAATTTCATTCTTATACGCTTTTGTTTAGATCTCAGCAAGAAAATAAATTACACAAGTATTTGCATAAGCAAAAGTCTAAGCCAAATCTGTAAGCACATTATACGTTTTAGCAATTTTACTCAAAATTTTAATTAAAATTTTTTTTCCAGTTACTGTCGGTACTGTTGTGTGTGTAGGCATAATGCAAGTAAAAATATGCATTGTTTAAGGTAAGCATAAATTATTTATATTGGTTTAATCAAAAATAAGAGTTGTAAGCCCAGCCCAGTTGTGGGTAATCTTCATCTGAAAAAGTCTGTTAGACCTTTACAATAAATTATTCAACATCAAATAGTTAAAATAATCAATTTCATTCGTATACGCTTTTGTTATTAATTAATCTCTACTTCAGATTTTTTTACTGCACATTCATCCTAAAATTACATCTTCATGGTGATCAACCTGTAGTTTGATCATTTCTGAACGTTTTGGTCTGCTCATTTACATATGATTTCTGACAGACATTCATCTCCTCCTCATCAAAAATTATTATTAAAAATTGAAGATATATTTCTTGTTCCCTGAGTTTTCTCATCGCTGAACCTGTTTTTAGAACATAATAAATTCTTTCCTTCTTTATTTCTCTTTCTCTCAGTCTCTCTCTCTCTCTCTCTCTCTCTCTCTCTCATTCTCTTTCTTTTCACTCTCTTTCCTCCCTCTCTCATTCTCTTTCTTTTCTCTCCCATTCTTTCAATCTATCTCTTTCCCACTCTCTCCTCTGTCTCTCTTACTCTTTCTTTTATTCTGTTTCTTCTATCACTCCTCTCTCATTCTCTTTCTTCTGTCACTCTTATTTTCTTTCTTCTCTCTCATTCTCTTTCTTTTCTCCCTCATTCTTTCTTTCTCTCTCCCACTCCCACCTCTGTCTTTCTCACTCTTTCTTTTATTCTCTTTCTTCTATCTTTCCTCTCTCATTCTCTTTCTTCTCTCACTCTTATTTTCTTTCTTCTCTCTCATTCTCTTTCTTCTCACTATCTTTCTTCTCTCTCTCTCTTTTTCTCTCTTTCTTCTATCTATCTCTCCTCTCTCATTCTCTTTCTTCTCTCGCTCTTATTTTCTTTCTTCTCTCTCATTCCCATTCTTTTTTCTCTCATTCTTTCTTTCTATCTCTCTCCCACTCTCTCCTTTATCTCTCTCTCTCTCTTTCTCTCTCTCTCTCTCTCTCTCTCTCTCTCTCCCTCCCACATACATACACACTAATCATGCCTTAATCTGACCAAAAGAATCTGAAAAGTCTTAATTACACCCTTAGCGCGATTCAAAACCCCCAGCTTATTTTTCAAATTGTGTACACCCTCCGCTGAAAATAAATTTTCAAAAGTCAGCTAATTGTTAGATATAGAGTTTGTCCCATGTAAAAATCCTATTTATCTAAATTTTTAGTTGAAACATTAGACACATTTAAATATACCATGGCTAAATAATTCTATTAGTAGTCATTACATATTTTGGAATAAATACTTACAACATCTCTATTTTACCATTTTATATGTAGGCTTCTCTGCAAAACTGATTCAAATGCAACAGCATCGACATCACAAGTGTAAGTAGCTAAAAGAAAATACAATTTTCTTATCTGTTTTATTATGGTTATTAAGTAATCAAGTTACATCTTCATGCATTATGGATAAAATATGCAATCCAAGATTAGTTCAGGCATAATATATCAAAATTTCAAAAACAAAATTGAGAAATCAATGTTGGTTTTCTAGGAATAAGAAGAGCTCCAAAGCGAGTCTTTCTATGATACAGGATAAAAGCACTTTGAGAACAAATTCGTAAGTTTATAAAGGAAAAATTGCTATAACCACTATAAATATTGACATACAGGTAAAACTTGCAGTAAAAATCAAGTGGCTGTCAGTGGAGAAAAAGTTGAAGACAAGAAGTAAGTCCATCTAGTTATTTTTTCTGTAGGAGAGTATTTTTTAAACCTTAACAGATGAAAACTTCAAAGGAAAACCAATTACACACAAAAATTATTATCGCACTAGAGTAACAATTTAGAAATACCTTCTTTGAATTCTTTGAAGCATATTTAACATAAATTGAAAGTGAAGTTTAGTTCAAACCAAACTTTATTTGTTATAAATTTTTTTACATGTATAAATACTAGTCAATTAAGGGATTGTTTAAGCCTATACGCAATTTCAACAAGTTTAAATTAATCTTTTACATCATATAGCGGGCTTTTCACTATCCATTTATAAATTACATTATTAAATCTTTTAACAGGTAAAGCTCAAATAGTTTCAAATAATTGATTGATAATCTAATGCCAAACCTCTCATTGAACACAAGTGATTTCTTACATGTTGGCCTAACTAGGTCCGAGGCATTTCTGGTATAATAGTGTACACGTCTCTAGAAGTTATAGTTTTTAACATTATTTTTTACAATTTTTAGATTAAAATAAACGTACAAAGATATGTGTTCAATTTTTGGTTTTTCCAGAATTATTCTTAAGAATTTTTTTTGTACCAATAAAATTTCATATACATAACTAGAATTTCTACACAAGAGCAGACCATAGTCATTTTCCTTTGGAAAAGATAAAAATACACAGTTTGCAGGTCATCCAGCTATACTGTATATCTTATTTTATGCTCTCCCACGTTAAGCCCGTGCCCAATTGCAAACCCAATAGTTTGCAAGATGGTTCACTTTTGTTAAAGAGGACTTCCTGGCTCTTATCTGGATTAACATGCTGAATTTGAGTGGAACGATGCCACCATTTTTCACGTATCTCTGCAGAATAGGTCTATAGCAGAGCAGGGCCAAACTATTACTACAAAGTGTCATCTGCAAATTGAGTTTGGCATTCTCTGTACTTATCCCCTTCAAACTAGTTACCAGGTTATTGGCTTACACAATGAAAAAGACAGGACCTAATAGCGAACCCTGTGGAATACGCAATTTACCTCTCTTAGTTTAGATTTCTTATTTTGCCATCTGACCGGTCGCCATCTGTTGGAGAGAAAAGAGCTGCAGAAGTCGGCAACCACTTTTACAGCGCTTTGCTAAGATCATAGGTGTTTACCTTACTAAAAGTTTGTTTTCCAGTGCATTGTATATACAGTCAATGACTAGAGCATATCGATTGTAAACTTGAATATCTTCTCTAAAACCAAACTGGCAAATTACTAATATATTATGTCCTTTAAATAAAGCCCTCAAGCCGGTATTTGTTTATCTCATCCTTACTTCCTTTGCCTTTGTAGACTGGGACCATAGAACAAGTTTTTAGTTGGAAAAACGCCTTGCTTGAAACCGAGATTAATTATAAAGGAGATAGGGGTTGTAATTTGAGTGATAATATCTTAACTGAGATTTGTACTTATGCCATAAAAATAAATATGAGTCAAGAAAATTGAGATCCATCCGTTCTCTTTGAATTGTTTAGCTTTCAAAATTTATGGAAAATTAAGCGTTAATCAGTAAAAAAATAATTATAAAAAAAAATTGTTCCACTTTAGGAAAGATGACAAGCAAAATTCAAGCTTGCAAAAAATTCATAGCTGTGGGAGTGAACATCTGAGAAAAAGGTAATTCTTCATAGGGATAATTTATTCAATTAAGATGACCAAAGAGTAAAATTACGGAAATAAATTTTAAATTGTTATTTTAACATCTAACATAATGACATAACATTTCTGGCCTTCAGCCGTTTGCTTAAACTGTGTGCATTTTTTGTTTTAACAGAAGTGCAAACCAATTTGAAGTATCACTTAATAAGATCCAGAAGACAAAACAAAGCAACGAAAAAAATAATAGCACGTAAGGATTTTTTTATTGTTAGTCAAAAATTGTTTTCTTTGAACTTGAATCACTTAAATTGTAAATATATTATTTGAGCATCTATACATTATTTGTATTAAATCTAATATATTTAGTGGTCGACCAAATTACTTCTTTCAATTAATTAATCTTTTTATGTAAGGTTTTGGTTGAAATAAAAAAGTTAGTCTCATGAGTGGGATACTATTTGTATTATTACTAATATTAGGGATATTATTATTTTTATTATGAATAATTAGTAATCGCTTTACAATTTTTCTAAAGGAAGAAGAAGCCGAGTTCAACACTAGTGAGAAAATCAAGTCTACCGAAGAAAAAGTCACAATCGTGAGTTTTTAACATATTAACTTAAAAAAAAAAAAAAAAAAAAAAAACTTTTTCTTATATATTTTGTTTTTGAAAGTCATAACCGATCAAATTCAAAGATTAATAAAAGCCAAAACGCAAGAAACAAGGACAAACTGTGAGTTTATTGTTTATGTTTTAACAATTTTTCAGTTTATGCTTAATTCTAATAAAAGTCATATTTTTACTTGAAATATTTTACTTAGCACTTTTATTAATACTGACAGTATTTATAGACAAAAATCAAACCATTGGTTCACACATAATTTAAATTTAATTACACTGAAACAATGTTAAAACTACTTTTCTGAATAGGCATACAAAATCTAATACAACTCTGCCGATTACCTTCATAGCACAGGAACCTGTGATACCGTGAGCTTTATGAATTATTAACATTTCAATTAATCAATCATTATTTGTTTAATTTTTTTTCAAGATGTGTTAAGAGTATTTCAAGTATAAACCTTCTACGGATCAATGTTAAAGAGACAAGCAAATTGTAGGTCATGTTTAACATTTAATATTTCATCACAATTCCATTAGAAATGAAAATTATGGTTTCTAACTACTATTTTCCAGATTAAAATCTAGAAAATCAGACTCAGCTATAAATTTCCAGCATCCTGATATGATGCAAAAGGGAAAACCGTCGTAAGTTTTGAAAACTTTTTAAATATATATTATACATACATATTAATATATATTTGTTTAAATAAAGAAGTAAAATGAAAGATTTGGAAGGAGGTTCAAGAAACCAACTCAGGTAGTGGTATTGCCTATTAAAACATGCTTTATAATTAATTTTTTTTTTCTTTTACAATATGTCAGAACTCAACAAAATAATGAGACGGTCACTCATAAATCTGCATCCAGCCAAATCAAAAAACAATCAGCAACAAAAATTAGCCGATCGCATAGCATGAACAAACTTGAACAGTACGTTAAAAAATCACATTTTTAATAATATACTAATTGTTTTAATCGCAGAATCAGAAAGAAGAGCCAGAGTACAAATGGTATTCCAGTGATATATGGAAAGTATGATGTTTCAAAATACCGATGTAGTTTATCACTTATTAACTGCATACCTTTTAATATGTGTATATTTTAATTTAATCTGTCTACTATTTAACTGATTGGAATTTAGAAAAACAATCATTCAGAAGTAACATTGATTACTTGTCTTAAAGTCATATTTCACATAAAATTCTTCTCTGATGATTAAAATAATAATGCTAAAGACAGTCATTTGTACTTCATTTTTCAGAAAACTATTTTTTTATATTAATTCTATTTATATATTGTGTTAATAAAAAAACAAATAGCATTAAATTTGAATAAATTTTTAAAGGACAAAAAAGGCACAATCGAACACTAGCGTTTGTACAGTCAGGAGCTCTACAGATGAGTAAGTATGTAACTAATTGAACTATTCATCATATATTAAACCGTATTAAATTTTCTTTTGCAGGACAAACAAGAAGCGGTCGTCTAAAAATAGACATAGTTCTGTGCAAATTCGGCAGTAAGTTTTTCAAAAATATTTGGAAGTTTTAATTTTTTTGTTTTGTTTTGAAAATATACAATATCCTGTACAAAAATTGTATTGTTTAAGGAAGAAAAAACAATCTCAGGATAGTGCTTCTTCAGTCCAAAGTCAGTCTACGAATAATAAGTGAGTTAAAATATTTGAATTGTTAATTTACACTGGCTATTGAAATTGTTTAATTTTAACATTATTTCCAATTATTTATTTTATTAAAAAGGAAACAGGTCTAGTATCAATGATTGCACTTAATTTGTTACATACAAGTTTAGTTGTTATTATGTTAATTGCTTATTTTGTTCTCTCTCTTTCTTCATTTTCCTTTCTTACTCTCTCCTATCTTTGAAGATACTGAAATACCAAAATATATTTGTCTGACCAAAACATCAAAGACAGACAGAACAAAATGATTGGAAAGGCCAAATCTCTCTCTCTCACTCTCTCTCTCTCACACACACACACTCTCTCTCTCTCTCTCTCTCTCTCTCACTCACTCACTCACTCACTCACTCACTCCTCACTCACTCCCTCACTCAATCTGATTCTTAAGGGTTTTATGTCTGATTACTTATTCAGGCGGGCTTTACATGGGATACTCAGCTTTTAACAAACTTACTAAACGTTGTTTTTGCAAAATAGAAATGAAATTTATTGTTTCTTTGTTGACATTAAAAATCGTTTGACTTAGAATACAATCTGTTATTACAACTAGGGTCTTTCGTCTGAATTCATTAATGCCATGGTAAATCTGAATTTTCTCGGTGGGCAGTGGATTGAGTCAAGGGTATCTCTTAAGTCCTTTATTTTTCTCCTCTGTATTGGAGACCTGTCATCTATCCTTGAGAATGATGTCAACATCGGTAATGCCAACATTAAAGCCTTATTATTAATGCTTGTATCTGACTTGGCCATGGGCTTGCAATAGAACATCAACATTTTGGAAAAGTTGTGTTTTCAGGGGCTACAAAGCTAAAACAACATTTTTAGGAAGGGTGTAGACTGAAGTTTAGCAGAAAAGTGGTTTTACACAAGCACATTTAACTGCCAAAGTTTCAACTGCTAAATTAAGGTTGAATAAATTCTGGTCTTCATTTATTTTCAACATAGGATACCACTAAGTGTCCACCAACATATCAGTTCTATGAAGTGGCTGAAAAGTTCCAGAGATACTTCCAGAAAACTGTTTGATCTATTTTTATCTACAATTTAAATACACCCACAAAGGGCTTTCTCTTCTTTTCAAAAGTCTAACAAGAATAGTGATTCTAGACATTATTAATAGAAATGATCTCTGGTTCCAGCATTGGATTACCCTGGCCACATATGACTGGGAATTTAGTTTCAAACTTGAACTTTTGTCAAGCTGGGAAGCCCAGATTTGTTTCATTGCTGGAAAAATTGTATCTTTCTTACTGTATAAGACGATTTGAGAATTAATTCTATAAGAAATTTACTGTCTTTTCAAGCTGAAGGGAAAATTTCTTAACTAGCTACCTTGACTGAGTAAAGAATCATAGATATTTGCTCAATGTAAAACGTGTCAAATATCATTATTGCAAATAAGTATTATTAAATGCAAGGAGCTCAGTACATGGAGGAAAGAGGACATAGCCACCACTGAGGAGTCAGTAGGCCGAGGAGAGAGATGATTTGCCAGAGAACAAAAAAAGAAAAAAAAAAAGAAAAACAGTCTGTTCAGATTGGGTTCAGGTTTTGTTTATGATGTGATCTATACAATAAAGGGTTAAGAAAAGAGTTGTCATCTTTCTTCTGAAAACTACCCTTTTCCACATTCCGGCAGCTAAGTGAAAAACTACCTTGCATAAGCATCAAGAAGAACTTGTCCTCTGTCTTTGTGTATGTTTCTGGGCAAAAGTGCCATATTTGCCCCAATCATTGTTAATTGCCTAAAACTTTGCAGAATTTATCAAAAAGTTTAATTTATTATTATTATGTTTTGTTTATTTGTATATTGTATTTTCTCTCTCTCTTCATCTTGGCCTAAACTTGGGCCTATGTTAATGCAAAAATAGTTTGTAATGACAATTAATTAAGGTTTTTGGTTGAGATGAAAAAAAGCTAATGGCACGAGAGGGATTCAAACCCACGACCTTCGGCTAGATACGCCGCTGCTCTACCACTTGAGCTATCGTGACCTCGATCCACTCGGACACAAACTTCCCATCTCAACCCCACCTTTTGAATTTTCCCTCCTTTTGCCATTTTTCAAATGTCGTGTAATCGGTTTGGATTCTCGACAACAATTGAAATGGCGACGGAGAGCTTTAGTGAAGTGTACTTCATTTTTAAATCATTAATTCACTACTTTCGTGGTCCGCTTGACCAATTAATACATGACAATTAATTAAGGTTTTTAGTTGAGATGAAAAAAAGCTAATGGCACAAGAGGGATTTGAACCCACGACCTTCGGCTAGATACGCCGCTGCTCTACCACCTGAGCTATCGTGACCTCGAGGTAGGGTTGAGATGGGGAGTTGATGTCCGAGTGGATCGAGGTCACGATAGCTCAAGTGGTAGAGCAGCGGTGTATCTAGCCGAAGGTCGTGGGCTCGAATCCCTCTCGTGCCATTAGCTTTTTTTCATCTCAACTAAAAACCTTAATTAATTGTCATGTATTAATTGGTCAAGCGGACCACGAAAGTAGTGAATTAATAGTTTTTAATAATTTTTTCTCTAAAACACACTTTTCTGTGCTAAGTATGTCATTATTAGGGTACTGCTGTGGCCAAGCGGTTAGGGCGTCCTACTCGTAATTGTCGTGCTAGCAATTCGGGTTTGAATCCTGGCAGAGCCCACAGTATTTTAATGGATGAAAAAATGTATTGTAAAGTGGATTGACGCTTTCAGTGGGTAGTTGGATTCTAAGCCCCTACGTAAATTACTTTTGCTTGGTGTCACGGCTGAGATAGATAGACAGATATATATACTATCTATTAAGATAGATTTCAGTAATTTTCATTTCCTTACATTTGTATAAACAAAGTTTTAAAATTGTTTTTCAGTAAGAAACAGAAACGTTCTTATAATATTAAACGTAGTACTGAAAAATTGAAAAGTGAAGGGCAAAACAAAACGAACAAGTTAGTTTTCTATGACAATTTCATTCATAATAATCAATTTAAAAAAAATAACTATACAAACTAAATGTAAATCTTACAGAACGCAAGCCAGGAGGTCAGGCACCAGCGTTTGTTCAATCCGAAGCCAGAGATCAAATGACAAGTAAAAAAAAAAAAAAAAAAAATTGTTACTAGTATAATCTATATTGTATTTAAACAATTATAATTTTCTTCAGGGTTGTAAAAAAGTATTTAGATAGAGATACACCGAGTAAAAAGAAATTGACACGCACTAAGATATACAAGTAATTATTAATTATTCTTATCTATTAACAAATAGTACATTAATAAAATTTAATAAAAATAATAAAATAGTAATTAGTTTACAATTACTTCATTTAATTTGAGATACTGATTAAGTTAAATATATTTATTGTTCTAAAATTTCAAGATAAGATTAAATGTACAAGTATATTTCATCTAGGAGCAGTAAACCAGAAATAAGCATGTCATCAACTCAATCAAAATCCAAGTATGATTATTAAAAATGATTATGATGTAAACTGCTTACACCTAACATTCATTAATATTTCCGTTTGTTTTTTAGTATAGGCACTTCGCAGTCAGATAGAAGTCTCCAAAGTGTTGGAAGTGCAAATAAGTAAGTTAGTTTATGGTAAAAAATTAAAAGCCATTATACATTTATTTGAATTACAGAAGCTCTTCACGAGTTTCTATAAACACCGGACTAACCTCAAGTACGGATGGCAGAAAGAAGTCGACAACATCGTAAGAATTTTTAAATATTACTACACTTTAATAAAAAGTAACTGTAAAGTAAATTTTCTATCCGATATTTTAATATAGGATAAGCAAGAGTTCAACAAAAAGGGATTCCAGTCGGAGTAAAGATAGAGTGAGATCGAAGCAAAAAAGGAAAGTTGGTTTCTCATCTTTAACAAGAAATGCTTTCATTTAACTAACGATTTATGATTCTTTAGGAAGCGTAAAAAGTTCTTAGTTGATGCCATGGAGTGTGTTTGTTGCAAGCCTGTGAAGGATCGAAACAAAACAAGAAGACGACAGAAAAAGTATGTTATATTATGATTTTAAAAAAAGTAAAAAAACATGATTTTGACAGTAATATAAATATAACTTCTTGACTACGAGTATTTTGGATTGTTTTTTTAGCATCTGTATCAATCTCAGAGATGAAACAATAATTTGTTACAAAAAAAGTTATAGATAGCAGTCCTGATGAAGCATAAAATATGCTGAAAGCTTGACTATGATTTTTTAATTTTCCTGTCTTTCTCCCTGATACTTGCACAGCATATTTGACATCCAAAGGCCAATAAAATTACACATCAAAAGAACTTAATAATTTATTTTTCATTGTTTTAATTATAGACTGGAGTCTAAGGGGTTATATTATCTCTATTTGGAAAAGAAAGAATTACAGTCGACCAACTGTATGCAGGACAAGTCTACTATCACTGACAATCCATGTCTAGCCCAGTACTTGTAAGTTTTTTAAAATCAAACTCAACGTCTTTTTTTTTTTTTCAAACCAATGTCAGTTCTAGACTTGAGACGGTTGACATGAACCAGTGCCAAGCTGAATCGACTAAGCTACCAAGGATGGGATTCTGCCCGATAACATATTGCCTCTCGAAGAAAGACATCAAAGAGAATTACGGGTGCATGGCCCTTGTACCTCCTTTCTGGGTACTCTTCGACAACCTCATCGCCATCATTTGGTCCTTGTATTCGAATTCGGAGTCTAAACAAGGGCTAGGTGAATCACGAACTGATACACAACTTAGTCAACAGTATGAATTTATTAACTATAATTTCTTTTCCCTACAGAATCTTGAATTAATTTTTTTTTAAATTGGTCACACCATACTGTTTTAACTGCTTCTCTCACAATTATTTAACTTTTAAGGCACACAAGATATCCTTGTTAAAATTACATAAAAATTGAATTTCACACTGATAAAAATATAACAATATGTATAAAAAATGTTCTCATGGAGTTTTTAACTTAAAAAAAATTCAGAATATTAATTAAAATCATTGCAGTAAATCTGCAAAATTGCAGTAAATCTGCAAAATTGCAGTAAATCTGCAAAATTGCAGTAAATCTGCAAAATTGCAGTATATCCAAAACTCCAAAAATTACTTTTCTACTTAATTTGTATATAATTTTAAAACTATTTGAAAATGTAAGGATCAGACAAGGTCATAAGCTTTTTTTTCTTTTTAAAGATTTTTAGTCATAGCAAATAATATATTTTTTTTATATTACATCAATTTAAATTGTATATAACAGGTATTGTCCAATTAAATTGGGGTTTGGAGTTTCTGCGCAGCACGAAAAAGGCCAACGGGATGTACGTGAAGCCAATTCTCACCCTCATTCGAATTATAGAAGAGGAAATAATGAGAAGATATTGCGAATTAAAGTATGATATCATATTTTTATGATAATTTAAATTCTTGATTTCAAAGTTTTATAGCTGTCTTAATGATTAATTTTTGTTTAAGGAAAGTTCACATGACCTCACTGTACGGCTAGAAGTAGTCATAAATAGAAACCTCCGAGCGCCCAATCAATTCAAATTCATCTCTACAGTGCACACGTTTAAAATGAACAATGTTTTTGTTAAAATCGACATTCATTTTTGTTACATATTAATTACATATAATCTCTTTAGTTGAAACGCGTTCTGCCGATCGTAACTGTTTTGGTCTGTTTCAACAATTTACCATCTTTGCTGTGTCTGGTGGTCCAGTTTCTTTTATAAAGACATGAGTGCCCACTGAACAAAATTTAAACATGTCTGACAGACCAATCCAGTGAAGATCAGCAGACCAAAATGATCGCCATCGCTTGTGGTCTAGAAATGAAAAGGTCCTCCTTAACCAGGTTGTGCATAGTCCACATACGATCACATTATCGAAATTGTCATTATAGAGCACAATAATAAATTGTACAGAATTGAGGGCAAAGACAAAAATTCAACATTCCACAAGCCTGATTCAATACTTCAGAATGAGTACTCAGGCACGAATAAATGAGATGTGTGTCTGTATTTACCGGCTTGAATGAAAAAGGTAAATAAGAAAGTTTTTTGTATCAATGTACGGAGTGAATGTAATTTAGTTCAATTAATCAACCTTTTTATGCAAGATTGTGGTTGAAATGAAAAAGTTAGTGTCACGAGCGGGATACGAACCCACGACGGTCCACTCATGACACTACCTTTTTCATTTCAACCAAAACTTTATAAAAAAAAGGCCGATTAATTGAAAGAAGTAATTTTTCAAATCAAACCACTAAATATAATGTAATTTATTAGATTAAGCCATATATGAATTTAGTAGTCATACCACATTAATTATTTTAATTAGTTATATTTTTTATCTAACATCTTGGTTGAGACGAAAATGCTAGAACCACAAGGGAGTTTTGAACCCCATTAGCTGAAGGTCGTGGGCTTGAATCTTGCTTGTAGCACTAGTTTTTTCATCTCAACCAATACCTTAGATAAAAAGTATCATTAATTAAAGAAATCTGTTAGTATGGAAGAATCGACCCAGAGGAATATCAGGTCCTCGAGTGAATGAAGTCTAATGTATGTGATTGTAATTTTCGAATACTCTGGGACGTGGATGTAAATTTTTTAGGGTGAATGGAGTTTCTCTCTCATTATCCAAGGAATATCGAGTACTCGGGGACAGTGTGAATGAAAGCTGGTGTATGAAAATGTAATTTATTAGCTTGCATGAAGGGAGCTTCTTTCCTAATTACCTCAAGTACTTTGGAGAAACGTGAATGTACATTATTAGTGTGAATGGACAGGCTTCTTCCCCAAATGTAATGAGGAATATCTATTTCTATGGGACAGTATGAATGCAGTGTGAATGTAATTTATTAGCATGAATGGAGGGGTTTCTTTCCCAATTACTCAGAGGAATGTCAAGCACACTGGAGCAGTATGAATTTAATTTATTAGCACAAATGAGTCAGCTCTACCTCTAAAAACAGTATTTTTTCAGGTCTGGATGTAAATCATGTCATCCCAGGATGAACAAGTCTTGTGAGATCTCAACTTGATTAACCTGTATATGCCCACTATTTTTTTTGAGGAATTTCGAAATTATCTTTAAGGTAGCTTTTCTTTTTCACCCCTATTAACAATAAAAAATGTTTAAAAAAATATAGCTAGGCATTTAGTATGCAAATTAGGGTGTTGCAAAAACGCAACACCGGCCACTTGAGGATTCTTTTCTCCTTATTACCTTTCTCCTATACATATGTATGAAATTAGGATTAAATTCGAAATATAGGTAAATTAAAATAATCATGAATCATAATAACCTTATAATTATATATATTTTTACAACAGTCTTTTTTGCAACTACAAATTTTTTTCAATTGTCTAGTTTTGGTGAAATTCAAGAACACATTTTTCGTGCAATGCGATTCTGCATTTTACACATTGTTTTATGGTTGTGGATTTACATATTCCACATCGAGTTCGTTTTTCTTTCGTCCCTAGGAAATGCCCAATTTTGTCGAATCGGGTCCTCGATGAAATCCTGTTCATAACAGTTGATGTCGAATGCCCTGTTCATTTAGGTGCATTTCCGAATCTTTCAAGCAGTTCATTCGCAACACTTCTCTTGAACTGCAAAACATCTAATGTCTTTTCTTGAGAAGCTCTGTACAACAACCAGGCATTCTGTAAAGCCACATCTACGGCCCAGTGAAATATGGGCCACCACCATTTTTTAGACCTGATGGATGTACGGTAAGTGGCAACGTTTTGATCCATCCTGTCCATCCCCCCCCACATGTTTTGGTTGTAAGACTTTATTATTTGCGGTTGTTGGACCTGGATTTTTTTTTATGAGCTGCAGAATATCTATGAGCCTGGCGTAGCGGAGTGACTGTTTGGCAATTTCGAAAATACTGTTACCACCGAGTTATTGTTCCACCGGCACAGTAGAATTGATGAGTTTTTTCTATACAAGACTGATATGAACCTCTAGGTTCTTTTTTCATAATAGCTATATCTTTTATGGGCGCGTCTTCAGTTCGGTCTATCCTGTAATTCCGACAAAATACACAGTAGCTCATGGGCAGTATAATACTTTCTAATAAAAAAGGGAAATAATAATGTATCACTAGTATATAAGATACTAGATAAGATAATAGAATAAACTGTGAAAAGATAAGATAAACATTATATAATAATATAAGAAAAGAGTAGTGAAAAATGGGAAACATAAAAATAAATAAATCTCAAAGGAAGAGAAAATACAAGTTAGTATAAGTGACCAGTGTTGCGAAAATGCAACACTGACATTAGACGCCAAATATCTGTAATTAGACTTTTTTTTTTAATTTTGCACAGTTATTTTCAACAGTATAAAGAAAAACCAAAATAACGTTGCATGTAAAAAAATAAGTAATATTGTAATAGAAAAACTAACTTTTCTTGAGACATTTCTCCTTCAAGAACATTCAATTTGGAATACACGACACAAATGAGGGTTGCCAATAAAACCAAAAAGCAAATGAGTCATATTTCGTTTGAGTACATCCCACCCTAAGAGTAAAGCTAAAAATAGAACCCGAAATAACATTTAATGGAAAGAAAAAGAAAATTCTATTTTAAAAAATGGTACGTTGTTATGTTAGAAAATAAATAAAATATGTTAGAAATTGATAATTTGTCAGACAATACAATGACAAATTCAAAGAAATGTACTAAGTGAAAGAAGGAAGCATGATAAGTAATGCTGAGGCAGGTTTAAAAATATGCTGCCAATAAAAAAAATAAAACTAGATAAATTCATATTAAAAAAAAAATTCCTTTTCATGGTTGTTTCGCCTAGTCCACTTTCTTTTGATATTATTTAATGCTGTACTTTGGGGAAAAAACACTTTCAGGTAATTACTCCATGTGATTATAACTATAATGCGGATGATGACCATAATAGCATAGATTGCTTCACCGATGGCTCACTCATTAAGGACAAGGGAAGCGGTGCTGGAATACATATACCCAAATTAGGAATCAGCATCTCCTCCCCTCTTGGTAATAACACCTCAGTCTTTCAGGCTGAGGTCTGGGCCATCAATATTTGCTGCAAAACACTCATGGATAATAATACTAAGGGAAAAGATATTAGAATTTTTTCCGACAGTCAGGCCAGTCTTAAGTTATTACAAAAAGAGTTATCTACGTCTAGGCTGGTAGAGGAAACCGTTGAACTTATCAATAGGATAACTGCTAGGGACGAAAATAAGGTAACCCTCATATGGATACCTGCTCATAAGGGGCACTATGGTAATGAAGAGGCGAACAGCCTGGCCAAGGAAGGATCAAATACTGCGTTTGTCGGGCCACAACCGGTATTACCCCACTCTATAAGCACAGCGAAAGAGAGTATTAGTTGCTGGGGCATGAAACAATTCCTTAAAGAATGGAATATGTCCCCCGAACACAGGCAATCGAAGGAGTTTCTGAAGGAAATTAAACCAAAAGAAACTAAATGGTTATTCTCTAACTCTAGGAGGGGAATAAGGAGGCTGATAGGTATCCTAACGGGCCATTGCCCCTTGAGAAGACATCTCTTCATAATGGGTACTCTATCAGACCCCTTCTGCTGCATCTGTGAAACAAAGGAAGAAACAGCTCGACACTACCTCGCAGAATGTGATAAGTATGCTAGGGAAAGATTTGAAACTTTCGAAGGAGAGGACATAACCAAAACACTCCCCAGGATAAAATGGTTCAAAATCTTGGGTTTGTGAATAGGTCCAAAAGGTTTATGCAGGACTCGTGAGCCAACCAGGTCCCGGACCTTTAGGCCTACCTAGGCTTTTAACCCCTTGGGTCCTGGTCACCTGCCCTGCGTAATATATATAATGCTGTACTGTATAAATATTTTTGAAAGTTATTTATTTCTATTTATTTCGCGATACATATTTAGTCAACCCTCAATTAACATGTAGTACAACTTACGATAGCATAAATAGCACATAATTAACCAATACCATTAACAATAAGATAAGGCATAAAGATTTTAAAAATAAATAAGAAATTGATATAAGTTTGACTAATATATAACTTTAATCTTGGATTAGACATGGTAAAGCATAAAACAATTTATTACAAAAATATGTTCATTTACATGAATTTTAGAATCCCCTTGTCAGTTTGGCAAGGTAATCCTTTCTACACTGCATATCTTCAGCTGGCCTGTTGTGCGGTGTCCAAACTGGCTCTCCTTGAAAAAACCGCTTTGCTTTGATGAAATTGCTCTGGTCGAGCGTGAATCTGTGGTATATGCCACTCGGGATGATCAGAAGGTCGCCTTGGACCACTTTGATCCTGATCCAATTGTCCTCTTTGTCCCTCACATCGAAATATCCGGTGCCGTCGAGCACCAGCCTTATCTCCTCATCCGTGTGCAAGTGTTCGGTGTAAAACGTTTTGAGCCTCTCCTCGTAGTTTTCCAAGCACTCTTTCGAACACGTCATCTCATCTTCATAGTTGTATCCCCTTTCTCTTTTTATATTCTCTATTGAATCTTTGTCGTCAAGGTCTTCTATGTGGATGTACTCGACTCCCGTTAATTTTTTCAATCGGTCCAATGTCACAAACGAATTTTCATCTCTCATGTGTTTATCTCTTTGATCTCCCTCTTTATCGTCCATATACCAACAACAGACCATTATTATCTGAAAGACATTAGTTAATTCAATTAGCAATTGAATGATTGAATTTTTTAATATTTCTTGTGCAAAGTTCATATTCAACTGAAGCATTAATACATCCTTATTTATGAGTGGCAAGTTAACAATATTTTCCAAGTTATATTTAATCCTGATATCTGACAACTATCTAAATTTTTTACAATAAAATTGGGCAGATACGGAAAGAGTGGATAAATTATAAGAAATACATGGTAAATGCAGCTTATAAAATTAGGTCTAGATTTAAGAAAAAAGAAACAATGTAAGGATATAGATAAACAAGACCATACTAATTGCCAGATATGGATAAATATAAGATATATAAATAGTTGTTTAGTAAAACTAATAAACATAAAACTACATTATGACTACAATTAAACAAGGAACATCAGTAGTTAATCTTAAAAATAAATTGATCTGAAATTCCATAGAAGATACCTTTTTATTCAATTTATTGCTTGCCTTCTGAGCTGGCCAATCTCGAAATATACTATTTTAATATCCCAGGGTTTAGAATAAAAATAAAACAAGCATTCCACAACTAATAAAATATGTAATCTATTGCGTAAGGATAAAGAAAAAAAGATCAACTAGTTATCACTACTGATGAATTTTAACACTTGTTTCTCTTAACACTGGCCACTAGAGGGCCCTCCTGTACTAACTGCTATATAATATTTTTTGCTTCTTTTCTTCTATTATTTACATAATTTGTATAACAACATAAGATTAATTTAATTTCGTTATATCATACAAAATAATAAGCTCAATAGAGCAAAAAAACTACAAATATATACCACACACAAAGACACACTATATGTGCATACTTAATACAATTTCTACCTTTAGTATGCTTGTATCACACTTTTTTTGTATCATACCTTCATTTTTTCTTGCCTTTTCTCTTTGTCAGTTATCCTTTTTTATATTTATTTCTCTCTTCCCGGTTTCTCACTCTGATGCTGTCGCTTTGTCTGTCCTCTCCATCACTTTCTTCTGAATCTTTCACTCTCTCTCACACTGTATTATGTATTCAGTTTTTCATCTGTAATCTGTATCATTCTCACCTCCTCCCTCTTGCTTGTCTTCATTAGTTAATATCTTGCCCCTTTTCTCATTTCTGTTTCTCTATTTCACTCTCTCTATTTCTCTTTGACTGTATACGCCTTTTTTCCTGCCAAAAGTAACCCTAAAATTAGGGAATTTATTTTCTTTTGCCAGTCTCCATTATGATTATAGGCTACATTTACAGTTTCTACAAACAGTTTATTTATAAATATATATAATTATTATTAATTAATTATTCAGAAATCGTGAGATGCGTTCTGGTGTGATGTAGGTTTCAGAAAAACATTTTCTTTATCGTGCCAACGTTTCAATCTTTATTGAGATCATCTTCAGGGCTCAAAGTGTTTGTCTTCTGTGTAATTGTGCCATTCTTGCATGTCGTGTTGAGAGTGCCAATCACCACACATAATTATTGTTAATTTTGTTTGGTTAAAGTTGAAGTAAACCTTGGTCTTTCAAGCTGAAATATATGCTAATAATGCTCATGCTTTAGAAAATCTTGAAAGAGGTCACTGACAAAAAATGCTTATAAAGTCAGATAGCCAAATACATACTATTAAAACATTAGCATGTAAAAAGTCACATCTAAAATAATCAATGAATGCGTCTAATGCCTCCAAAACATGGGGAAACATAATAATTGAGTGGACACAAAGCAGTTTTGGGTTATGAAAATGCAAACTGACCAGAGTAAGTTCTACAAGATAACGCACCCTGAATCTTATATTTGGGATGACAGAATCCTCCTTCTCAGAATGTACCCAAAAGAAACAAAAGAAGTGGACAAGCTAGAGGTGCCAGACACAGCAAACTTATGATAAAAAATCTTCACACCAAAATTGGCATTGCTACAATTAGAGAGGACAAATCTCAGAGGAATGCTAGGACTATATCCTAGTGTATAGTCTGATACTGGCATCGGAGAAAACATCTACATAACATGGTTATGTTCAATGATATCCCCCATTTGCACGTTATGTAGTGCAGAGAAAGAAACAGCCACCTATACCATCCTTCAAATGCAAAGCAACTGCTCAATGGAAACATAACCTGAAATTAAAAAAAAAAAAAAAAAATTGCAGCAACAGTCAAGGACCTAATACAGGAAGGGGTGAGTTGATTGCATTAAACTAAGGAACTAGGAAAAGTACAATATGTCAAAAGGCTGTCATCATCATATGATTACTGTTACCAACATCTTAATGAACTCAACTTATAGAGTCAAGTAGTTTCCTACCAATTTTTCTTCTAACTGTGGCCACCCTCTTGTCACATTTCCTGGCTGTACCTTGCTTCTTTTCCATCTTTTTTAAGGTGGCTATTCCATAAGATGGATTTGGAACTGTGTTGTTCTTAGGCCCTTTTTTTAGCGGCCTTATTACCTGAAATTCCCTCATAAAAAAATGTCCTGGTACCAATTTAGCGTGCTTATTTGTAGATCGTTGTTTTTTTAGGGCATTTAGGCAGTTCCAGTTGTGAGGTGATCTGATAGGCTTTGAGAGCCTTTACATCTGCCTGGATATCTGAAAGTATTATTATTGCACCCTTGAGATAATTGTTATTTATTTGTGAAACTATTTATATGACTAGTTCGGCTTGGATGAAGGTCGTGGTGGGGCTGATGAGGGCCATGTTGTGCTCAAAGTCAGGCCCTTTTATGCCCATACCCGCAAACATTTCCCATCTTTGAGCAGTATGTATACTATAGAAGGGCTACAGGCTTATCTTCGTTTGTTGTACTTTTCCAATTAGCTGTATTTTCAATAAAGATGTTGAATGGTTTACCAAAGTTTTGATGATTTTCATTCATTTCTAAGAAATTGTTTTAGCCATGTCAGTTATTTGAATTTCGTCGATGATTTCGGTACGGCCTGCATTTGCTTTCTTTCCACTCTCTGATAAATTTCCAATTCCTTGATCACCATCTTTTTCATGTGTATAGGGTGGTAGCTTGAGTATACAGTCCATTGCGGCTGTGGGTGTTGTGTTAATAGTACCAGTGATGCTAAGCCATATTATTTTTTGGACATTTTGTAATAGTTCCTCTGCCTGTCTTCGTTCTTTTTTTGGTCATATGTAACTAAACATAAATGATCATGGGTCAGACCATTGTAATATTTAAGGATTTAGCCCCCAGGTTCTTCCACAGAATGTAATTTAGTGATTACAATCTCAAACACACATTTTTCTTGGTGTAAAAGAGTCTAATTTTTTCTTCTAGAACTATGAAATCTGTGGATTTTATTGTACAAGGCTAATTTGCTTTTTGAGTTTACAGTGCATTGTAGTCTAACATTCGCTCTCAGGTAGTGATTTTCTTTCCCCTTGTAATTTTCAGACTTTTGTTTTCTTAAATTACCTCATTAGTGTCTGACCTGTTACTGTTTTTGAGTGGCTCAAATTCGCAGCCCTTAATTCGATACGCTAGGAATGCATGGAATTACAGATATGAATTAATTAATGAGTTTAATTTTTGATTTCTTTTGTATAACCTATTTTTTTGTTCTCTTTCGCATTTTGGCAGATGTTGTTTCTCCTTTTTTTTCTTTTTATTGTGTAGGCTATAACTTTTATTTTATTTTATTGTGTATATTTTCGTTTTTGACTGCTTAATCAACGACCTCTGGCAGACAGATCCATGGTCTTAAATGCTTTAAAATCTAAATTGTCTTTTTTCCTTTTTTTATGTTTAATAAAGCATTATTATTATTATTATTAGTGTCTTTTAGCAAGCATTACATTCAGTAAATTATACAAAAGCTGGACTTGCCGAAGCGATAGGTTTGGTTCCGTAGAGCATGCGTGTGCGTGGCTGAGCTTGTATAAATCAGTGATCAGTAATTATGTATTTTAAATGTTATTGTACCAAATTTGCTATAGTATATTTCAGATTTTATAGAATATTTTATATATTGACTAATTACAATTATAAAATACCTGAAGTCAGGTGATTAACTACATAATTTCAAAATTTTTGATATTGGGTATATTCATGTACAAAGTTTGTTTTAATTATCATTTGAATACATGAGTCTACTTTCTATATACAATTTATTTTTTATATGAACACAATGTGTATTGTAAATCTAATATCACATTTATTAAGTAAAACATATTTGCATAATGTTGCTTTTGATTTTTTTTACATATAAAAAATAGCGCCTTGACACATTAATAAAATTTGTTCTAAAAATAATGTTTCATTAAGTTACTGCTGAATGGAATGAAATCATTTATTTTTTGATAATTTTTGATGGCAATTTTCTCCAGCAAAGTCACCTATGCAAGATGCGTATGCCATTACTGTGGGAATTAGCGTTTGTTCAAATGATCCTGTGAGAAGGTGTGCCCACGGACCACTGGCATAGACTGGGACATCTTCTCCGGAGTGCGTTTCCACTCTGTTCCACACACCGCTGTAATATTTGGTGGTTTTATGCTTGACGAAGGCTCTGTTTTGATTTGGGCCATTGGCGTAGCTGAGAGTTGTGTATAGAGTGCCTGAACTGTCTCTGCGTGCAAAGGACAATATATCTGCCCCCCTGTCTGGATACCCACTGAATGTTAATGTGTGTGCGTGGTCAGCGGTTACCACTATCAACGTCTCTTCTGGGTTTGTATTTTCGTAAGCCAACTTAACAGCATTTGCAAACTCGACCGTTTCTGTAAGTGCCCTCATCGCCTGAAAATAACCAAAATCGATTTAAAGTTCTTTTCAAAGTAATTTTATTCATCCTACGCGTGTTTCATGATGGGCATGGTCTATTCTGCCCCCTTCGACAAAAAGTAAGAAACCATTGTCAGAGCAGTTGCTCAAAATTTTTATTGCTGCCTCAGTCATTTCAGTAAGCGATGGAGTTTTACCAGTTCTTTCATCTTCATACGGCATATGGCCCTTGCTAAATAATCCTGAAAAAAGGTATAATTTAATTCTTAAATTACAATATGGACAAATTCTACAGACCGAGAACATAGTCAGTTTCAAGGGGATTTAAATTTTCTAGTTCTTTTTTAGAAGTGATGAAATGGGCCTTGTTTTTCCCGGCTTTCCACGCTTCAACTAAGTCTGTGTCTATTCTTTTACCACTTGGATAAATGACAGAATTTGAATCTTTTAACAAGAAATAGTCTCTACCTCCACCCATGATAACCTAAATAAATAAAGAGAAACAAAAAATGATTAGTTGGTAAATTTTATTTACAATTTATTTTGGTTATTAATTTCCTGGAAAATAAAAGGCATAGATTGCCAATATTAAAAGTTTAAAATGTCAAAATGCCAATGCTTACATTAATATGTTTGCCCGGTGAATTCGTAACAAGTTGTTTAGCAATGTCAATACAATTTGTCATATTGTTGCTGTCTAGTGGCACGTTGGCATCGTACTCAAAATTCCTGTTTGGTATCTTGGCATATCCTGCTGCTGGTGAACCATCTGTAACTCTTTGGTATAACAGTTACATACTGTAACACAAAAAATAAAGGAAATATTACCTTGTGTTTGTAACAATTCCAGTTGCTTTTTTTGATTCTTGGCTCCAATCGAGCAATGTTTTCACTGTAGTATTTTCATTCACTTCTCCGCAGAACCTGTCAGAGAAAGAAACATTTGCTGAAACCCCGAGAGTGCCGAAGTTGGCTTTAACCCCACTCCAATATGCTGTTCCTGTACATGCAGAATCTGGGACTTGTCTGTCCACGCAGTAAGTCTAAGAATAATTTGTTTTAATATGTTACTATAAATTGTTATTCTGAAAAACCACCTTAGATAATCCTGTGTAAGGGAAGTTCTCAAAGGAAAGACTGCCTTCCTCGCCAGTTTTGTGTTGGGTTTGCCAGCTGTAAATCCTACTTGTCACGACAGTCCCCAACGACATGCCATCACCCACAAAAAAGATGATGTTCTTGGCTTTGTTCTTATTCTCTTTTGTACTTAACTTTTGCTTAAGGGCTGCTAAATTCTTTTGCTCCCAAAAATCTTTTTCTGTAATCAAAATGGTTTTAAAAAAAGGTGGCCTATTTAGACCTTACACATCATGACCAATACTGGTCTATTGTGCAAAACTAATCTACTAACTTCAATATCGATAAATGAAAGGTTATCATTTATAAATAGAACAATTGTTTTGATTTAATTTATAACATAAAATGCTTGGTATCTTTGTTAATTCAATTGAATTGAAAATCTCATCGGTGAAGTAGAAAAAAATTATTGTTGATAACAGGTAATTCCTGAACCATTGCAACATACCAAACTGCCAAAAACATAAATCCATCAGACAATGGGTGAAGAATAGTCCTTGGGTCCATACAATTGCATTTCAGGACAGAGGCTTGAAAAAATTCATTAAAGGGTCATCAAAGAAATTAAGAGCAGAACTACTAACTCTAGGACATGTTGTTTAAGACTAGAATGATAGTAGGACTGCTGACTGGAAACTGGAAATTCCATAGTAACAGAAACACCCTGTGCAGATATTGCCTATTTCCATACCATTCATTCAAGCAAAGTATTGGAATACTCAATATTCGTCCATCTACCATTACATATACAATATGATCTTTAAGGGTCGACGGAGTACTCAATATTTCACCTTTGGCCCTCTCACACTACACACTCACTCTAATAAATACATTCACTCTTAATATACACAAAAGGAAACACAAATTTACCAATAAAACAGCCCTGTTTTCTCCAAAAATCGAAATAGGACTTGCTGCTGTGCTCAAGCACAATTCTCTTATTGGGTGGCATTCCTACTCACTGTGTATGAAATCAAGGAATTATTAAGTTCACATTCTCTTTAATTAAGTGTGGCACATTCAACATTATAATTAGTTAAGGTTTTTAGTTGAAATGAAAAAAAGTTAATGGCACGAGCGGGATTCGAACCCACGATCTTCGGCTAGATACGCCGCTGCTCTACCACTTGAGCTATCGTTACCTCGATCCACTCGGAAATCAACTTCCTATCTCAACCCCACCTTATGAGTTTTCCCTCCTTTTGCCAATTTCAAAAATATAAAAACCTTAACTACCTTAACTAATTGTCATGTATTAATTGGTCAAGCGGACCACGAAAGTAGTGAATTAATGATTTAAAAAATGAAGTACACTTCACTAAAGCTCTCCGTCGCCATTTCAATTGTCGTCAAGAATCAAAACCGATTACACGACATTTGAAAAATGGCAAAAGGAGGGAAAACTTATAAGGTGGGGTTGAAATGGGGAGTTGATGTCCGAGTGGATCGAGGTCACGATAGCTCAAGTGGTAGAGCAGCGGCGTATCTAGCCGAAGATCGTGTGTTCGAATCCCGCTCGTGCCATTAACTTTTTTTCATCTCAACTAAAAACCTTAACTAATTGTCATGTATTAATTGGTCAAGCAGACCACGAAAGTAGTGAATTAATTCAACATTATTTTACATACTGGACATATTGCTATAATATAAAAATAAATTAGGAACTTTCTTCTTGAGGTCTGTAGGGTGACAAACTTGCTGATGTAGGGTGCAGAAGCTGATGCTTCTGATCAGTATGGTCCTCCTTGTCACGCTGTTCCATCTTCAGTGGAAGGTATTTCATGTAACAGAAGTTCTGGTCTTAATCTAAAATTATCCCTGTAGTTTGGTCATAAGGTTCATTAAAGAATGCAGAAATTAAATGCTGAACTAATAAATATAGGTGTAGAAAGAAAGTAGGACTGCTGACTGGACACTGCAGGCTCCAGAGGCATATAGATGAATTCAGAACAGCAGAAACAAGCCTGTACAGATATTGCCAGGAATAAGAAACTACAGAACATGTCCTCTGCCGATACGAATGTACATACAGGCAGAAGAAGGATGCACACATAAGCCCTTAACAAAACATTGGGATATGATAAAAAGCCTTATGCTTAGTAAAGAGCTTTAGAAAATAACTGAGATTGCATAACAGTTGAATATTGGTTGCTTTGCGTAAGGTTGTAAATAAGCCAACTCCTTTTAACCTTAACCATAACTTCACTATATTTTGTGGTCCGTTTGACCAATTATTGAAGTCATGTGGTAGAGTACCGAAGGTCATGGGTTCGAATCCTGCTCGTGACACTGACTTTTTTATCTCAACTAAAAACCTTAATTAATTGGACTTAACCTTAACCTTACCATTGGGGGGAAATAATAAATATATAAAATTAAAATTTACTTTGTAATTATTGTTATTTAATACATTATCATACTATAATATATATTTTATATGCAGATTTTAATTTCTCTCAAGCTAATGTTATTTATATGTTCACTAATTTCGTGGTCTGCTTGACCAATTAATATATTCCAATTAATGAAGGTTTTTATTGAGATAAAATTCGAATCCCGCTCGTGCCATTGACTTTTTTATCTCAACTAAAAACCTTAATTAACTGTTATTTATATGCCTGAAACCCTTAAGACAGACTAAATAAATATTGAAAACGTTCACTTACTTTGTTCTTTGTATTCTTTTTTACCCATGATTTCATAACGAAAATCATCTGAAAAAAAATGTGCAAAATTATCAAGCAAGTAATAATTTAAATTACATTTAAAGTTTATTGTAAAACGATTATATATATCGAACTGAGTCAATAATTTAAACAACAACCTATCCATTAAAACACCATTAAAAATCAATAATAACAACCTATTAAAACTTAATCTGATTTTAGTTTACTGTTTATTTTGAGGATAGTGTCCAAACTATGCTAATGTTTTTTCCTAGAAAAATTTCCATTCTTTAATGCAGTACAGAATTCTTCCAGGGGTTTCAGAATGTAGAACCTAGGTAGTCGTCATTGGTCATCTGTTAGTAGTCCCATTTTAAAAAAAATTGATATTTTGCTGGAGTCCCGCAAATATACCTGTTAGGCTTTTTAATTCATTTATGTTGAATAGGATTTCCTGTTTCTCACGAGTTATTTTTTGGAGAGTGTTTTTGTTTATCTCATGCCATGCATTCGTTCCCAGTATTTGTTGTTTCGTTTTTTTCATGCCAGCAAACTTTTCATTAACGACAATACAAATAAACTTTGTCGTAGAAGGGTTTTAAGTAGGTTCACCGTTCTTTAATATCCTAATCAAACTAAAATTGTATCCAATTAAACGGTCTGTTTAATAAATATGGATTCGACTTTGGGTCAGGATCTGTGACCGCCATGAACCGGCAGCGGGCCAAGGTTTTGGAAAAAACGACCGCAAAGACGAAGGACGCGATCGTCAAGAAAGCGAAACCCAGTTGCCCAATTTACAATGTTTTCCGTCTCCCTTTCCTTTCTGAATCAGACAAAGAGGTCATCGATGATATCAAAACTAATACAACACGACACCCATCACTCATAATGTACACGGCACATACCGCCACCCAGGAGAAAAAGAGGAAGAGATAGTGATAGATAGCTGGAGATAGAGTGATAGGGAGAGATGGATAGATGTGAGAGAGAGAAAGAGAGAGAGAGAGAGAGTGAGAGAGAGAGAGAGAGAGAGAGTGTGAGAGAGAGATCAGTCTCAGTCTCTAGTTGATTGTTCCAACTTTGTAAAACACCTACATGACACTAGACCGCATCTCACGATCTCCAAATAATCGTTAATTAACGGTCACTAAATACCACATATTTGTAAACTAAGTCAATTTTTTATAAGGAGTGCATTTTCAAAATTCTACTATTTTTCCGAATAATAGTTTATTATAATAGTGTACATTTTAGTATATTAATAGTGTGTATTATTTTAAAACCATTATTCAGAAATCGTGAGATGCGGTCTGGTGTGATGTAGGTTTAAGAAAAACATTTTCTTTATCGTGCCAATGTTTCGATCTTTATTGAGATCATCTTCAGGGCCTGGGATTTACAAACATTGTTTAAATTGGCACAATTACACAGAAGACAAACACTTTGAGTGAGTAGAAATACTTTGTTTGAATATAAAATATATTTTGCATTGTATAAATTCACTTTTCCACATCCTACACGTATTTGTTAAATGTAAACAATGTTTGTAAATTCCAGGCCCTGAAGATGATCTCAATAAAGATCGAAACGTTGGCACGATAAATAAAATGTTTTTCTGAAACCTACAACACACCAGTCCGCATCTCATGATTTCTGAATAATCATCGAATAACGGTCACTAATCACCACACATTTTACAATCAATTAGAATATCATTCTTCCAACTTCATAAGTGAGCTTTATTTTTATGAAAAAAAGTACTTGAAAAAAATTATATTTAACATTTAATATATAATATTTAAAATTTTTTAAAATGGAATTTGGAATAATACCAATGGATATTTTCTCTACTCTTCTTTCTTAATTTTGTATATATTAGAATAGAAAGAGACTTCTGAAATTTCATATAATACTAATTGGGTAGGATTTTGTTTCATAATCTGTCGACAAAGCTCAACATTAATTCAACAAACCTCCAGCTCCAGTGACTAATATATTTTTACCAGTGATATTTTTAGATAATAGTTCTGTCATAGGAGAGATTTGTTCTCTTCCGAGAATATCATAGGATACTCTGCAGATTTTGCAATTTTTCGATTACATCTAGTGGGTGTAAGGTCAATTTTAGGGGCAAGTAATTTCATTAATACTATTTTAAATATACGACCTGGGGGTATAACCTTAGTAGTATAAATAGATTACACGACATTTGAAAAATGGCAAAAAGGAGGGAAAATTCAAAAGGTGAGGTTAAGATGGGAAATTAGTGTCCGACTGGATCGAGGTCACGATAGCTCAAGAGGTAGAGCAGCGGCGTATCTAGCCGAAGGCCGTGGGTTCGAATCCTGCTCGTGACACTGACTTTTTTATCTCAACTAAAAACCTTAATTAACTGAAAGACATTAATTGGTCAAGCGGACCACGAAAACTAGTGAATTGCTATTACTATTATTGCTCATTGTTACATGTTACTTATTTGAAGGTAGTTGTAATATATACAAAAAAAAAAAAAAATTGATTTCGAAGTTGAACTGTCAAAAATGAAATTTTTGTTTATTGCCAAATGCACTTCCATGATTCCATGCCAGTTTAGGATAAAAACAGTGTTTAATGCGGGAGATACAAACAGGAAGAAGAATCCGAAGGCGGAAGAGGCAAAAAAGAAAGCTTAGAATTGCGTGTAAGCTTCAAGAAGAATCATCGTAAACGATGCGGTGAACTTGACGATGACGATCTCATTCAAAACCGTCATTGTTCGACACGTCAATTCCCATTTCATTTGACAAATTTGGCACTTGTTTGACCTCGAGGTGATTTAAATTTTGTGGCGAAGACGAGCGTAGCAGTTTATCGACCAAATTAGAACGTTTCTCATTTTATTTTTGCTGTTAAAGCGTCCGCCTAACAGCGACAGCCTGTTATGGTTATTTCAGTGAACAAGGTTTTCTTTATTGTACTGTTATTATAACACCATCGACAGATTGTGCATTGATGACCTTTAGATAAGTATTGATGCCGTGGCCTCTTGGAAAAGGTTCCATGTAAAGAAAGGAATGATTTTTTTTCCAGCACAGAAACTTGTAAAACAAGAAAAGCGCATTTAAAATATCAATTAAAATATTTATGAACGTTCTGATTTGAAGTATCACGTTTTAAGTAGTTTTCAATATGAGGTTGACCCCGGAAAGTGAAAACTTTTCAAACGTCTCTGGCCTGGACTTTTTAAAATTTGTCGCAGGTACCCCGGCGGCCTTGCATTCCAGCCGGTCAGATTGTCTGCCTTTTGGCATGCCGCCGTTTTATGGGTTTTCGGGTCATGGAATTTGTTCAGATTGCGCCAATTTTATTGAAGTCAGGTGCCGAATACACTGGTTTTTGCCGAAAGGCGCCGGCTCGAATCCTCAAAGCTTATTTGACGGAAAGTTTGAACAGAATTTCATTCAACTTCCACGTATATTTGAGGTATGTTTAAAAAAATGAAATAACATGCTTAATTGAAAAAAAATTAACATAGGTGTAATGTATATGTAATGTTGGCTAATATGTATTAATAGATATGTGGTGTAATGTGTGTGGTCAGGAATATTTAATATAATACACCCTTAATAATGTGTAATTATTTTCATTCAACCAAGACCTTACATAAAAAGAATAATTAATTGAAAGAAGTAATTTGGTCAATCAGACCAGTAAACATAATGGATTTAATAATGTGTAATGTAGACTGACCCTATCAATTATATAATTAACTTAGAAATAAATTAGAGATACTTTGATTGAATATAAAAAATATTTTTTTGCATCACTTTTTTTCCACATCCTAAACGTATTTGTTAAATTTAAACAATGTTTGTAAATCCCAGGCCCTGGAGATGATCTCAGTTAAGATCGAAACTTTAATTTATTTATTTAGAAATCGTGAGATGCGGTCTGGTGTGACGTAGGTTTTGGAAAAACATTTTCTTTATCGTGCCAACGTTTCGATCTTTATTGAGATCATCTTCAGGGCCTGGGATTTACAAACATTGTTTACATATAACAATTACATTTTGGATGTGGAAAAGTGAATTTATACAATATATTTTGCATTATATAAATTCACGGTCACTAATCTCTACACATTGTTTAAATTTAATAAATACATGTAGGATGTGGAAAAAAGTGAATTTCTACAATGCAATATATATATATAATTTTTATATATCCAATCAAAGTATTCTTAAAAAAAAAGTATTTGTACTTAATAAAATTTTCTAGCATTATATGAATTCATTTTTTTCACATCCTACATGTATTTGAAAAATTTAATCAATGTTTATAAATCGTACGCCCTGAAGATGATCCCAATAAAGTTCGAAACGTTGGCACGATAAAGAAAATGTTTTTCTAAAACCTACGTCACACCAGACCGCATCTCACGATTTCCGAATAATTATATAATTAACAATTTTATATAATTATTTTATATACAATATGACTAATATTAAAAAAAATTGTACCAGGTGAAAAAAAATACTAAAACATATGTGCCTTTTTCATTTGGTTTTACAAAAAAAAATGTATATACATATTAATAAATCTTACCTAAATTGATTGAGATGGAGTTGACAAGCATCAGCAATGACAAGAAGCCGAGTAGGCATAAGATATCGGCCTGGTGTAACATGTTGTGGTGATTATTACTTAACTGGTGACTATTTCAACTCCAGGCCCCCACCAAATTCTTTCCTTTCTCTCTTGGCTTCGGCCTCTCGGTAGGTAAAAATTTTCACGGGCAATGGGAGACTCTGGGTCGGTAGGCGGGAAAAACGATCGTCTCGTTGAAAAATATCCGGGTTCAAATTTTCTGTTGGGAGTCGGTTGAAATGTAACTTGTGTGTTGTGCCGAAACACAAATGGTTCGGTATAAAGTGGGGAGGGATTTCTCTCTCTCTCTCTCACTCTCTCTCTCTCTCTCTCTCTCTCTCTCTCTCTTTCTCTCTCTCTCTCATTAAAGAGAAGCCTCAAACATTCACAGAATGTAAACAGTAAAGACAATCGATATTTACTTAGTGAGAAAGCAAATTATTGGAATTAACAACGAAATAAACGAAATGCGTTTTTTTCAAACTTGTTGCCATAACTTTGTCATTTTTGACCAATTTAAAATCGATTTTCACCATTGTTTTCAGCTTAAAAAACAAACAATCCTTTCAAATGATATGTCAGGACATATAGGGCCGTATTTGAAATTTTGAAGTTGAACTGGGCCTGAAGTATAATTTTTCTCCAAAAAATGTAAAAATTTGAAACTAAAAAAAAAAAATATTAAAAACATATTTTTTTTTGATAGCGTCATTGGTTCAGGAGAAATTCAGCCGGGCCGTCTAGAAAGGGCACCCTGTGTGTATGGTCCTGCAGATCCTCTGCCAGTTTGTTTCCTTCATCATTACCCAGAATTCCTGTATGCATTTACACCCAAAATTTTGCCAGGTTGTTATGTGTTCCCAGGTTTCGGACATTTCGAATCCATTTACTAACTATGAAAGCTATTTTGTATGTGACCTTTTTACGTGCCAATGGTTTTAGGGCCGCTTGTCAGTCTGATCTTACAAGTTTTTTTTTTTTTAATGTGACCTCTTTTATGATTTTCTAGTACAACCAGGAGAGTGACCTAGTCACCTAACCAGCGAGCTGGTCATTAGGCTTGAGCTGGTTCTTGCAACTCAAACATATTATCATACATTTTTATACTTCTTTCTGAACTGCTTGTTGTATTTTTTAGTGTGTAGACAAGAAAAAAATACGATAAGAAATTAATTTACCCTAAGAACATACACGAATTAGCGAAATTCGACGTGCATCAACAGTCGTTTCAGCTTTTCAATGATTTTTCAGTACTTCTTTTTTAGCCTTTTTCAGTATAACCACGAGTGAGACCACTCGAATCTAAACGGGAAGAGAACGAGTGTGTATGGTTCGTGACCACACTCCCAACTCCTATATCTGACATGCTATGCTGAAATGAATTTATCCAGGTTTAGCACGCAGAGTTGTCCTTGTTGGGTTATCAACATTATCAAGAGAGATCTTCAAAACCTAGACGAGAATGAAACTTTTTAAATTTGCTTGGAAATATTTTTTGTTTACAATCCAGGAGAGACACCGTTCATTCAGTGTATTAAAACCGATCGAATCTGTAAACGTACTGATTCGGTCAGGATTCTGTCTCCAATATGCGTTTGGCGCTGGTTTTAGAGCGAGAGTTTTTAAATTATATTAAAAATTAAATCATTTCAAGAAAAATTAATGTCTTTTTGGATCGAATTTGTGCCATTCCTTAATAGAAAAGAAATTTTGTTTTATTGTAGTAATCGTTATATTACAAGGGATGTTGCCAGCCAGCCGCCATTACAGTTTATAAACATAATTTAAAATGTAAGATTTTCTTGTTAACAATTTGAAAAAAAAAATATAAGTAATAGTTTAGCTACTGTAAACAAATACTGGAAACTTAATTTGAATACACAAATAAAATGATCAGTTTTTACACTATGTATTTATTACTTTTAAATACTGTTAACAACTAAACAGATCTTCAGTGTTATTCTAGCAATAGTAACCTTAATCCGTTAACGTAAAGGCTTTCAACCTTAAAACCTCCGAAAAAATAGAAATAAATCCTTGGCCTAGTTCTGCTTTTGGTCAAATAATCGTATGTCTTCTATAGTTTAATAATTAAACCGTACGTATTTACAAATGAACTGGCTTCTTAGAGGGTTGTACATTGGGTATTCAAAGATATATGGTGTAAATTTTCTTTTACATGCATGTTACAAACTAAACAATTGCCATATGCATTGATTCTAAACTTCCGCCGAAGAATATCTTTGAGATACTTCATAATTAGCTAATCTTATCTGAACTATAACAATCTCTACAAATGCGCTAGAAACTAAGCTAAACTTACCTTCATTGGAAAATGTCATAGAAGGAGGAGCTAGGAAAAGCTCATTTAGGCTCCAAAAAAAATCAGATTGGATGGGAACTAAACGATTCGGGCACACAGTCATAATTAACAAAAACAGACACCCATTCTTCGAAATGGGGACTGACTACATAATCCCGGAAACATTCTTTACATCTATTAAAGTTTCAACAGACTATAAAGGAGAGGAAGAACTCAGGAGAGCATCTGATACAATGATGTTGTATACAGATGGCTCCAAAACCAACGGAGGATGGGGTGTTTTCTGTACAAGCCCAAAATATGAGCAATCAAACTAAGAAGTACATTTCGGTCTTTCAAGCAGAAATAAATGTCATTAATGCTTGTACTAGAAAATCTTAAAAGAGGTTACAATGGCAAAAAAATTCTCATAAGATATGATAACCAAGCAGCCATGAAAGCATCAGCGTGAAAAAAATCACATCAAAATTAGTCAGTGAATGTATCCAAAATGTCCAAAACCTGGGGAAACACAACAATCTGATGATATCTTGGGCGCCAGGGCACAGAGGAGGATCTGCAAGACCATACATAGGCCCCGAACATGGAATAACAAAAACGAATACAGAATCCTCCATCACCGAATGGATCCAAATAAAACAAAAGAAGAAGTGGATAAAGTCTAGCGGCGCTAGACACAGTAAACTTATGATGAAGCAACCCTCACCAAGACTAGCAAATTAACTGCTAGAATTGGAGAGCCAGTCTCAGAGGAGTGATAGGACACTGGTTCTGACATCTACACAACATGGACATATACAATGATGATCTCATTTGCAGATTATATAATGAGGAGGAAGAGACTGCCACCCATATCATCTTCGAATGCAAAACAACTGCTCGTTGAAGACATAACCTGGTATCAAAGAAAACTCATGAAAAGAATTTGCAGCAACAGTTAAGTACCTAATAACTTAAAAAAAGGATGAGTTGATTGAAAAAGAAGAATGCAGTGGTTGGGGAACATAAAACCTCCACTTCGCTGTTCCTCATCATCATCATCTAAATTAATAATTTTATTTTCCTAATAGGTAAACTGTACGTATTGTTCAGCGGAAGTTAAACCAGATATCTTTCTGAACTCAGGATTAAATCGCGAGTTGAAGCATTTATCAACCTTCTTTGAATACATATTGTTCCACCTCTCAACTATATCGTCTTTTCTACTTAAAAGGTATGCTGAATTCGGGTGGTAAGAGATGGATTTACACCCTAAAGTGTTAAGGCTCTTATTCTGGTCCAATTACCACTAATGGGCCGACAGGAATTTGTGTTATTTAGAGAATATTCAAACAAGCGTCCAGAAGAGTCTATATTACATTTTAATATTTTTTCCACCAGTCCTTTGTAGAATTTGGGTGCTTGGTGTAATTAATCCAAAATCAATTTTGACGTAGTGATCTAAAGTGTTCTAAGTAAAGCATTATTTAATGAAGCGTGCCTGAAGTTGGTCAATATTTTCTATGTGTCTCAATGTCTGTAGCTCAGCATCATAGAAAGGCTGTTACAAGGGAATAGACTTGGATAAGGTTTTCCTTAGTTTTGCCCAAAGCTTTCTTGCCTTTGTTGCGAGCATTCTACGTGGCTAGGTTAAAAGCGCCAAGTAAGCTAAACAGAATACCAAAATATTTAATGAATTCGTGTTCAATATGATCTGTTCAAATCATAGTGGCCTCAAATGTTGAATTTCTGATCACCATTGCTTTAGTTTTTTGAATATTGAATTTTAGGTTGCTTATAGAACAGTATTCAGTCAGCACATTGAGCAAGCGCTGCGTTTCAATAAACGAATCTGGAAATAAAACTATGTCATCTGAGAACAGAAGGCACTATATGTTTCTAATATCGTCCAACTTGGCCCTACGTCAGTGTTTGATTTAAAAAAATAAACGAAATCAGACAAAACGTAGAATATAGAAAACAGCATGGGAGACAATATAGCCTATACAGGGTGTCCCAGTTCATTATAACGAAACTCAGGGAATCGATTCTACTCTTCGTTTGGAGCAAAAAATGCTCATGAGAAAATTTTCGGAAAGTTCTCTATTTTGAAGATATTTGAAGATATCGTCAATTTAGGTTTTTTCAACTTTTCACTACCTTACCACATAAAAACGCTTACAACTTCCAAAATGTTGAGACTACAACAAATCCAATTTCACCATTTGAATCATCAACCATGCAATATCATGACCAAAATTTTAAATTTTGTAATTTTGACATGTTCCAACTGATATTGGCTAACATTTTATGTCATTCAGATTATTGCAAATAGAAGTATCTTACAGCAAATTTAGCGTTCTTTCAAATGGTGTAATTGGATTTGTTGTAGTCTCAACATTTTGGAAGTTGTAAGCGTTTTTATGTGGTAAGGTAGTGAAAAGTTGAAAAAACCTAAATTGACGATATCTTTAAATATCTTCAAAATAGAGAACTTTCCGAAAATTTTCTCATGAGCATTTTTTGCTCCAAACGAAGAGTAGAATCGATTCCCTGAGTTTCGTCAGAAGGAACTGGGACACCCTGTATATTAATTTAAAGAATTGTCCGGTTTTTTGTGGGGCAACCAATTAATTAATTTGGGTGAAATATTATACAACTCTAAATAAAGAAACTTAGATGCTAATACATCATTTGGGACAAGCCGCCTCGTTTTAGTGTTCTTGCTTAATCTTTAGATCAACGAATCGATTGCATTAGTGATACAAAGTTCCACATGATTTTTCTTGCGACACGCCCTTTTTTATAGGTACATCTTCCTCAATTATCTACTTTCAGTTCGACATTTGCTGAAGATTATCGGATCATTTTGCTACTCACGCCAAGATTATGAAGGCTTAGACCTAGAGATCATGTCGGATATCAAAAGTATCAAATGCTATCTTGAAGTCGATGAATATAGGAAATAAATAACTTCTTTTTTAACGAACCTGCATAAAGAAATTGTTGTGTAAAAGGAAAGGTTATCTATATATCTTCACAAAATCCTGAGTGCTCATCAGGAATGATTCCGTTTATATTGCAGAATCGTTCTCTAATAATAAAAATAAACATTTCGCCTTAATATTTGCGTTACGTTTGTTTATTAATGGTTGATATGATCGTAAAGACCCTAATTTATTCGTTGTAATGCGAAGAGCTAGAATAATTTGTTTATTATAAAATTGTTTTTCCTCTCTGCGTAAATATTCTTAAAAATACATTCTCTAAACAAACTATCAATTAGTAAACTTTCTTTTTTTTATATTTTAGTTCAAGTAATTCAATAACAATTAATTAAGGTTTTTAGTTGAGATAAAAAAATCAATGACACGAGCAGGATTCGAACCCACGATCTTCGGCTAGATACACCGCTGCTCTACCACTTGAGCTATCGTGACCTCGATCCACTCGGACACCGACTTCCCATCTCAACCCCACCTTTTGAATTTTCCCTCCTTTTTGCCATTTTTCAAATGTCGTGTAATCGGATTGGATTCTCGGCGACAAANGTAGGGGCTGTCCTATAAGCTTTAGTCGTTCTCAGGAGCGCTATTCTTTCACTCTGCTCGAGGATGCTTCTACTCCTTCTTTGCAATTTTGTTCCCCAAGCTGCTCCTCCGTACGTGGCAATGGGCAGGTATACGCTTTTGTAAGTGATAGTGAAGTGTACTTGTGTGTAACTTTAGTGTCCGAGTGGATCGAGGTCACGATAGCTCAAGTGGTAGGGCAGCGGCATATCTAGCCGAAAATCGTGGGTTCGAATCCCGCTCGTGCCATTGACTTTTTATCTTAACTAAAAACCTTAATTAATTGTAATATATTAATTGGTCAAGCGGACCACGAAATTAGTGAATTTAATTCAATATCGTCTGCTTGATGATTGATAGATTTGTATAAAGCTCAACTCTGCGTATACACAGAATTGAGCTTATGACTCCTCTCGGCTATGTTTTAGCAGTCCTGGGTCAGACATCGGTCTTATCCAACCCGTCGCCGAAGCTTCAGAGCTAACCTCATGAGCTGTTAACATCTTGGACATTTCAGCCTCCTACGCCTTCATTCTTTAAACCCACACACACCTTAATTCACTCTTAAATATATTACAATTTTCTACTTACATCCATTTACTCATGGAGTACTCGACATTTCTCCATCCCACATACTGTATATTTAACTGATCGAATCGGTCGATGGGAACTCAGTATTCCACCATCGGCCTTTTCACACTATACATTCACTCTAATAAATACATTCACTCAATAAACACAAACGAGATATATGCCAAGTATTATATACAGTAAAACTCTCCCTTCAAAAATCGGAAGCTCAAGCACAATTCTCATATAGGAAGGCATTCCTACTCGCTTTCTGTATGAGCAAAGCAGGACACCCTTTCATTAAGTGAGACCCATCGAGCAACTCTACATGCCGGACACATAATCGGCCTTGTTTTTTTTTTGTACAGTAGAAACCCGTTTATCCGGATCCCGATGATCCGGACTTCCGGATTATCCGGACCCGTTTGTTAAAATATTTGTTATAAATTATTTGGAGATAGTGAGATGCGGTCTGGTATAATAGTGTATAGTAGTATAGTCTCACGATCTCCAAATAGTCATAAATTAACGACCACTAAATAGCACACATTTTCTACAAATTTTTCATAATTCTCAATGTATGTATATTATTTTTTTTAAATTCATAATTCAACTATGAGAATCAATCGCCCTTTCACTACTCACACGATCGAAGAGGCCGGAGAAACAGACAGTAATGTTTTTGTTTAAAAAATAAATTAAAAAACAGGTGTATTCTATTTGAAAAGACTAGAATTTGTTGTGTCGTGTTGTTCGTATCTTGGCTCCATTGAAAAGGATTTTTTTATTACGTATATTTTTATTAGGTATTTTTTACTTATAAATTTTTCGAGAACCGCGTGTCCGGACTTAAACAAAAATAAAACTAATAAAAATTATCTATTACTTTAAATGTAGCTTGATATTTGAATAAGTGTTCACTTTCGTATGTGTTTTTTACGTTTTTATGACATAATACCAATAAAATCTCAAATTTTTGGATTATCCGGGCTTTTGATCATCCCGGTCCCTTCAAGTCCGGATAAACGAATTTCTACTGTAATTGCGTCTAGAAATTCATGTGATATTACGAAGTATGAAGGTTTGTTAGATACATAATATAAAAATAAATGGAGCTTTCTTCTTGACACCTGCAGGGTTATGATTTTAACGGTCGTTTTAGATCATTTCGGCCGGCGTGAAGATGATCATCTTGATCTGCCTATCTTTCGCCGTCCTCAGTGTCATCATATGTAAGATAATATGGGGTGGGGTGGGTTCGTGGGTGTTTTCTTGGTGCACTGCCAAACCGAGAAAAGGTCTGACAAACCAACCCAACAAGGAAAAGCAGATATTTACATTGAGTGAATTTTAAATCATCAATGCCAGGCACTCTGTAAGGAGACCCTTAAGATGAGGGTTGGAGTTGCCATGTACATATTAAGTTGACTCAATAATTAACATTGCTATAAATAAGTAACTATAAGTATTTTAGTATCAATAAGTAGGTGTGGTGATTAGTGACCGTTAATCGATAATTATTCAAAAATCGTGAGATGAGTCTGGTGTGATGTAGGTTTCAGAAAAACGTTTTCTTTATCGTGCCAACGTTTCGATCTTTATTGAGATCATCTTCAGGGCTCAAAGTGTTTGTCTTCTGTGNTTACACAGAAGACAAACACTTTGAGCCCTGAAGATGATCTCAATAAAGATCGAAACGTTGGCACGATAAAGAAAATGTTTTCCTGAAACCTACATCACACCAGACCGCATCTCACGATTTCTGAATAATTGTCAGTAAGTATCTTGTTAAATTTGCTTTAAATTATATATCCAATGAAGCCTATTACATCATAAGATTAACATTACAAAAGCAATGTCTTTAAATATCTATCTACCAAAAAATAAATAACGATTACTGTCGGTAATGCACAGTTCTGTTAATTACAACAACTTGATATCGTCATTAAGAATCAAATTACAGTCTAGACCTCCTTGTCTTGCTATTATGGTATAAAACTGTTTCGGCATTTCGCTATCTTCAGTAGTTTGTTCATGTGGCAACGGTTTTGCCCTGTCCCTAAAACCTGTAGTTTGGTCGAAAAGGATGATCGCAGAACTAACGGCAGAACCACTCAACCTAGGATGTGTTTAAGACTACTGCTGACTTGACACTGCAGACTCCGGAGGCATGTGTAAATTTGGAGCAGCAGAAAAAAGCCTGTATATTTATGTAAATAAATTGGCAACTTTCTTCTTGAGGTCTGCGGGGTGACGAACTTGCTGGCCGCTTCTTTGTCACGCCGTTCCATCTTCAGTGCGTGTGATGTCAGTTCTGGTCCCTAAATAAAATTATCTGTAATTTTAGGTCAAAAGTCCATTAATGGACCATAGTAGAAATTAAATGCTCAACAGATAAACCTAGGACGTTTTAAATCTAGGATGACTGTAGTACTGCTAACTGGACACTACAGAATACGGAGGCATATGTATAGACAGGTAGCTGCAGAAATATGCCAGCACAGTTATCGCTAGGAAGAAAACCTGCGAAGGCCTTTGCTGGCTGAAAGTCCTACTTTTTGGACAGGAAAAGCCAAAGCCTGAAGGATAATCGCAGGAGGCTGGGATAATAAAAAGACTTAAGCTTAACGAGCTTAGCTTAGCTTTAGATAATAATTGAGATTGTACAATAGACCAATATCAGTCGCGGTCCGTAAGTTCATAAAGAGGCTTCTGTCTTCCTGGTCGGACGAACTTTGTTCGATAAGCTTCTTACAGTGTCTGTTGCCATTTGTTTTTTGTATATGCCGAACTGAAGTTTGTTGTCAATTTTTGTAATAGTTAACACAGTGGATGTCATGTTTTTATAAGTAGTTCAAGTGGTCTTATCTACAATTAACATAATGCACAATTTGTTCAAATAGCGCTAAAGAATTATAATTCAAAGTTTTGTAAAAATCGATTATGGTGATTAAGGGTTGTTCGTTTCTGGTCGGTTGGTAATTTAGAATTAAACATAGTTTTGTGGTTTGTATGTTATCTTGTCAATTGTGTCTTTTTATTTGCTGATGTGCAGACCAACGATCCAATAGTCATTGAGGATTTTGTGTATTATTTTGAACCATCAAGAGCTAATATTATTGTCCAACCTACTAAACCTAATAAACGTACAATCTCTTTTGTTGTAATATATATATAAAAATATATTTTTTACAGACTTCTATATTTTTTTTCCACAATGGTTGTGTTTTATTAGCCTTCTAAGGAATGTTTTCTGTTCAGTTATTCTCCCCTGTATATTTTCCACAAAATAATGGCGTTGTGGTTTGGTCGACTATTGCAAACATAAAAGGGGTGTTGGCATAGAACCTCGGCAATGTTGCGTTTTTCTTATACTTTTCTGGAAAAAAAAAACAACAACAACGAATGTTTTAATCTCTCAAGATAAATGAAGTTTACTGTTTACCATTTAATGGTGATGTTTGATTTCCATTTTCGTTTATTTCTATTGAAACTTTCTGTATTATTTTATCCACGTATATACCCGAGTCGGAGATGTTTCTCAAATCTGCCCCCGGTGTGAAGAGCTGTTTTATTCCCAACTAAAATCAGAAATGATGTTTTAAAATTACTGAGTAGAGCTGGTTTAGTGGAGTTTTTACATTTTGTAAAGGCCGTCTAGGGTTGACTAGAGAAACCAACTTGAAGACGGGCAGACGGACTTCGATCACCGTCGGTTGCAGCAGTCCGACGATTTCGCTCATGTCCATTTTGCTTACCTCTCCTTCAACGAATTTCAAGTCAGCGTTTGTTTGAGGAAGAAGTATGATCATTTGGAACGCATCATCCTGAAACAGTAACGACTTGAGGTTAGCGTCCCCAACCCTGTGAGAAAAAAAGTTCACCTCGAACGGCAGCTGTAATATTTTCGCCCTGAGCTTGACAATCTGTGAATAATTGGCAAGAAAAGTGTCTGTCATGTATCTCACTTTTGTATTCGCATTGTGCAAATTAGTAAAATAACCGAAAATGGTCTTCTTCTTGTCGAAGGCGTACTTCCATTTTGATAAGAAGTGCGCCGCGTTGGCGATGATTAAACGAGTTCCCGATGTGATATCATCTGAAAATCGCACATCGTAAATTTATACCCGTTAAACGGATGTCACGGGGACAAAATAAAAACCTTGTTTTACAATCTCCTTGATTTTTTTATCAGTTGAAGACGACGTCCAATTGTTGATCGCTTCAGCCGATCCTCTTCGGTCCTCTGAGAAAGGGACCTTGCCAACTCCAACAGCACTGGAAATATTATTGACGTCATCCTCAAACGTCTTTTTGACTGTGACATTCTTATTGACAAACAGTTTTATGGTCATTCTTAACCCCGGGGTCTACAAAAAGACATTTTTTCCGATTTCCTTATCTAAATGTTAAAATTAACGACCGCTGAAAATCGAGAGAGACACTTATACACATTAAAATGTTAATAGATGTGAAAATTGAAAAATCGCATCTCTCCAGTCGACAATTTCCTAAAATCAACTTTAAATTTACGAAATTTGATATGATTGTTTAGTGCCACTGTCTTTTTGAGCAGTCTTTTCCCCCAATAGTTTCAAAAATTTCTTACCCTCAAAAACTCTATTTCGTTCTTTAACGTCTCCAAGTTTGGCGATTGCTCACCAAAATTCATAGATTTCCTTATTTCATCTCCCGTGTTTCCTGCGGATCCGGCGTGCATGATCGCCATGGCGATTTTCAAGCCGACGGGAGAGCAGACCAAGTTTTTGTTCCCGTAAAACGTGCTCATTTGCTGGAGAAGAGCAACAATCGATATTTTTTCTATGTCGGTTCAATATTTTTATAAAATACCTTGTAAAACTGGTTGGCGAATGTGTTTTTATTCGAGGACACGCAAGAGGCAGGGATAGTTGTGACTAAAGCTAAAGCAACATACTAAGTAAATTTGAACAACGGCCAAAGGGTTAAAGGAAACTTACCAACAACAATGATGTAATTCCCATAAGCAGACATTTTATAGGACATTGTGTTACGGTTTATTAGCCAGTCATCGGATAAAACTTGGAAATATTGATTGTTTAAGCCTTTTAACAGAAATTATTTTTATTTTGTACACATGTTCTTTCATATGAGTTTCTAACATTCAGAATTTATTGTTTTTTTTTGTCCCTAATATTAGAATAGAATTATTTGGCTTATAATCGGAAAATTGTAGGGTTTTGTCAACGGTGTTCATTTTATAATTCCTTTATCTTATCACTTACTTTTCTTATGTTTCCAAACTGTAAATAAAATATACGTTTCTAGCAGATTTATTTTTAGAATAAGTTTGAAATTATTTTTTCTTTCAATTATATCTTGCATTAAAAGATGTGAGATTTCATCTTGGGGATTGCGGGCGTTGGACCTTAGTTTGGTCTCTCCACACATAGCACTAAAGATGACGAGAAGCCGAACTACTACTGTCAGACCAGAACAGCCACAATGGGCAGTTCTAAACGACAAGACAAAATGAAAAATTAAAATGTTTATTTATTTGGCTTGTCCATGTCATTTATTTGATTAGGTTGCAGTAGACGGAAGGCTTAAACAAATGTAATTCCGTCAATTTTTTGGCTGGAAAATGCCTTTTTGGAAGCTTACTTATTATTATCTAATCGAATTTATTGTTTTTTTTATCCCTAATATTAAAATTAGAATATAATTATTTGGCTAAGAATTTTGAAATTGTAGGGTTCTGTCGATGTAGTTCATTTTATACTATATTTGTCTAATTGTTGTTTCTTAAGTTTTCAAACGATATAAAAATATATTTCTTGTAGTTTTAAGATTTACGATAAGTACTGAATTATTCTCAATTCTAGTTATCATAATAATATGTGTGGTGATTAGTGACTGTTAATCGATAATTATTCAGAAATTATTCGTCTGGTGTGAAGTAGGTTTCAGAAAAAAATTTTCTTTATCGGGCCAACGTTTTGATCTTTATTAAAAATACTTTGATTGAATATAAAAAATATATTTTGCATTGTATAAATTCGCTTTTCCACATCCTACATGAATTTGTTAATTGTAAACAATGTTTGTAAATCCCAGGCCCTGAAGATGATCTCAATAAAGATCGAAACGTTGGCCCGATAAAGAAAATGTTTTTCTGAAACCTACATCACACCAGACCGCATCTCACGATTTCTGAATAATAATAATAATTATTATTATATCATTTATTAATGTGTATTACAAAGTGCTAAATTTCACTAGCGTGTATCGATTTGAAATTTCATGTCGAGAGAAAGTTTTGTCAAGCGAAAATTTTCCATAAAATAAAGAAACAGAGATATTTTCAGTTATTTACTGTTTTTATTTTTCACTATTCTTGTACAATAAAATCCGTATTGAAAGTTCCCATTTTTAGACGATTAGCGCTGCCTCTATACAAAAACAATAAATTAACCTGGAAATGTCGGTTTTACAATTGTCTCGGACAAACATTTTTCTAATTAAATATCCTTGATGTCAAAAACATTGTGCACCTTATCTTGCTCTTCACACACTTCTTTTACACATTTAACACTTATTTTTCCTTTAACATACTTTATCAAACATATATCTTAAATTACTATAAGAGTATTTTATAGTACCTTCATAAAATTTGAAATATTTTTTCTTATGTTAAAATAAAAAAATACAACAAACAATATATTTTTAAAAAAATATTTTGAAGTGTAACAGATTCTAGTCTAAAAATGTACAATACAAAATTAGAATGCCAAAAATACTACTTTTTGTATTGCTTATATAAATATTTATTTTTTTAAACTTTATATAACAATGGTTGAGTAAAACATACTGTGCTTATTAATTGTAAAACAATACAAAAATGTACAAGGCAAAATATATGCCTCATCACAGATACTCCAATTGTTTTTTTCTATGTATTTGATTTATGAAATATGCATGAAAAAAATACTAAATCAAAGAGGTATAAACTAAATGCCATTAAATTTCTTTTCGTTATAATAAATTTCGTCAGAAACAAAACAAAGGATTGATTCTTTTTTGGTGGAAGCCGTATACAAAATAAGTAGTTCTTTGTGACACTAAAAACCAATTTTATGCGTTAAAAATCAATGGGACTCTTTTATTAAATTGATCAACATATATTTCATTCATTTTAACAAAAAAATATTGTCCATTTATTTTATACACAGATTGTTATATGTATGTATATATTTTTTATAGCAAATATAATATTCTAAACAACCAACAACAATATAGACATTTCTCATTTAACAGCTTACGTGTTTTTTATTTTCTAACACCAAGGAACAAACAACATTTTAGTATCGATAAATTGAAATAATGGACCTGTCAGCCTGGATCAGTTTTGGAATTCTGAAAATAAATTTTGGTAAAAATATTTTATAAATTAAGACCTCCCTGTAAAAAAATATACGTTTTGGTCTTTTTTTTTTATTCTCTTGAGTAGAATATGTAATTTTAATGCGTCGAAACTGGCATAGGCACTCCTTGAACACAATGATCACAGGCCGAATTTATAATTAATCAAATAAAATTCCAAATTCATCTAAATTTAATTTGTGTTTCATTTTAATAAAAGGTAAATGATAAAATAAAATAAAAATAATTTGAAATATATCTTTGCTGTATAGTTTATATTATTACATTAAAATTTAAAGTTTCATAATACCCTGAACGTTAAAAATAGACTAGAAAAAACTTACATGATTATTGATAAATATAAAAATGTTATCAAAAGAAAAAAAATCAGTGTTTTTAAACACCAGGCTCGAAAATTATTGAACTTTTACAAAAACAAAATCTTCAACAAATCAGTCCATTATTTACGATTCAACGAATAAGTAGAATGGATCTAAAAAGAATTCTCCATGCTTAGTAGGAAGGAAAATTTATATTCATTTTGAAAAATGACCACGTCAAAATACAAACGATAAAATTGATTGGTCTGTTATATCACGAATTATATATTTGGCCGAATTCATAATCAAGATTTACCAGTTTCTAACAAAAAAAAGAACAAAAATAGTTTACACGCTTAAATTCAATTCAGAATCACAGGTCATTCATTTCATAATTTATTAGTCAATAAAATAACAAGAACAAAACTGATCCAGGCCATTCGTGCATTTTTTAAAATTGCAATTTGGAATATGGCCTTTCTGCGACTCATACATTTAAGTTGCTCTATTATAAATTCTACATCTACCGTTTGTATATAGTTATATTAAGTTAATATATTTTCAATATACTTATATAAAACCACCTGCTATTATTTACATCAATGGGATGTAGCAACATTCGGGATTTAACACTATCACGAATTAAAAAGAAAATAAAGTATCTTCTCCGATACGAAACGAAAAAGACCAAAAAGTAATATTGTATTTCATCAAATAATATTTTTATTTTTATTAATGAAATGAAATATCACATTCCCTGGTGTATTTTGTATGATGTAATTTTTCATTTGTACCAACTGATTTTTCTTAAAATTCAACAATCTGTTGACAAACAAGGATTTCTTAAAATATTATAAATTTACAATATGAGGGAAAAAAATTGCAGCTCAATATTTTTGTTACATTTTTATACCCCAAAAACAACTACTCTATAAGTTTAAAACAATTTTTTTGTTTCTCCAATTTCCTGTATTGAAATTGGATTCACTGCACTTGTTTGCAGTGGACTAGCTAGAATATTCTTTAATAATGCCTCCACTCTCACTACAGGACGATAATCCAACACTTGTTCAATTCATCAATCATCTTTTTATTAAGAAACTAAAAAATTAAACATTCAATGTTTCAACAAAGGTGAATCTTCAGACATTCTTTTAAAAATTATCTTATATTTTATTATTATATATCAAAATAACAAATACGCAAAACCTTAAGCCAAGCACAAAGTGTTATTTTTTTATGACTAAATTCAAATAGTGAAATTGTTAATTACATATAAAAAACAAATTAGTGTGTAATGTGGTAGAAAGTAAAAATGTGTTGAAAAAAGTTCGCAAATCCACACAAGAAAATAAAAGTAACAAACAGCAGCAGACAAGTTTTCTTCCCTTTGAAGTTTTGACTGAAGTGCATCTAAATTTTATATAAAATTCTCCTTTTTTTAGAAATTGATTTTAAAAATCGGTTCTGTTTTGTTTTACCACCGATTACATACATGTTTAGATTGTTTTAAAGCAGGATGTGTACTATGTTCAATTTGTCTTTATACTGCCAGAAGTCTTTGAAGTATAACTAAAGTTGAATTGCTCCGTCTCTTAAATATTAGTGAGACAATAATGCCCAGAGCAGCTTCATGTTCATCTTTGATCTACTTCTTGGAAGTAAGGATTGTGACAAATTCTAAAACAGAAAAAACGTACATTAAATACATTATAAAAGAAATTACGTTTGAAGTAAGCTTATAAAACGAAGTTATTTACGTTATATTTGAAAGTAATAAGATACAGCTCGTGTTATTACGATACTAATTTAAATTGTGAAAAAGGGAACCAGCTCAAGCTAACAGACAACTGCACAATTATAGTAACATGTCCTTTTGATATTCAAAACATATTTATTTACTGTTCCTACTGGTAACTTTACACGCCAAGTTGGAACTGTAACAGTAAAATCCTCGTTAAGAACAGAAGAAACTAGGGAGCTATTCAAACTGGGAAATTTAGAGAGCACTTTGGCAGCAAGAGCGCGTAAATTGCATTGTTTTCTAGAAGGCGTAAAATACCTAATTGGTATAGTTGGACTCCAGCCAAAAGGATACACGACAATCTTATCCTTAATTACCAATTAACTTGATGTTAAGAGCTAATGTTACTTTACACTGAGATATGATTGTATTTCTAATTAAACTAAATCGATAAAGTTTTACTTGCGGTATGTCGAGAAATACACTAACCGTGCACAAATATGCTTTTGTAACTGATTGACAGTTTTCATTTTCTTTTGCTATTTATTTACTGTGTGAAATGTGGGGATTATGTATTTTATATATAAACAATTTGATTTGTAATAAATCGTTAATAGGGCATGATTGTCTTTTTTCGAATAAAAGTTAGATAACTAGAAATAGCAAGAAATTTCGTAAAATCATACATTTTCATAGAAAATAATGAATTTTTTATTTTATATTTTTAAATTTACTTCTTAGCATGTTAAGTTAATAACCCAGTATTTTATTAACATTTAAGACCTATTTTAACATTTTTTTAAATTCAGACACGTATAAAATACAATTTTGGCTGGCATTATTTAAATATTCTTCATCGTACAATCGTAGAAAAAGTAAAGTTGCATATTTGGATTTACTATGTTTCAGATAAACTTGATTATGATGATGATCCTAAGGGCAAACTAGTGATCCAATTCTCCTTTTGTTTTTTGTGGACCAATTTCTGAGATGGAGTCTTGAGCATTTTATCCCAATGGGTCCTGGGCTTATACTTGGTCTTTCAGATCCTCCTCTAGACTGTTTACCTGCTTGTTCATTACCCAGAATTTCTCGTGCCTTGGCAACCAACATATTGTCAATGTGTTATGTTTTCCCAGGTTTTTGTAGATTTTTGATGAAAACTATTTCGGATATGAACTTGGGTAGGACATGCTCTTAGGGCTGTCCGATTTTGTGAGTGTAGCAGTGAGAGCATACATCTTACGGTGAAAGGGTGAGGTGTATTTCCTTAACGAGTTTGGTTTTGGGCTTGAGCAGAATAAACCTGACCTTCATTGGTGTTGGAGTCATCTCTGTACCATATAATTGTATTTATCTATTAACTGTTAAAACTGTATAGAATGATGCATTGCAAAACCTAAATTGTGTCATCATTGATTATGATATGTTGTATAGGTGTTTTCTCAGTTGCCAGTGACCGGTTATACCCTTAACACTCCCCTAAGTTTTACCCTGTCTAACTGTAGTGTTTGCTCGTTTTTTTTTTAATTTTAACCATGAGTACTGTCCACCTCTATAGTTAATTAATTTCTCCCTTTTTTTTAAGGTCCTATTCATAATTAGAGGATTTTGTATTGACCGTTCTGTATCTACAAACGGACTTGAAGATCTTCTGGTCTGCTTGCTCTCTACATGAAATTATTTAGTGCCCTGGAACCCATGATATAGTTAGACTAGTATGTTTTGATGATTTTGAATCTATTCACCGACAAGTTTATCTGTGATATCTTTTCAAGCTAATTCTTTTAGGGCTGATTGACTGATCTTTATTACTAAGATTTAATAAATGATAAACTTACTGATTATCTTTTTTAGTCACTAGGATTATTTTGCTGTTTTTCTGAAGTTCTGATCCAGTTCAACACTAGTGTTGTCAAGGCAAAATTAAATAAATTCTATTTCGATACTTAACGCTATTTTACCATAAAGGACTAATCAAGTATGAAAGGACGCACAGCGAAAATACTGAAATGAACAGGTGTGAAGGGTTGTTCGCCAAGTTTAGATGGGATTTCTCTGAAAGACAAAGAACGACCAGAAAGGCCCAAAATTAATCCAAAAATATTTAAACAATAACGAATACAAAACTCTATAGAACGAGTATAGCACAGACACATATCACAAATCGGCATGAACTTAAGAAAATAGACTTGCAAACTAAATGATCTATTAATCAATTAAAAAGGCATCACTATTGATAAATCGGAGTCATCAATCAATTAATTGGCCTTCAGTATGTCTTCATGGACCCTCAAAACCAAGGAATTCAGGAAAAACAAATAAATAAATTAAAAGAACTAGGAAAATAAATAATTCTATCTTGGATTCCGGGACATGTTGGCAAAGACGGAAATGAACAAGCCAAACGAGGGCAAAGCATGACCCAGAAACCGTTGAATCCAGCGGATGTAAAAATTTAACTTAAAAACCAATTTCATTAAATTCACTAATTTCGTGTTCCGCTTGACCAATTAATATATTACAATTAATTAAGGTTTTTAGTTGAGATAAAAAAGTCAATGGCACGAGCGGGATTCGAACCCACGATCTTCGGCTTGATACGCCGCTGCTCTACCACTTGAGCTATCGTGACCTCGATCCACTCGGACACCAACTTCCCATCTCAACCGCACCTTTTGAATTTTCCCTCCTTTTTGCCATTTTTCAAAACCAATGTTGGAAAGAATGGCAGAACCTCTGGACCACGATGACCGACAAACTACATGAACTAAAACCATTGGTAAAATAGAGGAAATGGGAAAACAGAAAGAATTATATTGAATCGCTTGCGGAATGTCCACACCAGGCTGTCACATGAACTGTCTCGCCAGAGAAAGACCAGGGTCACATGCTAACACAGTACGAGGAATTACCGCAGCAAAGAATGGCCTGCCTACAGTCTTTAAACAACTTTTAAATCACAGCAGTGGTTATAATAAGAAGTTGATTCTATACCGGAAGCAGACAAAATATATGGTCGCATAAAAGGAGTCCCTCTTACATTGGTTGAAAAAATATCCGTAATTTGAGCGAATGTAATTATTAGCGTGAACATTATCGTATGTTTGTGGTGGAATATCGAGTTCCCACAAATACACCAAAGTAACCCAGCTTATATATATTGTGGGATAAGGGTAGTCACTGGTAAGTTTTTTTTAAGGTCATATAAACCCTCAGGGTGTTTTTGTAAAAAACCCATTTGTAAATATGTCGGGTTTGAATGCAGGGCCGCTGGATTCGACCCCGGGACCTTTACCTTACAGTGATGAGCGCCGTATCAACGCCTAAACCGTTGCGGCCACCGACGCCTACTTGTAGGTTATTTTATAGTAGATATAGGAGTGTGGTCTCAGCAATATATCGAGAACTCTTGAATCCCGCGAAACTTAGATTAAATTATCGTTTAAATAATATGAAAGTGAATTATACTTGACTTAGTAAATTTTAATCACGTGTGGAAAGGTTAAACGTGAAGGATAGAGGTAATAAAAAATGCGAGATAGACAAAACGTGAGGGGCAGGCAATAGCCCTAGCAGCTAGCAGCCGGAAACAATTAAACGATCAATTTAATCATTTAAACGACCCCAGATAATTCAGACAAGTTCAAATTTGGCACATCATGCACAAAACCGATAAAAAATTGACATACCCGAAATATTAGATAGACGTACAGCTGAGACTTAATAACTCAAAGACGCCGAAAGGCAATACCTCAGACCAAATGATAATTGAACACTGAATATTGTGACTAGAAAATAATCCACGGTGTATCAAGAGTTTAACATCCTCGTATCAAAGCAAGTGAATTGTGTGTATTTAACCATTTACTAGAAACTCGAGTCTATTAGTCAACTCGATAATTAGCTATAAACCTCGTTGAGTACATATTTACTTACAAAATATAGTTAACTTCAATTACTGTTTACCGTTGTACAAAACTGCCATGTACACATCCGTCGATGTTTAAATTATATTTCGATGAATGAAATTATTAATTGATAATCGATTGGAGAGATTGTTACCTGCATAGTTGACCATGCCGTCACCATCGAGATCAGCCTCTTTGATCATATCATCGACCTCTTCGTCGGACAGCTTTTCACCAAGGTTTGTCATCACGTGGCGCAGTTCAGAGTTTGAAATCAGACCGTCGTTATTTTTATCGAATACTCTGTAAAATCGAAAAAATTAGACTTGACAAAATTGGATACTAAAATTATCACTTTAGGAAAATATTATGGTTTTTTTAAGAATAAATATTTTTTAAAATTAAACCATTTATTTTCGGACATTTTAGTGCAGACAAACCAATCACTGCAAGTACCATAAATAACTTTTTAAAAACGGTGAATATAGTGATTGCAGGAAAACTCATCAATTAAGTTTCCAAAATTTGCTTAAAATGCATAATTAAGTAGTTGCCCATAATTTGTTTTTCATGTATATTTATATATAACTATTTTTATGAAAAAGTTGATAATAAACAATATTATTGATTTATTTTTCAATTTATATGTAAGTATTAACAATTTGATGCAGTCAAAATAAAAATCCAATCACTAGAAGTTCCGTAATACTTTTCTGAAAAGTGCAAGTATGGCAATTGCACGAAAGCTTATATCACGCGCATGTCTAAGTTTCCAAAATTGAATAGAAAATAATAATTAATTACCATATTTTCTTTGTATGATTTCTTTCTTCCTTAAACTATCCTTAATGATTAATAAAACATTCAACCAAAAATTAAAATAAAAAACAGCGAGTCTACTTAAGACACTTTCTTAGTCTTTTTAACCCTTTATTTAGTATAACTATTTTGTTTTTATAAAACTTCAATGATTTCCGGTCATTTTGGAGCAGATAATCCAATCACTTGAAGTACCATAAATAACTTTTTGAAAAAGGTAAGTATGGCGATTGCAGGAAAACCCATCAACTAGGGTTCCAAAATTTTCTTAAAATGGAGAATTGCGGGTTAGCTTATATCTCGCAAATTTAAGAATAAATATTTTGTTTGTATTAATCTTCAATCAAATAACTTTTTGAAAAAGGTAAGTATGGGGATTGCAAGAACTTGCAACTAGGTTTCTAAAATTTTCTTCAAATGCATATTTAAGTAGTTTCCCATAATTTGTTTGTAATGTACATTTATATACACATATTTTTAGAAGAAAAACTTGATAATAAACACTATGATTGATTTATTGTTAAATTTATAAGTGAGAATTAACAATTAATTACCGTATTTTCTTCAATAGGTGTCATCTAAGAATTTTCGCCTATGCCCATTATCACGAAACAAATATTTTTTTTGTTCTCCAACTATTCTTAATAAATAACATCAATTTCGGCCAAAAATCAAAACAGAATCTGGGTAAAATGGTGTTTCTCAAGCGTTCAAAAGTGATTGACAAACTGGAAGGGTTTAAAATTTTTCGTCAGGTTGCAGCAGGTATGAGTAAAAATTGCGTGAAAGTAGATAAATCGATTTTACAAAAAGGAAAAGCATTGGCGAGGTAGTAGTTGATATAAGTGAAAAATAGAAAAATAGAGGGAATTAAATTTTTTTTGCGCTAGTTGAAATTTTTTTTTTTGCAGGCAAGTACGCTTTTCTCATTCTTATCATAATGAAGTTTTTTTCGTATTATTCACTAATATACGATACATATTTTGTTTTTAACAATTTATAAAATTAAAACAGAGAGAAAAAATAGTGGGGAAAGTGGAAGTTTGAAACATTACCAAGTCTTACAAGACAAAAAGTGTTTTCAGAATCCAATTTCATACACACTTTCACAAAGGGATCATCTAATACGTCATACCTCCATGTTAATTATTCAAATCTGTTTTAAAGTTTAGATCCTCTTTATGATATATTTATATCAAAATAATATTTAAAAGAAAAAACAGAATCATGAAGGATCTAGGTAAGGTAAACTAGATAATAAACCTCGTTCAGTCAATGTTACATTAATAGCCGATTAATGTAACATTCCTTGGCGGTCGTGATTCCGCATAACTGGTGAAAACCTAAATCGCAAGTTGTTTAAACAAGGCGGTAATAAAACAAAAGATAATTTCAGGTGAAGGGTTGTTTTAGAGAGGCGGCGAGCACCCTCGAAGGGGTTGAACCTCGTCATATTAATGACTGCTAAGGGCCAAGATGACCAAGAAATGCGAACCGCTATGACTCGCAGGCAATCCTTTTAAGCCCTCCATGAGTCATCGTGTTAATTTCATTTGTTAATTGGACGACTCTGGTTTATGTTGGCCTTTGGTCATTTTCCACAATAATTCTTATTTATTAATTATTCAGTAGTTCGATAATTTAAATATGAACAATGGCCAACGCCAAGTGTTTAAGGTTAATAATTTAGAAAATCGGAATTATCCAGTAATTTATTACCTGAAGGCTTCCTTTAATTCGTCTTCGCCCTCGGCGCCTTTCATTTTTCTCGACATCATCTGAAGGAATTCGTTAAACTCGATGGAACCGTTGCCGTCCTGGTCAACACCGTTAACCATGTCTCTTAGCTCAGTCTCTGTAACCGATCAAAATTAAAAGTCAGATTAATTTGTAATTGTACCCGGTTGAATATTTAAAAATCTATGATATGATATTTTAGATTACCAGTTTTCTTTCGTAAAACAGTCTGAAAATGTCATGGGTTTCGAAGATTCTAATTACGCATATATCAAATATCGTAGATGTTCAAGAGCCATTAGACTGTCAAATGTGCCAGCCATCACTAATATTAAAGTGTACAGAATAGAATTAACCAAGCATTTTATTTTTATTCATTTATTAGTTTATTTGTAGCCTGTATGTTATAGGGAACATATTATACATATAACAAATGTGTTAAAATTGTATTCTCGCCTGGTCACAACACTAATATTGTGGCAGTGTCAGAAACAATTCACTCTTGAAGTGTTCGGCGAGAGAAAAGACGTAGTTTATTTAACACATACCAGATAAAGTGTTTCGGAGTGAAATGTTTTGGCGTTTTGACTTACCATTAATCATTCTTCTGACGACAGTTTCAAGCTCGAAGGGCTTTGATAAACAAAAGGGTTGAAAATCCTTGTTCTGAGAAAGGCGAATTAAACGTACGTAAAATAATTGATATCTTGCATTTCTTTGACAGCTTAGCTAAAAACCTGACTGATTCCACTAAATCTATTTTTTAATCAGCCTGAAATTTCAAACTTTATCTATGTGCATATTTGGTATTTGATAAAAAAATAAACAACGTGTAAACATATATTTGTTAAAAAAAAAATAAAGAAAAATTCTCCAACTAAATCCTTTTACTACTAATCACAATATTCGGTAGTTATGTGAAGTTAATTTTTTAAAAATAACATTAAATTATTATTACAAAAAATCAAAGGATTCAATATTTTCACAAAGAGAAGCCGGCTAAAAGTATCTTTTGTAGTGATGAAAAGGTGGTAGAAATAGTTGAACTGATGAAAATCTTAAGGGTAATACCAAATTTTAGCCAAACCTTTGACTTTTATATTTTATCTCGGAGAAAAAGTAATTTGTTCTGCTAACATCTCTCTGTTTTACAGGCTTTGATATGAAGACTTAAGAGTAAAATAAGCTAGCAAAGCGTTAAGTGTACATTCTTACTTCGTACTTAACTGACAGACATTACATTCAAACAACAATATCAATATATATCAAACAACTAGGAAAAATAAATGAAGGAGTGCCTCAAGGGAGTATACTAGGTCCAGTACTTTACTTGCTATATACTAGGGATTTTCCAAAAAATCGGTTGCACACTTATTCGCAGAAGATATCAGTAGGAGCAAGCAACCATTCTTCAAAAATCCTCAAAACCTTTCAAAAACCAATTACAAATAAGAAATTGGAGCATATACCGTCTCTTATCATCGATGGAGCAATGGTACCATACAGCTAATGACACTAGGATACCAAGTTGACATGAAACTACACGGAAATAGACAACTACACTAGTTGATGGCATGCGGCTTCAGCCTTACAAAGCAAAATAAAATATTAATATAGAGCCGATATAGGCATATGGTATTGAACATTGGGGTCGTACTAAAGACAGTGTTACCAAAATTGTACAAACACTTCAAAAATAAAATTTTACCTAATTTTGTCAATACACCTTGATACCTAAGATTGAGACTTACTACAATTAATTAAGGTTTTTAGTTGAGATAAAAAAGTCAATGGCACGAGCGGGATTCGAACCCACGATCTTCGGCTTGATACGCCGCTGCTCTATCACTTGAGCTATCGTGACCTCGATCCACTCGGACACCAACTTCCCATCTCAACCGCACCTTTTGAATTTTCCCTCCTTTTTGCCATTTTTCAAATGTCGTGTAATCGGATTGGATTCTCGACGACAAATGAAATGGCCACGGAGAGCCTTAGTGATTTTAAATCATTAAATTCACTAATTTCGTGGTCCGCTTGACCAATTAATATATTACAATTATTTAAGATTTTTAGTTGAGATAAAAAAAGTCAATGGCACGAGCGGGATTCGAACCCACGATCTTCGGCTTGATTCGCCGCTGCTCTACCACTTGAGCTACTACCACTAGGACCTTAACTTCCCATCTCAACCCGGTTCGAATCCCGCTCGTGCCATTGACTTTTTTATCTCAACTAAGAACCTTGTAGAGAATTGTAATATATTAATTGGTCAAGCGGACCACGAAATTAGTGAATTTATCGTGACTTACTTGAGATATCAGCGGAAAGGCCAAGATTTGCCGCCAAATATAGAATCGACAAAACTCCTGCATAACCAAAAGGTCCTTAGAAGGTTGAAAAGGACAAAAAATTAATATAACAATTTTTTTTAGTTCAAACCTATTTGAACTAGAAAAAAAATTAATCTGGTTTTCAACAGAGTTAATTTTCAAATTGCCTTAAAAAAGGACTCTTTAACTACACAAAACTAGTGATAAGAAAATTTTAGGAAATTATAGACCCATTTTCATGTACACTTATGGTTATCGAAATGCTCGAAAAATGTGTGTCGTCTTACATCCTTGTTTTGAACAACGTAATTCAGGCAGATATATGGCTTACAAAGGGATAAACCACACATATATTCTGATATTTTGAGAAATATTTGTGAAAACCTTGACAAAGGTAGCTTTGTATACAGTTTTTTTTTTAATATTTAGAAAGCATTTGATTTCATCAGTTATGATTTGGAATTTGAAGCAAATAGTTAAACTGCCTCTTATTTAAAAATAGTTTTAAGTCGTAAAGATAGATGATTTTGTGCGTCGGCTGATGTAAAATGGGGTGTTTTTCAGGGAACGATGTTTGAATTGCTTTTTATATTGTGTATCAACGATAATTTTTCTATAAAAAACTAATGAATTGCTGTTTTGTTTATTTAGAGTAAACAATTGGATGAACTCATTAAAGTGATTGAAAATAATTTTTATAGAATAAGGGAATCCTTCCAAGAGCGAAGTGGGGATCACCGATTTCAATTAAACTTTTATGGTGATACTAGAAACATTGGCAATTAATCTCTGTACAATAATAAAGATTTGGGGATAAAAAATGTAGAAGTGTATTTATTTTGATGGCGAAGCTGCGGTTAAACTAGCCTCACCTAAGGTGACGACGAATATGGGATTGCGTGATTGCGCTAGGAGAAATAGTACAGAAAAAATCGTCCTTTGTTCTCGTGTACCAGGGAGTAAAATGTAAAAGGGCAACAAAGATAGAGCACAAAAAAATTACGTTAAAGACCAACATTGGAACAACACCCAAGGACAGACTGAAAAGAAGAAGAATTAGATTAAACTTACTACAGACCTGCTGCAGCAAAGCTGTTAACTGGACTTGGCCGCCTCAATAGGTATGCGAGAATATTCAGTAAATGGGCAGGAGAAGATGTCCGTTCAATTAAAAAGAGGAGGAAACCGCAGTACAACATATGCTACAGTGAAAATATCAGACGGACAAGGAAAAGCTAAGTATATCAAGAAAATAAAAAAGAAGCATATGCTGCTTGAACCTTAGTTTGTTTCTGATCATTTTGGCCCGTGTACCCTCGTTGTTTCGGTCACAGATGCGTTTCGTCCTCCTGTTACAGACAGGGTCTGTGTCTATTTCATCCCTTCACATGTCACAAAATTATAAAAAAATAATTCATACAATTAGAATGAAACTGGGGGTCGCGGACGCCGAATAGTCGAGAGTAGTTCTGAATTCGAATCCCCGCACAGCACAATGATTGTAAAAAGGTTGTTTGATCCGTTAGGCAATAAGCCCTTCTGGCAAGAATTACTTTACTTATTATAAAAAGTCGCGATTTGTAAAAGCAAAAGACCGAGGGCTGAAAGTGACGACGAGCAGAAACCCGCGTGACCAAACAAGGTTCGGAAAAGATCAAACTACAGGTTCATCAAGCATACCTCAAAATGAAATATCACATATACGCTATATGTGTAGGAGCAAAAAGTCTTATTGGACGGACGCAGTTCAATAGGATCTTCAGTCATCTCAGACAAAATCATAACTACCAAAAAGGTCTAGGTTTAACAGGAAAGTGAAAAGGAGGAATTATACGAAGGTTCTGCAATGGACGTTGAGCTTAGTAATATAATATTTTATTATAACTGTAGGCTACAATATGAACTGCTTGGGTTTTTGCCCAAAAATAATTATGTTCTTTCAATGATGGTAAAAATTACGAAACTAGGTAATTACATTTTTCATCATAGAAACTTCTCTAGAAAATGGTTGTATTAGGGTCGTTTTCTAAGAGAGCATAATATTGGAAAAAATATTGTTATATTAAGCGAAAGAAATATTTTTTTCGAGATAAAACGAATGGTTATATTATATAAATGGAGTAAGTCCATTAGGTTATAGGACTTTAGTGCCTTGCCGAGGAGTATTGGCAGGGCAGATTGACCGCAACGCTTTGTTGTGTTAAGATGTAGGGTTGTTGGTATAGCGGAAAAAGAGAATGTGGAGGTGGAGGGAGCAGGAGAGTTAGTGACGGAGCTACGATTGAGGGCGATAAAACGAAAGGAGGAAAGGGACTGTTTCCAGTCGATGCGGTAGGGGCCCTTTGGAAACGCTCCAAAATTCCCTTAGTGACTCCATTCCTTCAAAGGGCCACGGGTCCGGCTCGCACGATGAAAAAGCTTTTGGCGTCCCTTCCGGCGAAACCAGATAACCGCTGATATATCGAAACTCCAGGAGGGGCGTTTTTTTGGCAGGGAGCGACTGGCGTTTAACAAGTCCAAAAGACTCCGTGATAAACTTCCGAAAACTCGAGATAAAATTGAATTTATGGCCGTGGTTATAGTGAAAAATTGAAAAGATGCAAGGCGCCTAATTTTTATTTGAGAGAGAGAGAGAGAGAGAGAGAGAGAGAGAGAGAGAGAGAGAGAGAGAGAGAGAATGAGAGTGAGTGAAAGAGACAGAGGGAGGGAGAGAGTGAGAGTGAGAGAGAGTGTGAGAGTGAGAGTGAGAGAATGTGAGAGAGAGAGTGAGAGAATGAGAGTGAAAGAAACAGAAGGAGGGAGAGAGTGAGAGAGTGAAAGAGTGAGAGAGAGTGAGAGAGTGTGAGAGAGAGTGAGAGAGAAAGAGGGAGAGAGGGAGAGAGAGTGAGATTGAGAGTGAGAGAATGGGAGAGTGAGAGAGTGTGAGAGTGAGAGAGATTGTGAGAGAGTGAGAGTGAGAGTGAGAGAGAGTGTGAGAGAGAGTGAGAGAGTGAGAGAGAGTGAGATAGAGTGAGAGAGTGAGAGTGAGGGTGAGAGAGTGAGAGAGTGAGAGTGAGAGCGCGTGAGAGAGAGAGAGAGAGAGAGAGAGAGAGAGAGAATGATAGGACAGTGGTTCAAATCCATGGTCCAAAAAACAACCAAAAATAGTCCAATCCAATGATCCAAACCAGTAATAACTGACTTCAATATAATTTCAGAGATGAAATTGCGGTTTAAAAAACCTTCATAGTTTAACGGTATTAGTAAATCAATCGTAGTGACCCAATTCTTCGAAAACGGCTACAGCAGATATCGAGGGGCTATTTTTCGTAGGGGTGGTTTTATTGGGATGGTAAAACTCACGGCACCGTCCCGGATCGATTCCTTCATCCAGACAATGGTTTGGAATGTTTTGGTGTCTTGTAAAAGAACTTTTGTTTTCCGCAGGAAGACGTGACAGACAGGCTTTAATCACGTTGTTTACCGGGGAGTTATGCCTTGCGGAGAAAGTCCCTACGGATTTAAGTAAGCCGACAGTGAAAAAAATGAAAGAGGAAAATATTTATTTTCGTACGTATTAGATGTCAAGTTCCAATTCTATTCAAAGGGTCATTCATCGCGGTAACTCACGTGGCGGATTGATATTATTATTACTTCATTTAATATATCGACTGTATCATCTCCATCATGTGTACCAATTCCTAGGACGTCAATAATTTAAACTCTATCGTAGAGTTTTAAGCTTGTTTATAAATGTGTAAAAGTGATCGACCATTTACTTTTTGTTTATAATATTCGACTGGCTTAATAAGCTGTAAGTCAATTTTCTCGAAAAGAAATCTGACAGTTTCTTATTGAATTTTTGACATATTGACGCATACATTATTGGATAAAAAATATAAATTTTATGAAGCAGCTTGTTAAATAACTGCAACTGAAGGTTGGGTTTCTTGACCCAACGTTTCCTCAAGCGTAGTTACTTTAAATAGTAACAGTAGCACCCTTTCATTTATTTGCATGATCCACATTCGGTAAGTCTCCTCGGAAACGGACTTGATAGGTTACTTTTATCCACAATCAACATATTCCTTACCATCGATTTGGCTTCTATAATTACTACTCTACAATCCACTAAATTAATCGTGTGGCACACGACATCGAATATCTCTAGAGCGTTAGTACTTCTCTCTTGGAATCTTTCTAGACGTCTCCCTGGCACAAGGTCCACTGCTGAAACTCATATTTTTACCTAACTGATCGTTTCTTCCAAGTTGTCTACCGAACCCCAACCTCTTCCTCGCATCCTGTCCACTCTGGGGTTTCTCAAGGAAACATCCTAGACATTACTTTTCAGTAAATACCAATCAGGTTTCCCTCAACACCCAACAATTCGATCGCATCTGGAAACAGAGTCTACTGGTAAACCTCAAATCATTCTTTCTTATCCTTAAACCCTACCTATCTGATCGTTTCTTCCATGTTATCTACCGAACCTACAACCTCTTCTATGTATTATGTCCTCGCTAGTGACCAGGGTCAACCCTACAACGGTCTGTTACTATTTAGCGTATAAAACGGCAGACTTAACTCAAGAGCCCTAACATATTCATCCCTTTGCAGACGACTCAGCAATCCGCTCTACAAAATTCGATGCTATATTAGCAGTTCGACCCTTCCAAGACCACCTCCTTACCTTAGATGGTTTCGTAAATGGAGAATAAAAATACATTTTAATATGTGTTCTTTACCCACAAATGTAAACTCCAGTTTATCAAACGGCAGATCCTGTAAAATAGTTGGGATTTCAGATAAACACATATTCTATATAGGTTGAGATGGAATTCACGTACGGTTAACTACACATAGAAGATGACTGTCAAACTGCTAGGCAGACTACTAGATTTACTAATTCACGACAAAATATTGCTTGACACATACTGGACGGGTCTGTTAAAACAATCAAACCTTAACAGGATTCATCCTCCGCTCCTCTTTGTTAGCAACCAGACTCTCCATTCAGACTTCTGAATCTTATTGTTTCAGTCAAATCCCGATACCTCAAATTCCACTCTATATTATCTCTTCATTCCAACTCCCATCCCTGCCTTTTCCAGTTATACCATCCCAACCATTATATTAAGGAAGTTGAGATGTTGCGAAGAATTGCGCACGTAATGCCATCCATCTGGACATAGCGTGCAGTCGTAGAGATTGGTCACTGATAGATGGCTCATATCTCATCTTATGTTGTTTCGACGACCTATCGGCCTATTGCATAAATTGTTGCAGATATAGATGAATAATAAAAAGGAAAACAAAAAAACATTGTAGATTTGTCTTTGAAAAGGTTCGTTCAAGGCAACCATCAAATGATATTGACGAGGCCCCTTTGCAAAATGTAGAAACAAATCGAATCAATCAAGTACTCGCGTACTAGCCAAGGAGTGGAAAGTATCGAGAGACACCGTTAGTTGCCAGCTATACGCATTGGACCTGTAAACGTCCCCTGCATTCCTCTGAGAGGGTAGAAACTTGTGAAAAGCTTTTAAAAAGTTTAGGTGAGATGAGATTTTACCAATAGACAGACACGTGTGGTGAAAAATGGGCGAAATCCTATCCGAGGAATATGGCTAGATCGAGGTCAAACTTCTTTTCCAGTTGCTTCTGATACGAATAAATTATTCATAAAAAGTTTGTTCCTTACGGATGTTTTATGAACTTTGAACTTTACTGTGAACAGTTTTAAGTTCAAGAACGTACGCGAACTTGCCACAGCGTTGCTCGTGTTTGGCTGACCCAAAAATTCTGTTCCAACAAGTTAACGATAACCACACAGTTCCCTACACATCACGGAACAGTAAGAAGAATGGGATGCGATTGGGAGAACTCAGCAACATCAATCATACCTTGCTCCGTCATTATGTGACCGGTTTCAAACAATTGCCCACATTTGCAAGGTAAAATAAAATAAAATTGTCAAATGAGCTGAACTATGAATGTTCCTTTTACCTATTAATTTTCTATTATGACGTAGGTTGAAAAACGTTCAAAGCAACAGTTGGCAATGTGACATAAAAACGTAACCGATCGAAATGTTCTGACCCTACGCCCGCTTTTCCGGAAATTCTTCAATGTCAAATGTGAATTGTGAGCCGGCTCGAGAGGTGGCCCGGAAGAGGCGGAAATTGGATTGATTTTTGGAAATTGCACTTGCCCCCGAAGAGATTGTTGGCGTAAGAAGATTGAAAGCAAACGACGTTCTCGGTTGCACCTATTTCACCTGAATTTCTATCCCATTCCATTCGAGAAGCGCTCTTGCCAAGCTAAAAACTCTTTGCGTTTCATTTCCGAAATATAATTTTTCACAAAAATATGTATTGGTCTTCTCTGTTTAGCCGGCCTGTGGTCTCTGCTGAAGTTTAACATAAAAGTGTTTAATCGAATTTGATGATTTCTGACGTGGATTATGTTAATACTTTTTACCTGTCGGCCTCTGTCCAAGAGATCGCATGACCACTCCTAATTCGGCCATGGTGATGGCCCCGTCTTCGTCCTTGTCGAAAAGCATGAACGCCTCTTTAAACTCTGAAACACAGGGACTCAATATTAGATTTAAATTACCAACAGAATTCAAAAAAGCAAGGATGATTGAAGGGATTTCAACCGATAACTCCAATTACATGGTTTTCCTCTGGCCGACGTTAACGGAGGGGATGAACACGGTAACGAACGGCAACCACCTCGCTAATTTGCCCACCCTCACAATAAAAAAAATCTATTAAAGATATACAACGAACAGTTGCCTTCAAACGATTGTCATATCAACGAAAATTTCTTTATTAACGCGAGTTTTAAGACCTTACCCAGAAATGAAATAAACTTTCGCAAAAATAAATTTTTTGTTCGTCTCCGTCGAAAAGATACTATTTTTTAAACTTTTTATAAAAAATAAACAACTTGTAAAAAAAATAATTTTATCCATTACTTGTTTATTTGTCGACAAAATTGAAATTGTTAAAATAGTTTAAATAATCAGTCATCTACTGAACCATTTCAGTTTAATTGAGCCTTTAAAAATTAAAAAAAAAATTGTGAAAAGGAGTGTAGCCACTGGTGAACTTCTCCTATAGTTAATACAATATTTGTAGTTGCATATACTAAATAAATGTAATAAAAAAAACTTAATGTTGCCCATTAAAATTACTAGAGAGCTCAAGGTTTGTGAACATAAAAAGCTACGTAACATAACATAAAAAGCAGCTTAAAATCTACGATTGTGAATGCAGCCTAAAATCTGCGAATGTGAATGCAGCCTAAAATCATCGAATGTGAATGCAGCCTAAAATCTGCGAATGGGAATGCAGCCTAAAATCTGCGAATGGGAATGCAGCCTAAAATCTGCAAATGTGAATGCAGCCTAAAATCAGCGAATGTGAATGCAGCTTAAAATCTAAGAATGCGAATGCAGCCTAAAATCTGCGGATGTGAATGCAGCCTAAAATCTGCGAATGTGAATGCAGCCTAAAACCAGCGAATGTGAATGCAGCATAAAATCTGAGAATGCCAATGCAGCCTAAAATCTGCGGATGTGATTGCAGCCTAAAATCAGCGAATGTGAATGCATCCAAAAATCTGCGAATGTGAATGCAGCTTAAAATCTGAGAATGTGCATGCAGCCTAAAATCTGAGAATGTGAATGCAGCCTAAAATCTGCGAGGATTATTCACATTCGATATGACAGTGAATGTAATGAGGTGCTCGATAATGCGTGGGGTAATGGAAGGAAATGGTGCAGTAGAGGGAAGAGATATCTAAGGCTTGAACCTATCTGCTTCAGTGGATATTTATTTTATTTAAAAAACTCAATATAATTTTAATCTGTTGTGCCCAGATTTCATAAAATAAAAATTTTTGTAACCAATATGATTTAATTTTTCACAATTCGCTTAAAACCTTGATTTTCCCATGATGCACATATTTTGGGAGGGGCTTGATCAATCACACTTCTCGAAAAAAAAGAATGTACCGATTCTACCAAACATACCATTCGGAAGCTTTGTAAAATAATCTTTTTCTCCAACCCTCAGAGGTGTAGAGACTTTATTAATATTATAACCTAGCTAATAATAAAGGTGATAAATGATAATTATCATAGACCATAAAACTCATATACATAATACAGGTTTATTCCGTTCTTGGATCACACTTTCACCACATCATAGCACCATCAATAAATCATTTGGTTAAACGCGTTTGAGTCGACTAAGTGTTCGACTCTAGAAGGTGAACAGATCATCGTTGACGTGCCCCCAAAGCCTTTGATGGTGGGCTAAACCGGCTTTATAGATAGCTTCCTTTACTGTTTTCATTTTGGGGTCACGGTGGAAGACTTCATTTCTGAAATACCAGGGTACATTGACCATGCCTCTCATTACTCTATTCTTGAAATGATTTGGCGATTGGTCTTGCTGGCACAGCCCCAGAGCTAGAGACTTGAGGACCTGTTGATAAAAAAAGCTTACTCTCAATGGACAAAGGAAAACTTCTGCCCATTAACCAGTAAATTTTCCGGAATTAAATTGTGAGCTTTTTGCTCGTTTTTTGACGTGTGTCCATCTAATATCATACACTTTGCCTCGTTGGAGAAGATGTACCACATGCACCGATTTTCTTTATTCAGCTTTATTCTCCATTTTTTGTCCATTTATAAATTTAGGAAATGGAGTTATTCAATATATGAGTCGATTGAGCATTGCTTTCTCCAACCGCCATATTTGCCGATCATCAGCAAACCGTGCAGTGCTCATTTTCTGCTAGAACGCTAGCGACAGGCCTTGTGCCTCTCCTGCATGGAAGTTTGAGTTTCGATTAGGTCTCTTCTTGCTTAACGTGGAAGTACCTTTCAGCAAGGTATGTTTCGATCAGGTTTGAGTATTTGGCTGGAGTTTCTTATTTTATATATGAGCCCTTAATGCCAGACTTTATCGAATGCTTGGGCCACATCTACGAAAAAAGCCGAGTATAATTTTTTTTATAGTGCTCATGTTCAATGACTCGGGTGATTCGGTAGATTTGGTCGATTGACCAAGAATGCTGCCGTCGAAAGCCAAACTGATGGTTATTAATATTGGCAATAGCCTTTTAAGTAGGAGTTTTTCAAATAATTTGGAAACCACCGGCAATAGAGAAATTGGCCTGTACGATTTGAGCTCAAATGACCGTTTACCTGGTTTAGCGATCATATCATCGCTCCTAAGCGATCTTCCAAGTTTGTGGTACATATTTAAGCCTGAAGGCTTCATTGATGATCCTCGTCATATGGACCACTGCTTTTTTAAGCAACTCTTTTAGAATCCGACCAATAATTAGGTCGTATCCAGGGACTTTTTTTGTTGAATTTAATCTTGATAGTTTCTGGATTTTTTAGATCGTCACTGGAGGGATTTTGTTGTCGGGATCATGAATTTTTCGTAAATTTATGTAATTTTTGCTAATGGTTGCTCGTCAGTTTTATCTTCATTAGGGATGTATATGTTGCCCAGATATTTTGCAAATGTTTATTAATTGAAGCAATTTTTGTAACATTTTCGAATCCCTAGGAAGCATGGACACAGCGAATTTTTGAAGAGAATATTTAAAATTCTTTAAAGCTTTCTAATGTTTAGTCTACTGTTTAGTGTACTAGTAATACTTTTCTAGATGTTTAGTCTAGTTATCTCCTATCAGTTACGATGAAAAGGTTCAGGTGATGACTCATTCATTTGCCAATTTTACACAAATTTTAAAAACGATCTCAATTTTAGTGAAAAATGCATCGGTATAGAAGAAAATCCGTCATTTCATTTCACAAGTCTGTTTTTCCGACAAAAAATCGTTTCTTCTCGACAGAGTGAGTTAGAAAGCAAATTTCATTAAACATTCTACTCTATTTTTTTGCAAAGTTCTATCAAATTATTATGTATTATAAAAAATTGAAATAATGAATAAAAAATTATTGAAAATTAATAAGATGTACTTATTGTCATTTGATAACCGAGCTTTTTATGACTATATGAAACTTGATGATTTTTAGCTAAATGCCTAGGGAACAAAATGAATTTTTGTTGTTGATTCAACTCTTTTAACAGATACAATGAGAAAATACAAACAAAAAAAGATTTATGAAACGATGTTTCTCTAAAAGTTTCAAATTTTCTGCGGTAAATATCACGTAATTGAGTTGGAGACTGTATAAAATGTATAATAAACAGTACAGAAATGTATATAATAAAAGAATGTGGGACGGATTTCAAGTGTTCTCCTCTTTATAATTAAGTATGAAATTGAATTATGTTTATTGTCGGGAACCACCGTGGTTTTCTACGATTCTGCATTTAAGACTTTCCAATGCCATTTGATCAAGCAAGAAAACAAATTCCAAGCATAGTTTTAAAAATCAGTTTAGTTTTTAAGAACGAATATTAATAGACGTTAGTGAACAAGGGGTTTTATAAATATTTAATTTTACCCGGGCTGTTGAGGATACCTATTTATTTCAAAGGTCAGAATCCCCTGGCGGAAAAACGAAAAAAAAATCAGTGGCCAAAAATAATGCAAACGTCGCAAATATTTTCTCGGGAGTCACTCCAGACAGTGAATTATACGTCCAAAAGAGCTTGCATTCCATTTATATTCCAAGGCGCGAAGTGCCAAATCTTGGCACGTTGCTATTAGAAACAAGCCCACCGACTTCACGGCCTTGTTGACCTCCTCTCAACAGTCTGTGCATCAATAATAAACATATATAATTAATTAATAGAAACCGTACTCACCAGCCACTTGGTCCTCCGTTAGCCCGTACTCGGACTGTAAATGAGAAACAGGTGCGTTAGTCAAAGTGCCAAAATTTTATAAATAGAATTAAACGTCACTTTCTAATATGCTTGTATTGAAAAAAGTTCATGTAAAATTTATACGTTATATACATCTTATATTAAATTTTTATGATGTGTGTTTCTGAATGGCAAACATGTTTTTAATGGACCATGGCCAAAATAAATTACCAACATTTCTTTGTCCATGTATTTCTTGTTTCTTTTTTATTTTAGACATCCCATTTGATCGTTTTGGCTTTTCATTTATTCATGAAGTTAATTTTTCAAGTAATCATTTCTCTAATTCATCCTATTTTGTATACTAAAATAGCTATGTAATATTTTATTTTATGACTCATAATCTGAAGGTAGGTTTTATAATAAATAATTAGCCAAAGTGAGGAAAAATTTCAATTTATTTGTAGGTTTTTGGATTTCTTGATGAAGTGATCCAACATTTTTTTGTTTGAATGTTTGTATTTATGCACTTCACAATCTAAAATCATTTCTCCAATTCACCTTAGTTTTTATTTTGAAAATAACCATGATAAGTTTTTTTAGGTTTAATACTCTACAGGAAGATTTTTTAATAACAAATAATTAACCAAAGTGAGGAAAAATTTCAATTTATTTGTAAGTGTTTGGATTTTTTGATGAAGTAATCCGACTTTTTTTGTTTGAATGTTTGTATTTATGCACTTCACAAACTAAAATCGTTTCTCTAATTCACCCTATTTTTTTAAAAAGTAACTATGATATATTTTATTTTAGGATTAATATTCTGCAAGATTTTATAATAACCAAGAGGGGCGACGATGGCCGCAACGGTTAAGTCGTTGACAGGGCTCTCATCACTGTAAAGGTATCGGGTTCGAATACAGCGGCTCTGCATTCAAACCCGTCATATTTATAAACAAACAAAAAGGTTTCATAAAAAACCAAAAATAAAAAAATACAAATAACAAAAAGACCTGGATAATAATTTCAATTTAGTTTAATTTAACTACAAAGTATAAACAGTTTGTTAAATCTAATATTTAGTTAAATAAAATTCACTATTAAGAATAATAGAAAAAAAGCTAGAAATATAAAGTTGGCTCAAATATTTTTGTTGTTGTTTGATCTTGGCTTTGGTCCGTGCTCCTAGGGGACTTCATGACAATACGACAGTTCACTTTTCCCGATTGCGGTGAACGATGTGGATGTTTTTCTCCGATCAATCAGACGTCGACGACTTCTGCTTTTACTTTTTGCAGAAAAACCTGGACGTGGTCGGAGGGGTGGCACAGCGAGCGATAAAAGGGTACCAAAAGTTAAGATGACAGCTGACTCTAAAAAAGTAATAAAAGATTAAGAATAGATAATTCCAGTTGACACACGTACACCATTTTTGGGCCAAAGCCCGCATATGGCTCCGGCATGTAGAGAAAGTTTCTCCATGTCACTTGGTTGAGGTATGTCATTCCTTGGCTCCATATAGAGAGCGAGTAGGAATGCCACTCGATTTGGAATTGTGCTTGGGCCCGGCATCAGTATCCCCTTTTCGGATTTTTAGAGGAAAGAGAGCTGTTTTGTTGTATAATAGCGCTTGATAGATATCTTTATCTGTTTGGTTGTCTTTTTCTGTGTATTGAATGTGAATGTATTCAATAGAGTGAATGTTTAATGTAAGGGGGGTCGATGGTGTAATTTTGAGTACTCTATCACCCTACCCTCAATGAAGTTAGCCATACATCGTGTGTAAAGGATGATGGAGGAGTTGTGAGTACCTACTTGAATGAATGTTATGAGAATACGAAAGAATAAATTTAAGAATTAGAGTATGAGTTTTTACAGCTTTAAAAACTTAATGATGAACTGAAATGACCTCCTGGAGAAGTCATAAGTTCAGTTCTGTACACGTGTGTTCATTTTCCAGAGTTGTCTTTATAAAATCAGTGAGTAATCTAATATGTTATTATAAAATAAAGAGTATTCACGCTCATTGTGCTAATCATGTGAAGTGTATTGAACTTGAGAACAAAACTCACTGTATTTTTAAAGTTAGACTGGCTTACTCTAATGGAAGTGTTCATGTAAAGAATCAAAAAGGGAGAAAAAAAGTTGGATTGAGAGTAATGGTCAAAGCGGTATAAAATTCTATTTCATTAACCAACTTTCAACAAGGCAGTTAACATGGATTTCCATTTAACGGATTTAAACCAAAAAGTCAAAGAACTCACAAAACTAATTCGAAAATCTTTGAATAACATTCCGGAACACTTTAGCACAATTAGCAGATGAAAAGGTCGTTCACGTATATTCGTGACTTAATATCTAATCTTAATAGAACAATAATACATTTTGCACGATACAGCGGTTGCGTGTATTCCCTAATAATGTTAAATTATATATTATCAAGTGCATGAACTTACTGTAAACGTTAGTAAATTATGAAATTTTCATCTTAAATTGATTATACTTAGAAAAAAACCCAGTACATTTAGTAATTATATAATCATCACGTTGCTATACGTATATGTTTAAAAAATTAGGCCATTCACACAACCGTGCTAAATGTTTTATTGTTCCATTAAGCTAGTTATTAATTCACATGAACTACCTTTTGTAAATAATCACCTGCTAATTGTACTAAATTATTCAGAATGATTTTTAATTCGTTTCGTCATTGATAACGATAATTGTTTTCTACGATACATACGTAAAAAGGCAGAGAAATTAAATTGATCACTTTTTGTAAATGATGGTTCTCCTCTCAGAATTTGAATTAATTAATTTAAAATTCTGTGAATAAAATCATCATTTACAAACAGTAAATTGACATACTCATCCTACCTTTACTAACTGAGAGGAAAAAAGTGGCCACCCTTGATTTTTTTTAATAAACAGTTGCAATCATTATAGTTTTTATTTTTTGTTATTTACTGTTTTTTTTTTAATACAAAAGTATAAGGTATAGCTAAATAAACAAAAGGTGAGAAAAAATTTACCACAGTTGCTATGGAAGCAATGAAGGAAATATTCAATTCAGAACGAGCATTTCCACCTCTTGCGTTGATCACCGCTTACATTCGACGTGGCATCGATTTTGTGAGCTGTAGTGATGTGGAATATTTTCAAACACATACAACAGCGCATTCTTAATTCCTGAATTCTCTGGCATCACTAGGTGAATTTTTACCCTCTTTGAGGTGTTCGATAGGGTTTAAGTTGGGACTACATGGTGGGCTCTCCAAACATTGAATTGAAGCCCGTTCCAAGTAATCACCAACGATCCTAGCTGGGTCCTTGTATTGTCATTCATAAAAATAAAACCGTCGCCAATTAGAGGCATATAAGGAACAACTCTTTCTGATAACACATCTTCAAAGTATCGCGCAGCTGTTAGAGAACCCTCGCTGAAAGATCAAGTCTGAGCAACCTTCCATACAAACGCCTGCTCAAACCGTAACACCTCCTCAATAGCTTCTCCGGAGTGAAAAAGTTGCGAGGATCTATCGCTCTCCTGTTCTTCTCCAAACCATCTCTTGGCCGACAAAAAACCTAAAGCAAAACCTTGACTCATCCGAAAATAAGTCCAATCTTGCTCAGGCCAATTGATGTGATTTCTTGAGACACTTAACCGAGCTGTTCTCTGCCTTGTCACAGTTTTCGGCCTTACAGTGCATAAACTGATTAACATTTCAAGTCGTTGCTTGATCTCAACAGCTCGATTAGGGAATACATTCGAAACAATAAATCGATCATCTTTCTGAGATGTTACACGGTGGCGACCTGATCTATGCCATTGTCAGTAACCTTCCCTGTATTGGTAACGATGGAAGATCCTTCGGACAGTTGTTCTGGGACTGTTAACCAACCTGGCCATATACACTTGACTTTTTTCATCTTCCAACAATGCTATGATTCTAGCTGAATCCGAATCCCTTATAATCATTACTCAAATAAATTTGGTACCATTTACAAAAAATCACACCCCGGAATGATGCAAAAGAAGCTTAACAGAAAAAAAACCAACAAAGAAGAGATTTACTATTCAAAGTTTTATTTGCAAAATCCAATTGAAAACCCAAGTGGAAGAATTTATCTGTGTTTTATTTACCTCTAATCCTTTAAATATTTTATAATTAATTAATGTTTTTAGTTGAGATAAAAAAGTCAATGGCACGATTGGGATTCGAACCCACGATCTTCGGCTTGATATGCCGCTGCTCTACCACTTGAGCTATCGTGACCTCGCTCCACTCGGACACCAACTTCCCATCTCAACCGCACCTTTTGAATTTTCCCTCCTTTTTGCCATTTTTGAAAAATCAATTTGCCTTTAAATATTGTAGTAAAGTAATCAATGGAGGATTATCTAAGAGATGATGAAAAATGTTTAGGGTCTCACTTTACTTCTTCTAAATGTATCTTTTTAAAATAACCCTGATGGAAATTATTTTCTATAATTCTGTTTTGACCACCTTCTTTAAATTCTTCAATTGTCAGTCTAACTTGTTTCTTTATTTTGATTATTTTATGACTAGTACATTTATAAAAGCAGAATTATAACCATAAGATAACCAAAGTCTAACCTTAAACGTACTTAAAGTTTGCGACACCAAACCGTCCAGACACATCTACATTCCATTATATCGGGTTGTCCGGAAAATAATGCAGGATTTTAAGTTTTCATTAAAAAAAATCTATATAAAATATTCTGTTTACGTTTACAGGATTACTNAATTATTTTGATTAAAGAACATTGCTTTAAAGTAACTAGTTTCTTTTTTTTTGTTTAATACCAAAATCCTGCATTATTTTCCGGACAACCCAATAGAAAGGTTCAAAAAATGGCGTAAAACTAAACACCACAAAGTCCCGAAACATAACCTTCACCCTCCGTTACATTATCTACCTCCAAATTATTAAAACCACATCCCTTCCCATTGAAAAGTCATCCGCTCCGCAGGGCTAGAAAAACGTTTTACCTGGAATAAATACACGGTT